GCTTGAGCCTGTGGGGAAGGGGGTCGGGAAGGTATTTGGCAAGAAGGGGTAGATGTGAAATGGACCTTTGGTTCTAGCCAGATTTTGGGCCATGGTTGTGGTCAGGTTGGGATATTTATATGAAAGGGTATGAATTGGAGTTTTATATTGTGGGATGTAAAACATTTGTCTATATTCTTTGTCGTCGTGTCATTAACTGACATCACATCATTTAAGGCAGGTACGCTAAGTTGCTAAGTTTATAGATCTACTCGTAGATCCAGTTCGCCTGGCTCTGCTCATACTTGACGAGCTCCTCAGGCTTGAACCAAAGGGCAATTTCCTTCTTAGCGCTCTCGACACTGTCGGATCCGTGGCAGACATTACGACCCACGTCCTACGGAGTTTGGTTAGAGCTATAGCGGAAAACCTGCGGGTCTCAAGTTGCTTGCTAGTCACTTACAATTGCGTAGTCACCGCGGATGGTGCCCGGTGCGGAGTCCGCCGGGTTTGTTGCCCCAAGGATGGCTGTTGACCAGGAGTTAGAACATCGATGGTGAAAGGAAGGATCGGGTATACACATACCACGGCCAGTCTTGACGACGTTACGGCCCTCCCAGACCATGGCGCAGATGGGGCCACTCAGCATATCTAACGAATTATCAGCATAATGTCGTCATTCGGGAGAAATGGTTCGACCCTTTGTGGTGGGAATCGCGGGGTATACTAACAGCTGACGAGGCCGTTGAAGAAAGGCTTGCTAGAGAGATCCTCATAGTGCTTCTCGAGGTGCTCCTTGGAGGGTGTGACGAGTTTGATGGCAGCAAGTTTGAATCTGCGGCCCGTTAGAACATCAGAACATTGCGTCCCGTGTATTCTCTCCATCAGGTACAATTCCTACTCACCCGCGGTTCTCGAAGCGGGATATGATGGGGCCAACAAGCCCGCGCTGGGAACGAGGAATGTCAGTATTCAAAATGAACAAGAAGGTCGTTTTGTAAGATAGGGTGGATATAAGGAAATAACGGGTTTATTTGCTGATCATACCTGGACTCCATCGGGCTTGATAGCAATGAAACTGGAGAGCGGTCAGAAAATATTAATGCATACGCTCAGGAGGGAAACCAGGAACAGGGAACAGAAAGGCACCAACATACGTTTGCTCGGAGGCAGACATGCTGGTGTAATAGAGGTATCACCGAAATATCCGTAGAGATCTGTTATGGATGTTCAATGGCTGTGGTTTGTATAGTTACTCAGTGCTGAAAAATATGTTTGGTGGGGGAAATAAATTAGTTGCTTTAAAATTATTCTGCCGAGGGCGGTGGGGGTGAGACGTGGTCGCACAGAGCAATCTTAGCCGGGAGGTGCCAAACAGGCATGTTGAGACGAGGCATTCACTTTCGCCAAACCTTGAAATTGCCAGACGACTTCCGCTATCCCGCATACAAACAACACCCAGGTTGCAATTGGGCTCCAGCGCAGTCTAAGGTTTGATATCCAGCTAGCTGCGGGTTTGTATGCTACGGGAGTGAAGGTATCTTCTTACCAGATTTGCTTACAATTTTACATGTCTTGAACTGTCTGGTTATCAAAAGCCGAGTTTCCACGAGAGTACACCACGTTTCCAGAGAATCCGTCATCATGGCGGCGTTCACGCCTTCGTCCACTGGATGGACCTTGTGTCTGGCCTTTTTGGCTATTCTTTCGTGTCTAGTTACTCCTGGAGGTTTGTTGATGATTATTTACTTTGGATTAATCAAGCTTGAGATTGGATCTCTAACGCCTTTTACCTCTGTCCAGAGATGGTCAAGCACGAAAACTTCAAGACCTGCTCACAGTCCGGCTTCTGCAAGCGAAATAGAGACTATGCCGATTATGTCTCTAACAAAGGCTCGTCATGGTCTGCTCCTTACAGACTCGAATCCAGCTCTATCAGGATTTTTAAAGGCCAATTGCTTGGAAACATCTTCAAGACTACAGAGGACAACAAGAAGGTCAAGCTCCCTCTCACCGTATCTTTCCTGGAGTCAGGAGTTGCCAGGATCACAGTGGATGAAGAGAAACGGAGGAAGGGAGATATAAAAATACGGCATGGGAGCAATATCAGAAAGGAACGTTATAATGAAGCTTCGAAGTGGGCAATTGTTGGAGGATTGGAGCTGAGCTCTTCGGCTGAAATTGTCAAGGGGACTGAAGCTGGCGTTACGACGGTCAGTTATGGGCCCGACAAGAAGTTTCAGGCGGTTATCAGACACTCTCCTTTCGAAGTGCACTTCCAAAGGGATGGCGAAACACACGTGCAACTCAACGACAAGGGACTCTTGAACATCGAGCATTGGAGACCTAAGGTTGAGAAACCCGAGGGAAATGATAAGGAATCGACGCTACAGGACGATGCAGATAACAGCAGTTGGTGGGAAGAATCATTTGGTGGAAATATCGATTCAAAACCAAGAGGCCCCGAGAGTGTTGGTTTGGATATTTCTTTCCCTGGATACAAGCATGTGTTTGGAATTCCGGAGCATGCTGATTCCCTTTCTCTAAAAGAGACGAGGTAAGCTCTTCTTTCGTTTCTTTCTTTTTTTTTTTTTTTAAAGAAAACAAAAATTTCCGTCGTGCTTCATGACCTTCTAACTCTTACTTTCAGGGGTGGCTATGGGCAGCACACTGAGCCGTACCGTTTGTACAACAGCGATGTGTTTGAGTATGAACTGAATAGCCCAATGACACTTTATGGATCCATCCCTTTTATGCAAGCGCATCGCAAAGGGTCCACTGTGGGTGTGCTGTGGTTGAACGCCGCAGAGACTTGGGTCGACATTATCAAAACCGAGGCTTCAACAAATCCTCTCGCACTCGGCGTGACGGGTAAAATTAGCACACAAACTCATTGGTTCTCAGAAACTGGTCTTCTCGATGTTTTTGTGTTCTTAGGCCCAACACCTCATGCGCTCAGCAAGAAATATGGTGAACTCACCGGTTTCACCCAACTACCCCAACATTTTGCGATCGGATACCATCAATGTCGCTGGAACTACGTAACTGATGAAGATGTGAGAGACGTTGATAGGAAATTTGACTTGTATCAAATCCCTTACGATGTCATCTGGCTCGACATTGAATATACTGACCAAAAGAAATACTTTACTTGGGATCCTCACACTTTCCCGGATCCGGATGGCATGCAGAAGCAGCTCGATGATTCGGAACGCAAACTCGTTGTAATTATCGATCCTCACATCAAAAACGAAGCAAACTATCCGATTGTAGATCAGTTGAAGTCCCAAGAGCTGGCTGTGAAAAATAAAGAAGGGAAAATATATGACGGGTGGTGCTGGCCTGGGTCGTCGTATTGGATCGATTGCTTCAACCCGGCTGCGGTATCGTGGTGGACTTCGCTCTTCAAATATGACAAATTCAAGGGTACTCATTCTAATGTATTTGTATGGAATGATATGAACGAGCCGTCGGTCTTTAACGGCCCAGAGACAACGATGCCAAAGGATAATATCCATTATGGAAGTTGGGAGCATCGTGACCTGCACAACCTTAACGGCATGACGCTCATCAACGCTACTTACAACGCTCTATTAGAGCGTAAAAAGGGCGAAATCCGCAGACCATTCGTTTTGACACGGTCCTTCTTTGCTGGAACGCAGCGTATGGGAGCCATGTGGACTGGTGACAATCTGGCGGATTGGGCTCATCTTGCTGCATCATTCCCAATGATCCTCAACAACGGCATTGCCGGATTTCCCTTTGCGGGCGCTGATGTTGGTGGCTTCTTTGGTAACCCGAGCAAAGAGCTGCTTACGAGGTGGTACCAGACTGGTATATTTTACCCCTTCTTCCGTGCCCATGCGCACATTGACACGCGCAGACGTGAGCCGTATTTAGCCGGAGAGCCATATATGAGTATCATCACTCAAGCTCTACAACTAAGATACCAGCTACTCCCGGCATGGTATACCGCTTTCCAACAGGCTTCTGTTGACGGTTCCCCCATCGTTCGCCCTCAATATTATGTTCACCCCGATGATGAAGCGGGCTTCGCTATTGATGATCAATTGTATTTGGGGTCCACGGGACTGCTTGCCAAGCCAATTGTGGCTGAGGGCGCCACCAGCACGGATATCTACCTTGCCGATGACGAAAATTACTACGATTATTTCGACTACACCATATATCAGGGCGCTGGGAAGAAACACACCGTACAAGCTCCGTTAGAAAAAATTCCTCTCCTGGTGCAAGGTGGCCATATCATCCCACGCAAAGATCGACCTCGCAGGAGCAGCGGACTGATGAAATGGGACCCATACACCCTCTTCATTACACTAGACAAGAACGGCCAAGCTGAAGGAACACTGTACGTTGATGACGGTGAAACATTTGACTATCAGGATGGCGCTTACATTCACCTCCACTTCTCGTTCTCTGGGTCGACATTGACGTCCAGAAGTATCGGGACTAAGGGGCCCAAAAGCGCACAGTACCTGAAGACAATGGCGGGGGTGCGTGTGGAAAAAATCATCGTTGTTGGCGCTCCAGATGCGTGGGAGGCAAAATCGACTGTCCTTGTCCTTGAGGAAGGGGTTCAGACTGGGTCCCGCAAAGCGAGTTTGCAATGGCATGCTCAACAAGGCGGGAAGGCTGCCTTTGCTGTGGTCAAGAATCCTGGCGTATCTATTGGAAACTTATGGAAAGTGGATTTTTCTTAATTCGCCTTTTACACGGCTCTTCTAGGCATGCTGATGATTCAGTCACTCTCCCGTATCGGATTCCGTTGAGTAACATGTCATCGATAGCGTTTCTTTAGCCTCCCTTTTTGTGATATTTTGTATAGATTCTATATCTTACGTTTCCATTTCATTATGTCCTTTTCACTTATTCCTTTCATATCTCAGTGTTCATCCCAATGCAAAAGAGAAAATATAATGCCTATAATTACTTTTTTCGGTGTGTGTTACCCATTTTCCTTCCTGGCACTTTTTCATCATTCCCTTCAAAACTAGGGCTCTCGAGAGCAATGTGTGTCCCTGCACGGAGGATCAATGATCGGAGGGTCGCAATATTAGCAACTGAGCATCAGTCGCTAGACGTGAGAGAACTTGCATATATCTTTCCAGATTGCAGATTTTACATTGCAAAAGCAGATCGTGGCCTCCATCCCTTTACATGCTCAACTTGGGTGGGGATGATGTAGAGGAGCGCCTCTAATTGCTGCGCTCTATCTGGAGTAGATCGTGAATCCAATTTTATGTCAATTCATAATGACACCAGTCAGGAAATGACTTCTTTAAATCAGAGCATTATGCATACATGTCCATACTTATGAAAACGTTTCAATCATGCCATGCCGCAGGTAGCTGAGTGACCTCGGTATCCTGGTGTGTTCAACTATATAGATTAAGGACGTCGCTGTTAAAGCTTGTCACAGACTCTGATTCAACTAGTCCTCTAGTGCTTATGCTTGGAAACTCGGCTCTGCTTTACGGTTGAAACCGCTTCCCTGGATCATGGTGCTTTGAGATATATGTACCATCAGAGAGAACCTCAGCGAGAGACACTTCATTAACTACTGGTTAATTTGGACTTGCATGGGTCACCTCTAATTTATGGCCGACAAGAACACCCTTCCTTATTCCCCTCCCCACCATGCATCCTTTGGATGGTATTAACTAAATAAATAGGGTAAGGCCCTTTAACAACTTCCAGGCGTTGCAACGTTTTGTCGTTTTGGCCAAGCTGTCTAGGGCATTGCCGGTAGCTTTGGCATGCTTTCTAGTATCAGGTGTCGCTATTAATTCCTATGAACCAGAAATTCCATATTCAGAGCCACCTTCTCCGCATCACCATGCTATAAATTCCTTGCCATTCCTGTTCGTCACGGAGGGCGTCATGATCCGGGCAAGCATTCACAATGACCCAGAAAACCAACTTCATCTACCTCGCCCTGTTGCTAATTCCCGGGATTTGGTTGTCTTTCCTTTGCTGAGGATTACCAGGCAGTTCTTCTACAATGGGAGGGTGGAGGCTGCAGGCGGAATCCACACTCCAGTCTCCTCCAATAACCTTTTATTACGCGTGAGCTTGTCTCCCTCTTCTCTCTTCCCATGAAATACTGAGAAAATGAACTGTATCTGACGATCTACAAGTTCTGAAATTGGTGCTGGAGACCGGAAACGCATTGAGAAATAATAACTTGCTAGGAAATTTTAATGACAGTCTTGACGAATTTGGAACTGCCGCATGCCCTAATTGCTTCGAGGTGAATTTTAAGGGGAAACCAGCGTTGCTTTCTTACCCGTGAGCCCGAGCATATCAAGGCCACCATGACATGTAAATTTGCAGACTATTGCAAGGGCACGAGTTCCATCGTATGTGGTCTCCATTTCTGGGTGAGAGTATCTTCACTTCAGACGGGAAGAAATGGTCGGCTAGCAGGAGCTTAATTCGGCCTATGTTCATCAAGAATCGAGTCAGTGATTTGGATATCTTCGAGCGTCGAAAGTCATGATGAGTCTGTTCCCCCGTGCCGGAGAGGGATTTGACTTGATGGATCTGTTCTATAGATTGGTCATCGACGTGACAACGGAATTTTTGCTTGGACAGGGAATCAACAGCTTAGAATGCCCAAAGGGGGACTTTGTGAATGCCTTTAAGGAGGTCCAAAGGTTTCAGATGCTTTTCACTGCAGTCGGGTAACTAAGCACTCTGGCTGTTATATAAAGACGAAACAATCAATGCTAAACGCCATTTTCATCTACAGTCCCATTCAGTATTTCTATCCTAGATCTCCCTACCAACGTGCCATCAAAGTAATCGATAACTTCGTCCTCCCTTTCGTCCGGAAAGCCTCGAACTTCCATTTGCATGCTAATGTGTGATTTGGATGTATGGAATGTGATGTATATTTTGGTTAAAGTATCAAGTCGTAAATCCCAGATCACAAATCACGTATACCACCAGCAACCCAGGACCACTCACATCCCATGATTGGAGTTGCCCTTTGTTGCATAGTTATAAAAGAGATGAGGTTGATATAGACACGTTTCGAGGCTGAAGCCAAGCCAAGACTGGGGAGCTAGCTTGGCAGGGATAATGTAATCAATAAGCGAGCGAACCATATAAGCGAGTGAACCACTTCTCACCCTTCATACAATGAGAAATGCTCTGCATCAAAAATGTCAATCACACAAAAAAATAAAGTCTCTACTCAGGAAGGAAGGCTTCTTTTAGCCATTCAAACACTTAAAAATGATCAAATTTCAAGTGTACAAGCTGCAGCAAAGCTATATGAAGTCTCTTATGCAACTTTAACTCATCACATACATAGTCATATGGCATGTGTTGACACACCCCCAAAGAACTGGAAACTTAGTCTTACAGAGGAAGAATCTCTTGTTCAATGGATTCTGGCCATGGATGAGCAAGGTCAGCCTTCTCAAGTTGCAGCTGTACAAGAAATGGCCAATCTCCTTCTTGCCAGTTGAGAATCCAACCCCCTACTCACAGTGAGTGAATGCTGGGTATGAAACTTTGTCAAGTGCCATGATGAGCTGAAATCCAAGTTCTCACGCAAGTACAATTATCAATAAGCTCTATGTGAGGATTCTGAGGTTATCCATGAGTGGTTTAGGCTTGTATGAAACACTATTGTGAAGTATAGGATTCTGAAAGATGATATCTACAACTTTGATAAGACAGGGTTTCAGATGAGTGTAATTGAGACTGCCAGGATGATGACTGGATCTGAAAGAGCTGAGAATCCCAAGCTTGTACAGTCTGAAGATTGAGAATAGATGACTTTTACTGCTGAAGTCAATGCAACTGGCTGAGCCTTGCATACAATAATTATTCTCAAAGAAAAGATGCATCAATTCTGCTAGTATGAGACAGAAGGGCTACCACATGACTGGGTGATTGAAGTCAGTGAGAATGACTGGACCACTGATCAGCTGGGCTTGTACTGACTGAAAGAGGTGTTCAACAAGGAGACTCTACCCTGTATGAAGAGCAGATATTGACTGTTGATTCTAGACTGGCATCAAAGTCATGTCTCAGCTGAATTTGATCAATTTTGCACTGAGAATCAGATCATTGCCCTCTACATGTCATCACATTCCTCCCATCTTCTTCAGCCATTGGATGTTGGCTGCTTCTCACCCCTGAAAACTGTGTACAGACAGCAGGTGAAAAACTAAATGTGGCTTGAGATCAATCATATTGACAAGAAGAAGTTTCTGAGTCTCTATCCTGCAGCTCAGATGCAGGCCCTGACTGAGAGCAACATCAAGAGCAGCTTTAGAGCTGCTGGACTGGTTCTGTATGATCCTGAGCAGGTTCTCTTGCAGCTTAATATCATTATGTATACCCTCATCCCCCCAGGGACCTTCCACAGCTCCCAGACCTCCTGGGTGACAGTCACACCACATAATGTATGCCAATTGGAGCAGCAGGCTGAGAAAGTTAAAGGATATATCAAGCACCATATGCAGAGCCCACTCAGTCCAATCAATCGTGCCCTAAGTCAGCTGGTCAAGAGATGTCAAATGGCAATGCACAGTACTGCTATTCTAGCAGCTGAAAACAGAGAGTTAAGAGCTCAAAATGCCAAACAAAAGAGAAAGTGAGAAAGAGGCCGTACATATGTAGCTCAAGAGAGTGCTTTGAGGGTTGAAGAAGGCTTGAATCATGTATGAAGGGTCAATGGATGGAAGCAGAGGATAGTTGAGACTGCTGAGTCATGACCACAAAAACATGCAGCATCATGGTGTAGTGTCTGTGGGATTATTGGGCATACTGCCCATACATGCTCTAAGTGTATAGAAATTAATTTATAATGTAATTTGCTAGTTTTTCTTTATAGTTGAAGCTTTGAAGACATTCTCATTGTCCAGAGAGTGGGAAGTGGTTCACTCACTTATATGATTCGCTCACTTATTGATTACATTAATTGTATAACTAACTAGTTAACGTAATTCCACACCGAGTCGGCCACCACACTGAGTCGGCCAGCAAATTCACTGTATCCCAACTAGGTAGTTTTTAATTCAAATTATCTCAACGCAACAAAGCTCAATTAAATTAAATTAAATTACACTTGGTTGAGGGCATCTTAGTCTTGTATGCCCAAGCATTCCACAATGGCTGCATCTTCATGGCGCTCGTACGCGTGCTGCGGGCTCAGCAGCTGAAGGCTTGAAGGATTGAATAACTGGCTGTTCAACAGGCTCTGCAGGCTCTATAGGGCCTACTAGAAGACTTTGAACTTCTTCACTAGTTAAACCTCCTACTTCCTGCCCAATTCGGCGCCTAGATCTCTTGCGCTTTTGCTTCTCTATCTCATTGGTGTTGAATATATCCTGGTATTGCTTCTTCATAATTGTGGCACTGACCATTTCATATTCACAGGCCTTGATAATTTGGTCAAAACCTTCCACAAAGCCTTGAGGCTGACCCTCCACTAAGCCCTTGATCTTATTCGCCTGCCAGTGTAATTGCTGGGGATTACTAGGTGTTTGAAGCACCCAGGACATGATTGAATTGCTAGAGCTGCTGCGTGGTGGGGTAGGGTCCGTAGTTGAATATCCAGCTGCTGGAGGACGTAGTCAGGCTGAAAGGGCACTATTCCAGTTGCCTTGAAGCCATTTTGAATAGTCTGAGGTTTGAAGGCTGCAGCGCGTGCTGCAGGGTAGGCATCTAGGAAATCTGCCTTCTGAATGGCATTAAATCCAAGCCGCATTCGCTGCTGAACTAGATCTCCGTACACTCACTCTAAAACTGAAAAAACACCCACATCTAGTGGCTGCAGAAGGTGAGAGGAATGAGGCGGCATGCAAAGGCATATTATAGCATTATCCTTGCAGATTTGGTCAAATTCTGGGGTAAGGTGACTGCCGTGCCCATCCAGGATAAGAAGGATAGATCTGCCAACTCTGCGAGGATCTGCTGCTGGAATAAACACCCGTTGAAGCCATCTCAGGCCTATTTCATCAGTAGTCCAGCCATTTGGACTGACATCTAGCCTCCAGCCTTCTGGAAGGCCTTCAAACCAATCTTCCAACAAGCCCTGGCCTTTGAGGATGAGATAGGGAGGTAGAGCCCATCCTGACGCGTTGACTGATTCAATTACAGTCACCCATTCACAGTTTCCAGGCTGTAGGAGCTTTGCTCTGCCATAGTGCTCACTGCTAGTAATGACCTTAGTAGTGGCACAGAGCCCCATAGCAAAGCCAGTCTCATCAAAGTTGTATATATCCTCTGGCACAATCCCATGCTCAGCAATTGTATCTCCTAAGGTCTTAAACCAATCCTTTATAACCTGCTGATCTTCACACTTGGCCCGGTCATGATTATAGCATCTGGAATAGCGGCTTCGGAGCTCTGTACAACATTTAATCAGCCTTGAAATCCAGTTCTTGCTGACCCGAGGGGGGGAGGTAGTGGAGGCAGTGGAATTCCGTAAGGTAAGAAGATAATTAGCAATATCTTCAACAAATGCCGGCCGGGGGGGAAATCCTCGTTTAGCTTGGTCCAGCACCCATTCAACTAGGCTATCCTCTTCAGCAGCAGATAATTTGTGAGAGTTTGTGCGTAAATTCACCCGTGAGGGCCGGTGCTTGAGGTGATCTTGAAGAGTAGACCTAGGCACATTAAATAGCTTTGCAGCTTCACGAATTGAGAGCTTTTCATCATTTCGAATAGATTTTATCGCGAGTTCAATCCTCCCCTCTTGCTCAACTGAATTTGAAGAGTTTTTCTTGCATTTTGGTGGCATAATTGCGCGTTGAATTGAATGAGCAGTTAAATTAGTAGGTGGAGAAATTTGGTGGCCGACTCGGTGTGGAATTACGTTAGTTAGTTAACTAGTTAGTTAGTTAGTTATTAGCTAATATATTATGTAATAAGCGTTTAACTTAACGCGCTAATTACGGCAGCCCCATCGCATCCATGGGACATTAGTTATCTTCGTCCGATTTGTAATAACGGGAATAACTTCAAATCAGCTGTAAAACATGCTTATAACGGATGGATAAATCCCTTCGATTCCCTGCTACACGTAAAGATTGACCCCAACCCGCAGACCACTACCCGACTTCTCTTGTATGCATACCTCGAAAGCTCCGTGACCCGCATACTCGGAGGAAGCGGATCTGGATCGATGATCCCAATCCGGGACCTTTCTGATACTCGACAAAAGCCTCAATCCTTAAAAGCCTCAATCCTTAAAACCCCCATTCCCCTCACTTCACAAAAGCCCTGTGGTTCTGCATATTTGCTGTTCATTCCGTGAAAATCTTTTACGGCTCCTTAAAGAGTTGCCCGATCCCTCGTTCGGTTCTTATTTCCACAGAAATGAACCCAATATCCTGAAACCTACACCAATTGAGTCGCATTGCACGACGACGGCCTCGGTGTTAAAAAGGAGGATTTCAAAACGTCAACAGGAAGCGCAAATTTTAGCAACGATATCGAACGAATAACGGCGGAAGGGACATAATGTGGCTTACCACGCTTATCTTTGACTATGGGGCGTCAGTTTTGTACGCACCCTGCAAAACCCCGAGGATATAATTCTAAATACTTAATTTCTGACATGAAACTTTTTGGCAGCCTCGTCCTCTCGCCCCTCACGTCGTATTCAGACCAAATATATAGCATACATAGGACGAAAAGTTCTGCTGGATTTTCGCTGGATATTCCATTGATAATGCTTGTGGCTTCGATATTAAAGTGTGTTGCCTACTTTCCCCTTGGCCCATTCCCGTTCTTCTCCTTTGGCCCCAGAGGCTCATTTCCCTGGTCTAACGTTTTGTACTTTAGAGTGTTTTACTGGTTTGGCGCTTATTATTCGCCCACGCTCCTCTATCAAGCAATCATCATGATCGGAGTACAATTGGTTTTGCTAAAAGTGGCCCTGGATAATCGAGCGCCAACTGGGATAAAGGACGGGATTGAACATCTACCGTTTAGTGGGCAATCGGCAGGTGGTCTGTCTGCGGGCTTCTCGAGACCATATAACTTTTGGCAGTGGAGAGCTAATAGGCCGTACGTTACTCTCGTAATCGTTTTATCATCCGTTCTTCAAGATTCATCTCCGTCATTTGAGTTTTTTTTCGACGCCTATAAAATTCGATAATCACTTGGCCTGAAACTTGTTTGCTTATGCTATAATTTGCAGCTACTGGACATTCCTCTCCTATTTCGTCACATCCCTCTTTATCATCCACGTCTTTCTCCGCCCCATCTCGCGATCGCAATCCTATATTGCACTTCTTGGCTTTGCGGGATTAAGCGTGGAAGCATTCCTCCCAGTGCCACAGATAATATCTAACCAACGTGCGCAATCCTGCAAAGGCTTTCGTGTCTCCGTGCTCGCGTCGTGGATTCTTGGAGACGCAATGAAGATGGGATATTTCTTTTACGATGCCGATTCAGTCCCATGGGCTTTTCGTCTTTGTGCGATTTTGCAATGCATCTGTGACTGCTACCTTGGTGTACAATATTGGATGTTCGGGAATGGAATTCCAGCAAAACTTGATGTTGACCGGATTGTGGCCACTAGCAGGTTTGATCATGGCGATGGTAGGTGGAGGATGAAGGATACCGATGTACGATTGTCATAGTTAGCTATTTGGGAGGTTTATCTTTGTGGCTTGCAGGTTTAATATGTTGACATGTTACTCATAAATAGACCTGGCGTTCTCCTTTCCATTTTATATAGTTTTCTATGTCTTCTGTTTTCCCCATTTTCTTGACAGTTTCTGTCTGTCATATTGAATGTTAGTTAGACCTTTATATAAAATTTAATGGCCATATGCCCTCTCTTAATTAGACGCAAGCAGTATCAGGCTAAGGATATTTCATACCAATCTGCGGTAATCAGTGATTGCTAATTATCCCAAATTAACATCCCTGCTATGAAAATCTTAGCGGATTTGAGCGGGGATGACATAACGATATTAGATTGATTAAATAGGCACCAGGTTCCCCACGGTTAGCTCCGTCCCAGATCCCCTCATTTGAACCCATAGCTTCACAACATGCAAAGGCAATTCTCTGCAACCACTTTAGCATCATTCCCCCTATACTGCACCTTACCATTATATCTTGCAGTCCATGGCTTCGTCAAGAGACACTATTAGAATTGGCTTTGTGCCAGGTAAGTTAAGTATAATCCCTGACGCAATTTCTGCCAAATTCTCGGGCACTATTGTTATTCCGTTAAAACGCCAACCCCCGCCGTCATGCATTATTTACGTGCTGATAATGTCAGATAAAATGTGCAGAGCACTACCTAACCCCTCTTCACCTTGCTCTCAAGTCGTTCATCCCCTCCCTCCCATTCAAAGTGACCATCAAACCATTTCCTTCTGGGACAGGACATATGATAACCTCCCTGCGCGAAAATGAAATTGATATTGGCATCGGATTAACTGAAGGCTGGGTGGCCGGGTTAGTTGGTAAAACGCAATTGGAGAATGGTGACGTAGATGGGGGGTATAAAATGGTAGGACAATGGGTAGAAACCCCACTGAGATGGGCTATCGTGTCAGGAAGGAATCGAACGGAGATTAATGGGGTGAGCGACTTGAAAGGAGGGCGTGTTGGAGTAAGCCGATTGGGGAGGTTAGTAGCCCATCTGAACAAAAATTGTTTGATATAACGGTGTCCATTTCTTATTATATTATCTAAGGGCTAACGAATCATCACCTCTCTAGCGGTTCTCATATCATGTCATTTGTTCTAGCCCAACAGCAAAACTGGTCGTCAACCTCATCACCACTTAGACCAGTTGTTCTGGGACCCTTTCCCTCACTGCGGGATGGAGTTACTGGGTACAATTCTTTAACCCCTTCAGCCACTCCATCCCCATCCGCCGATTTCTTCATGTGGGAACAATTCACTACGAAGCCTTACTTCCACCCATCGGAAATCAATTCAAACCCTCCTCTAAAGAAAATCGGAGAGATCTTCACTCCCTGGCCTTCATGGCACATTGCTGCTTCAACTTCTACATTTCCTTCCCCAGCGCAAGATGAGCGACTCACTCAACTTTTCGATGCCCTGGATAACGGTATTGCTGCCTTCGAGGCCGACAAAGAGCAGGTTGTCAAATTGCTAGGCACGGGTGAACTAGGTTGCACGTATATTGAGGAAGATGCTAGAGAATGGCTTAGAGATGTACGGTTTGTCAAGGATGGAACGAGAGGCGTTGATAAGCCTATTGTTGAAGGGGTGATTGATGTTCTAAAAGTAGCTGATGTCGTCCCGGAGAATATTGAGAATTATGTTGCCTTAGAGAAGGTTGTGGGTATATCTAAATAGATACGCATATATCCCTCTTCGTTATTTGGAAACGGCAAAATGCACGTCACTTCGGGATCGGTTTATCCCGATGGTAGGAGCTGTTTCAATTCACATGCATATGAGTTTAAACTTATTTTACAGGGAATGAGGTTAAGTGTGGCTTTGATCAGAGATTGCTCCGAGTATTCTGTGATGCATCGCGGATAAGCTTTGTTTAGGGCTAATTTATCTCTACCAAAGAGATTTTGAAGGCGTAGCTGTATAGTTTACTGCATTGAAGCTGAATATGTTCTCTCACATTACCTGTACAGATTATCTGGATCTGTTGATGCTGATACCATAATCTCACCATCCCTATGATTTATAGAGTCAGGGTGCTGGCAGTGTATCCTATATCTCACATCCTAATGTCTTTTCTGCATCGAAAGTCCTTGAATTTAAATTGAGGGCCTATAGATATCTCCTGGTTCGCTAACAAACATTGATTTGAAATACTGGTCGAAAGCATGTATCAACAATTGATTTTGTGCGGAAAAGGGGCAACTTAACACTTCATACTCCATGCGCTTATGGCGCTTGTCGAGTTTACCAACTTCGTGTCTGTGCGGGAATATATTGCTGCCGACCTCCACTCCACTTGGTACTAGCAAGTCTATTTATTAAGATGGACACAGATGATCTTGCAGTTCCTGGACCCCAATCTGAATGTCAACGTGGAAAAGATATATTTCGTGTCACCAGTTATTTTCGTCTAGACTTTGACCTTGCCGTTCATCGGAATAAATCCTCGCGAACATGACGGTATCAATGCCTCCATGGCTCATCCTTTTGATAGTAGCCCTCCTGCAACACTAGGAAGTATTGAAGATTTATCACCAGTGATGTTCGGGACATGAGAACAAACCAAGATAGTTTGATAAAGAGGTCCTACGATACATGACTGCCATCGCCTGCCGTGCCTTGATATCAGAAGTGGTGATGTTGAACAGAATATATCTTGCGCAGGCTGCCGAATTGGACTTGAGAAAAGTTTATGGATCTCGGAATATAGGACTGAATTTGGGTGATGCGCGGAACCGCTTGTATTCGCATGGTGAGTTTCTAGAGTCTTTTCCACAGTGCTGAAGATCAAACTTTACGGGAATCTAGCCTAGAAGGCACGACACCCATCAAAGTACCCTACTTGTTCAACGTTGAGTGTATTATAAAGTGTTGCTCATCCCTATTAAAAAAAATACGGCAAAATCATATCATTCAGCAAAATTGCAAGTCAAGAGCCAGTGGTTCCTGGTCCATGAACAGCAAGCAATATTTTTACAATGGAGGAAAGACATGCATCCACTTCCAAGAATTGACTCCGGGCGTCGTTCTGCCGCTGAGAAGATACCTCGATCTCTGGCATTAGTCCTCGAACCATGAAGCAAGGTACAGCACATCCTGGATCTGAGAAGATATCGATATTGGGCACAGAGGTTCCCTGAGGGAATAAAATGTTGAAAATCACAAATGAATCATGCATTCCCTGTTATAATAATATAATTTGACAGCGAAAAGCTCCAACAAAAAGGTCAAGATATCCATCGGATTTATCAGAATGAACACTATAACCAAACTGGCAGCAATTGAGACATCGTTCTGGTGGGCTTAAGTTTTAACATTGAAGGTTCATTCTGTCAATCCTTATTTTCTATTGAAAACTTCGACTTGGCCTTTGCCATTGCTTGGATTCAGGGGAAGCGTAAAACCGTCCCGACATCCACAGTAATAGATGACGTTGAGTCCATTTTCTTTACGGCTGCCGGAATAACTTTCACCCGGCCAAAGCCGTTTTCGAAATTCCGCTCCAAGGATCCGCAACAGCAAAACGATAGAGATAGAATCAAAGACACCCTCTCTTTGACGGCAACATGGCAGCTCCCAGTAGATACATGTCGTCTCTAAGGAGGGGCATCGTATCTGCATTCCGGCCCCCCATACAACCCAATCCCACTATCCTCCCCTTCTTCTTATTTCCCGTACAACGACAGTCCAGATATGCCCAAACACAGGCGAAAAAGAGCACCAAGGCGAAGAAGAAATACAAGACTTACATTCAGCATAATATGAAAGATGCGGTTCAATTCACCCTCTGCGATGCAATGAGGTATACTTTCCTTTACTTGGCCGAATTGGCTAGCGTACCAACCAAGCTTTAACGGATTTAAAAAGTAAACAGCATGAACGAATAATCAGCTAATTCAATTCCGTTCTTGCACCACTAGATGGATCCGCGCTTTCGAAGTAGGAAGGCCACTCTCATCCGTCAAATACGAAATCCACGTCCGCCTAAGCTCAAACAGAGGCGGTACTGTCATCCGCAACCAGATCCGTCTTCCGCACTCTGTCCATCCTCTCGCCCGCGTGTGCGTGATTTGCCCTCCAGATTCCCGCGCTGCAAAGGAAGCTGCCTCAGTTGGAGCGGAAGTAATAGGCCAAGAAGAAGTCTTCGAACAAATTAAAGAAGAGAATATCAATTTCGATCTCTGCATCTGCCACACGTCGAGTTTGGCGGCCATGAATAAAGCTGGTTTGGGACGCATTCTAGGACCTAGGGGTCTGATGCCCAGCGCCAAAATGGGGACTGTGGTGGATAACATTGCTAAAACGGTGCGGAGTATGCGTGGCAGCACGACCTATCGAGAAAGGATGGGAGTTATAAGACTTGCTATTGGGCAGCTGGGCTTTTCGCCTGACCAACTGAAGCAGAATATTGTCACGTTAATCTCACAATTGAAAAAGGATGCTGCTGCGGTGGATGATTCGTCAAAGGAAATTTTGGAAGTGGTATGTCGTTATCTGAATCCCTTCTGCCAAATTTTTTTTTTTTTTTTAATAATTTTATATGGAAGCGCACGCAATGTCCTAACCAGTGGCCAAAAAAGGTATTGAGCTCAACCAACTCTCCAGGTTTTAGTTTGAATGGGGATTTCAGAAGTCCGGATTCCCCTCCTGTACAAGCACTCACGGGAAACTAAGTTGTTGTCATAGAATATGCATAAATATTTGTCTTCATTCCCGGGTTTTAAATACATGGCGTTCTATGGTACCCCTTTTGATAGACTAAATAAATAAACCACATAAACTCCTAAAACTCCATGGCCTGCTATGCCGAATTCTTATATGTCATTTTTGATGCAAAAGAACGGGTGAAATACCTCTAATTCCCAGCTACTGCATCGCAGTTTCTACACTGTCACCATCCTGCGCTCTTCCCCCAAGCAGCTCATACAAGCGCGTAACGGCCTGGAGCCTTTGCGGTCGATTCTTCGCTTGTCGCAAGGCAATTTTCAAATCCAGCAACAACGCGGTTTTTATCTTCCCCATCATGCCCTCTTGCTGGGCAATGAAAGGATGACTATCACCCACCCTCCCACTAATCGTCCTGATATAGAGATACTTTTGTATATGTCGTTCCAGTCTGGACAAGGACACGGTTGGTGCGCCACCACCGTCACTCCCACTCCCAGCAGCATCACCACCATCACCGCCCCCGTCACTTTCTTCCATTTCACTCTCGATAATCCAATCCGAGTCATCTTCATCATCATCATCAGTCCCCGAAGCTTTCTCCCCACGTCCATCAACAATCATAAGCGACTCCTCCAACTCTCCAATACTATACTCAACGTCCAACAATTCATGCGCAACCATAATCCCCTTCCTCAGCTTTTTCTTCTCCTCTACCAACTCCGCCATCTCCCCAATCCTCTTTTCAAACAAATCCCGCAGTCCCTTAACATCCCTCTGAAACCCTAACAGCCCGACTCTAACTTGCTCAACCTTCTCTTCGCCACCCCTCAGCGCGCTGCCCAGTGACAGAAAGTCCTGATAGTTCTCATTGACAAGGTCGAGGAGCTCGTTGTTGAGCGACTGGCTAAGCTCACGTAGTTCAGTTTGTAGGTCGGAGAGGGTCTGGTGGCGGTTTGTGAGAGAGGAGAGGAAGGTGGCGGGGTCGAAGGTCGGGGAGAGGAATGATGAGCGCGACAGAGGCTTGGGGAATGGGAGGTTCGAATCGGTGCAATTAGCGCCACTGAGGACGGAGTCGGAGTCAGAGTCGTCTGAGTTGCCGAACTGTATGTGCGGCATAAGGTCAGTTGCGGGAGTGTTCTGAGGCCAGATTATACTTCAAGAGAGGGAGGAGGAACATACAAAATATCTGGAGGTCATTGTGTAATTTTACGTCTATTTTCCATTCGTCTGACTTTCCTTGAACAGTCAGGACAATTAACCAGTCGGAGATGCAGTGGTACCTAGGAACGGCTGAAAGTTGGGCTGGGCGGAACCTGGTATCTAATCCCCCTAACTGCGGCCCGAGGGCCCGCGCTAAACTTATTTCCAATCATGAATAGCGCATTGTACGTTTAAGCGCGGTCTGAGCAGCCAGGCTATTGAAAGGCACCAACCATAGCATCCATAGGAACTCATATATAACTTTGCTATCATCTACAGAATAATAGATTTACTGGAGTAGAAATTCTGTGCTTTGAATAATCTTGGATATATACAAGTTTGTAAGCTACTAAATATAAAGCATAATATTATTTTAAACATTGGTTAATGTAACGAGGCAGCGCCGAGACGGTGAGTCAACAGCGACGTCACGTAGGATAGGTTATAGAGGAAGCCAAACGGTTGGGCTTGACTATTTAAGGAAGCAGACGAGCGTATGCCTACGAATCGAAGAGATAACTAAGAATCGAGGGTACAAGTGTTTGAATAGAGAAATTGTATGCGTATTCCAGCAACTCTGATATATTGAGAACGAATCGCTGACCCTTTGAACAGTGGGTCAGATAGCTATTCTCTAGAGAGCTTCTATCAAGCTCCCGTCCTTCATGGAATTGTGACAGATGCGTCCCACCTGATTAGGGGGGTAGGGGCGCCTCCTAAGCGTCATTAGTGGTGTGTTTCTCATAGCCTTCTACAGCGATGATCAATACAACCATCTTGTATAAAGGTGGGGAAGAATGAATTTCACAGAGGCAGCAGTGCAAGAAGGCGCCTGGACATGGTCCTGTGACCGTGACATTAATTAAAAAAATATAACCTATAAAATAATATAATATATATAACTTCGTTAATTATAAATGTAAAGAATATATAAATTATTAATTAAAAAATTAATAAAATACATTTACATAACTATAACTGATATTTAGAAAGGTTTTAATTTTCTATTAAAAGATAAAATAAAATATAAAATATATATAAATAATTTATATATTTAATAATATTATTATTGTTGTTGTTGTTATTTTATTATATCTATTTAAACTAAAATTTAGTTATTTTATAAATTTAAAATATATATAGTTATATGAATTATATAAACTTTAAATAAAAGTTTTTTAACTTTTATTAAACTTTTACGATAAAAATTCTATATACTATTCTACATAATATATTAATCTCGAAATCTTCTCACAAAGTTTATTAATGATCATGTAGTTGAGTTGATGCGCGTATATATGTTCGACCTGTGAGCGGGAGGTGGAGCATAACAACTGGTCAAGGTCAGCTTAACATGAGAGGGTTAATTTTTATCTATAACAATTAATCTGATATCAACAGTGATAAAAGATGCAGATTTGTCTTAATTGAAAGAAGAAGATTAGTCAGTTGGTGAACTGTTTCTTCTACGCTGCTTACTCAAGAGAGGTCAATCTCATTCACTCATCAATAATAATGTTCACCGAACAAAATCTGATGTCTCTAGAGGTTAGTTTTTGATTGCTGAACTGGGAATCTTTGTGTCATACAATCCAGTTAATCGTTCAGTTAGACTTGAGTGAGAGACATTGTACATGCAAGCAGCAGCTCAAGACATTTGAAATTTGACCTTTTTCTAAAGCTTTGACGTAAAAAGAATGCTACTCTCTCGATAGAAAGCTTTATTGACTTTGGGGATTGACATTTTGGCTGACTGGACTTCTTGGGATGCATCGTGTGTAACTACGAGAGAGATGTCCGAATAGTTCGTGGTTGGATTAGTTAACCAGCCAGGTCTTCTTCCTGCCCCACTCTGCCGCTAACAATCGCAATGACAACTCATCCTCTGCATCTCTCCAGCAGCGTCGATGTGGATAGGCCTCAGGGTCTCTGAAGAAATGCACCTTGGATGGACCCCAGTTTTGTCTCCATCAGTCAGGCCAATGTATGTCGGTCTTATTGCCTGCTTGAATCTTCGTAGCCTGCCCCGCCCCCCAAAACATACCTAGTATACCACCCTCCCTTATGACAGCCTGCACGCTCTGTTCGATAATACCGCTACTTGGGTAGAGTCGCGCTGCGATATTACAGGACCAGCGTCTATTTTCCTGTCTCCTATAAGAGAAGTGCCCCTCCCATGAATACTTGTCAAGATGGATACCAGGTCAGACAACGTCAACTCCTCCCTCCTCCTTGATGGCCAGCGACTTTCCTCGTCCCTCCCTCCCCAGCCGTGGCTCAATCACACTCCAGTAACTTCTCGTGGATGTACCCGTCTGTTTGACCCTGCTGTTTCTTCTTCTCCTCTTGACGAGTCCACTCTTGCACGTCGCACAGCAGCTCTGCGTCAACTGAATGGCCTCCCGCGCCCGTTTCACCGTATACACCACCATACTACTTCTGCCAGCAGCCGGTCATCTCTCCCCTCCCAACCTGTCATAGTGAGGACTTATTCCGCCGAAGCCGATGCTCAGATACGGCCGTCTGCCATGTCACAAGGATCAGGTCTTCTAGCAAACGGATCTGGCGCAGATAGGTCACCTGTAGAGTTACCATCTGTTCAGGATTTCAGCATCGATGGAATTCTCCGGGCAATTGAGCCTGATATTCAAAGTACGCTTGATGCTATCGCTGAAATATGTGGAAGAAGCAAGCTGAGTCTTGCGAATGAGTATGGAAGCCATCGCCCGCCTCTGGGGGAAATTCGCGCTTCTGGCAGATCACCAGATCCCGGCCTTCTACCTGTCGAGGAAGCTAGCTCAAGTAGCGAAAGGCTAGTTGACCAAAACATTGTCATTCTAGGGGATGATACCAGCACGTTTGGCGAACGGAATCCGTTCTTGTCTACATACAATTTACTAGTGAATGCGCACGAAGACACTGGTGCGCTACTCTATGGATCTGCTATACTCCCTCCCTGGAGTCCAGATCCATTCTCTCAACAAACTGTTATACCACCTAGAAATTCCTCGTCTCAAACAGGGACCCAATCTTTGCTGCTGACCAGCGAAGGTAGACGTCCCAGACACAGTTTTGACTGGGCTTTGCTTGGACGAGGCACGGAACATAGGCGTCATCATCACCACAGTATCTCGACGCGACCCGTTGTCTCCGAAGTTCTCTTGGATGTTCAGGCAGACGGAACTTATCTAATGGACACGTCTTGGGAGTCATACCATCGCGAGACTTCTGGGGAGACAGATGATTATTCAAGGAATACTGCCATGAACGATTCACTTCTCTTGCGAATTCGAGTTGAGAGACTGTCGTTCCTTTCTGATCTGCAGGGACTGCTCTCATGGTTTAGAAACGTAGGGCACCGCCTTGATAGAGCTGGTGACTCTGTACCTTCCCAGACTGCTGAAATGAGGCTTCGTGACGTTCTCCAGAGGCAACACAGTAGCATTTCAGGTGCGGTGGCGGCTGGAAATGCATAGTCTTTTTGGCATGCCTCAGTTTCTCGTGAACACAGTTTTCAACATTGAGACGACCTATCGGATTTCCTTCTAGTTCCATTACCATATACCCTCGATGTTTTTGCATTTCATTTTATATTCCCTTTCTTGTTTTTCAAGGGTGACTGTATAATGTCTTAACGATTTACGATTCCATATTTCTTTCGTATCTACCTTCTTCTAAGAGGTTTCTATGTACCAAGCTCCCCTGGGTGATTCTGCTTCCTCATAATTTGCATTTCCTAATCAAATCGAATATTTCATACATGCATCTAGCGCAAGCTATTCACGTTATACGTAATACAATCGCAATCATTATGCAAGCGGGTTTTTGTCTGTTGTACATATAACTGCAGCTTTTATACCTTCTATGCAATCCATCCAAGATAAGAAAACAATATGAGATATAAAGTAATCGCATAGAATCGCAAGAAAATGCAGAATGCAGTGGAATGGACGAAAGAAAAAAGGAAATGCTGTGTTCCAAACCTCATCCCCTGCTCCGCTCCGCCTCCTGAATAATCGTCTTCGCAAACTCCTCGAACAGAGGTCTCGACCAACACTTCCGATACCTCTCCACTAACAACTCTCCACCCTCACCCTCGCCCGCATTCCCACCCCCAATCCCATTCCTAACCACGCCATCGGCCTCTCCCTCGCCCCTCCCACCAACCCCCTCCACCATCTCCCCAAACCCAACATCAATCGGCACAGCCCCTAAAAACCTCACCCCCATCTCCTCCGCCATAACCCTCCCCCCGCCACTAGAAAACACATTCGTCACCTCCCCACAGCATGGACACGAGTAGCCGGACATATTTTCCACAACGCCAATGACAGGAATGCACGTCTTGGCGCAGAAGTTGAGTTCCTTCCGCACGTCTGCGGTCGAGATAGCTTGTGGTGTTGTTACGAGGATGGCGCCGGTGAGGAGCGGTTGGCTCTTCTGCTGCTGCTGCTGCTGCTGCTGTGAGGAATTTCTAGATGTTGTGGATGCTATTGTGAGTAATTGCTCTGCGAGCGCGATGTGTTCGTCGCTGGTTCCAGGCGGCGTGTCGATGAGTAGGTAATCGGTCTCACCCCATAGAACGTCAGTGAGGAATTGTCGGATCATTGCTGTCTTTTTGGGGCCGCGCCAGATTACAGCGTCGCCGCGGTCATGGAGGAGGAAGCCTAGGGATATGCAGCGGAGGGAGCCTCGTGGGGTCGATTGGGAAGACTGGGGTTGTTGTGCGCTTGTGCTTCTATTTGTATTTGTATCTGTATTTATTATTGTTGCTGTGGAAGGCTGCGACGGGCCTGTACTTATATCCATTACTGTAACTGTATCTGTATCTGTATCTGTAGTGGCGCCAGCGCCAGCGCCGACAGCGGAGGATGGAGGGTGTGGAGATGCGACGGAGGAGTTATCAGAGGTAGAAGCAGGGTCCAGGGCAGCGGGATGGACCAAAACGGGCACCCAGCCACCAGGCGCCTGAGTGATTTTCGCATCTTCCTTGCCGACCAGGCGCGGTATGGAGGGACCTGTCAGGTCGACATCGAGAATGCCCACCGATCGCCCCTGGAGGGTTAGGGCTAGTGCCAGTTGCAGGGTCACTGAGGATTTTCCTACGCCACCTTTGCCAGATAGGACCTGAATTAACTGTTGGTTATCTGGGAATGAGGAATTTAAATATGGGGAGGGTGGCATTTGGAGTCTTGCTTGTTTCTTGTTTATCGGTAATGGACGCCATCACTGGGAATAGGTCATGATGGGCAGCACGGGGAGGTGGTTTCCGGGGGGGATTAAAATATGGCTTACCAGGACAATGTTTTTGATGCCGTCCAGCGGCATTCTGGAATCGTAGTGTTAACTGTGATTATTCAAGTAATGAGGAGTTGAAGTCATTAAGCAATGTTTAGTGGGGGCATTGTTATTGCTGTCTGTGAGGTTCTGATCTCTTCTTGATTTTTTTTTTTTTTTTTGGATTATTTATCAAGCAGCGGAGGGGCGTCGTTGGCTGCGGATACAAACTATCATCAGTATAATGACAGTAGCTAACTACAACCACAAATCCACCAATTTACCTCTTCATGAAAAGCGAAATATATGTATGAAGGTGTTATGACTCGCAGGTCAATGGTCCATTTTAGCTACCATTCTATTTATTTATCATAATTAGTTGTATCTACCATGTTTCGCCAGAAGTTATCTGCTTTCCAGCCATTCAGGTCCCACAATAACAAAACAATAAGAAACGTTAAATAAGAGTCTTAAAGTCACGTCTGATACAGTTTAGAATGGATATCACGTCCATTTCTGTACCACAACCCCCCCACGCTTGTATTCCTTGAGGTCTCCTATGACCGCTTCCTTATCAGTTAGTTCCATGCTAGGGAACGTCGTCATCAGCACCCACGGTCGTTGCCGGCTGGCGGGACTTGAAGCAGTCACGAACGAGTATACGTCTCCAATGGTGTTCGTAGTGTTGAATCGGGTGACTAACCGCGTGCCATCTCCTAATCTTATTTGAAATGTGACTGTCGGCTGCGACTCATCTATCTTAGGCCCTTCAGGTCCTGGGGACCGCTGTTCTGCTTCTGCTGCTGGCATTGCAGTTGCAGGCGCGGAGGATGGAGAATGTATAGGACCAGGTGTTGGGCTGCCTAGACGCTGTCCGCTTCCTGAAAATGGTTTGTACTTGGGTTTTGGCTTTACGTATTTCTCATCGTGTTGCTTTATCTCTACATCAACCGATTGTCCCACCTGCACATTCATTATCGAGAGTGGTGCACGTCCTTGCCGGATGCCATTCAATATCTCTGCATTGCGAGGGTCGTCCGATCTGTAGAGGTCACCGTCGTCTACTGAGAATCCATCTGCCCAGAAGTGAAGTATTCGGCTAACGCGCTGGGCTCTTTGGGGGCGATTAGCATTTGGGTCGGGGATAAATTGGCTTGGTGTGTCGTCCCCTCCAAGAGTACGCGCGGCGCCCGTGAAATGCGAGCTTCGCGGTTTTAAGACATCTGCAGGTCTTGGTGCTGACCTATTGTGCAAGGCATGTTAGTAGCCTCCCCTTTGTTCAAGCTTGAGAGAAAAATATATATCAAGATTGCGCACCTTCTCGCCTTCTCTATGATTTTCTGTTTAATATCATCCGGGTTTTGAACTGCCAGGCCTGACTTCTCCCCTCCAGCAAACATATCCTGCCCTTCATCGCTGTCATCATCGCTGTGATCATGAGCTCCATTTTCACCCGCACCTAGATCGCCGAGGGTCGCAAACTTCTTTTTGGTGGCATTGCGCGTAGCAGCCTCAAAGGAAGGAGGGGTTGCTGCACCACCAAGCGTTCGACCACCACCTGATGGCTGTGCCGATTCATCGCCGTATTCAAGGTTGCCTTTCGTGTTATCATCTTGGTCGCGATAGAACTCCTCAAGCGCGGTCTCCAGGTCCCAGTTGCTCGTTACCAGAAACTCTCTGGCCTGTCCGAAAATCCCAAAATGATAAGAGTCACCATGAACATTAGAGATGCTTGCACATGCACATGCACAACCAAAGAAGATCTTACCTGTACAGGAGAAATGCCCGTAATACCGGAGAGTTGAGAGATCAGAACATCCTGCTCCTCCTGATGAAGGTCCATGCTATATAACAGGACCAAGGACCAGATCTAGGTGCTGATCACGAAGCTCTCCACCACCAGATTAGAACACCAAATACAGCTAAAGAAGAGCAGAAGGAGAGGGAGGAGCTCGACAGGAACTGAAGAGCAGAGAACCAGAGTTGTAGATACAGAGGAGATGTATATGAACTGTTGTTGTCTCTCTGTTTGAGCCCGTGAAGTTAGTGTCTTGCGGTTGACATGCACAGGACGTCACAGTTGCCTTGGCTGTGATTATATCAGCATCCAGGACAACCGAAGAGGGACTTAACTTAGCCAATGAAATCCCAATTCTGAGCTCTCGAGTACCTAGGTATGCTGATTTGTCGGTGGGATATGCTCATATAGATCAAGAAATCATAGTGATAGATAAACCCTGACCATGACCTGTTCTTGAGGCAGTTCCGGGAGTTGGATATAAATACATATTCATGTCTAGACAAGCATTAAGCATCATGTGACCTTGAACTGCTCTTTGCTTAACCAACAGCAAGTATATCGTCATCATATCAGGTTATCAACCATCCAACAATCAACTTATACACACCGCATAACATACACTTCGCGGGTTCCCCATTTCTTCACGCTCGCCGGCCAATTAATTCCTTGCTTCAATCATTTCCACCCGGATATCTTCCCAGCAGCGTTTCCTTCCCGAGAAATAACCTCCCTCCTCTTCCCCTCCCCTTCCTCCTTACACAACTCCAACGATGCCGTCAGACGAGATCCCCTCACAATCCCGGATAGACTTGTACGACTCCACCTTGATCGTGCCCTCGGACTCGGAAAACTACTCTGCAAATAACGAGCTATCCTCCCTGTCACCCCCTTCCACGTCAAGTTCTCCCGTCATTCTCTACAAGCCTCCCACACTGTGGGGTCTACTACGAGGTGCGGCTATCAATCTTCTCCTCCCATTTATCAACGGCCTGATGCTGGGATTTGGTGAGTTGCTGGCACACGAGGCTGCGTTTAGGTTAGGATGGTTGGGTACCAAGGTAAGAAAAGATATTGGGGTCGAGGCGGCGGTGGAGTGGGAGTTGCCATTCTATTCGAGTTATCTACTTTACGAATAACGCAACTAAAATCACCTGCCTGCGCTCATTTAGATATTCCCCACTCATCGGCGATCACATCCGCTTGGTCCTGGTATTGAAGTCCGTGAGGCTCCCCGCGAAAAGCGGCCACGGAATAGATATGATCTGGAAGATATGGCCTTGCTGGACTAAGCCCGCGATTGTCCTACATATTCATTTGGTTGTAGAATGAGAGCGCATTTCTCCGCGGCTAAAAATTAGCTGTCATCATTTGATTGCATGTTTCTCTCTACTGCACATGTACATTTCATAATAGCTTCGATTCATCCCTCGTATGCAGGTTGAAATCTGGGATTGGCGAATGGCGTGTAAGAGCTTAAACTGCCAGTTTGTAACTCTATAGGGATGAGCAAAGACGAACATGGATAGAAATTAGTGAATAAGATCGCTACCTGTAGATCACCTCATTATTTTCCGTTTAATCTTACTTGTCTATGTCTCCTATTTAAATATACCCTTTTGTTTTGGTTGTTTTTCTTTAAATAATAAATTGTTCCGTTGAGAGAGATTTTGCGGAGTCGGCTAACATTCCCCGAAACAGCGAACAAAAAAGAGAGCATCGCCGACATGTATCCTCATCAAATTTTTTGGTGGACTTCGGAACAATCAACACCAACGTACCAGGCCCAACAACACGGTCACGACGCCAGGTTCACATTTTGCACGGCTTCCTATACTCCTTATTATGCTGGGCAAGACAGGCGTCAGGCCATGGGCCGCTGTATCTGTATCTAGTGTGACCAGACGGACAATGCTCGCTGCACCGCTCTCCGCTAGACATGTTCGTCTTCTATTCCTCCCAAGTCTTCTTCTATATCGAGGTTGCGGCATCTGAGTTACTGACCACTATTTCTGTACCAGCTCTCTACAGTCACAACGAGGAAGTTCCTCCAATCAAAGTCGCGGAGTCCGACACAAAATGCTCCTGGGCTTTTAATGACATCCTCCTGGAGCTCTGTTGTCGTCCAGTTCGCGGGACTAGCAAATCCCCGTTTCAATTCCACTACGACAAACCCCAGCTCGACCAGTGCTCCCTCATCTCTCAATTCCATAGATACCGTAAACCCCCCGTTATCAAGTGATGTTGAGTCAATTGATTCCCTTTCTGCGGCCGACCTTGTGAGCGTCGACATTTCCCAGATTCCTGAAACGCTAGGCTATCTAAAGGCGATAGGCCTAGATTATGGCTGGGGCCCCTCACGATTAATAGAAACAATTTTGGAATCGCTACATATCCATGGAGGATTGCCGTGGGTGGGTGCTACGATAACGACTGCGGTCCTGCTACGTGTGGCCATGTTGAAATTCGCCATTGATGCGTCTGATACATCGGCCAAGGTAGCAAGCGTGAAGCACCTAACTCAACCAATCCAGGAGGAGGTTAAACGATGCTATAGAGAAAACGATACTATTGGGATGCAGCGTGCACTAAGTACACGGAGGATTATTAATGAAAATTACAACATCAAGTTGATGAAGCTGGCGTATCCGATGATACAGATTCCCCTCAATTTTGGAGCCTTCAGAGTCTTGCGGGGCATGTCTGCTTTGCCTGTGCCGGGGTTGGATTCAGAGAGCTTTCTTTGGCTTTCTAGTGTTACAGTGCACGATCCACTCTTTATCCTCCCGGTCTCAACGGGCCTGCTAATGCATTATACATTCAAGGTTCGTTCATGCAGAAAAATAAATATCAAAAAGCCTTTCATTTACCTCCAGATCCTCCCATGCGGTTCTTATATCAAGTATGCTAATATCATCCCCATTAGCTCGGAGGCGAGGTGTCTGCTTCGACTGATCAAACCGCGATGGCAGCCAGGCCCCTCTTACTCTACGGCCTACCCGTCCTATCAACAGTGTGCACATTATTTCTACCAGGAATTCTTCAAATCTTCTTCGCCTCAACCTCCGTCCTAGCAATCCTGCAATCCTACGCCTTTCACTCCTATTCCTTCCGTCGGGCCCTTGGAATGTCCCCATTCCCTAAGCGCCCTGACTATTCCTCCAACACCCCAACCGGCTCAAAAGTGCGCATCATTGAAGCCCCGCGAGATAACTCGACAGCGTCCTCACACATCGAGCAAGTGCCCAAAGTCAGCTTTATAGATCGATTCATCTCCAGTTGCCAAAACTCTATAAAAGACACAAGGAAGAAGATGGAGGATGTAGTCAGGCAGAACCAGAAAGTGGAGAAGTTTGCTGATGGCACGCCTAAGGTACGTATGACTAAAAAGCAGCTTCAGGATGCTGTTGCCTATGAGAATAAGCGGAGGGAGGAGCTTGCTCTGGAGCGGGAAACGCGAAATAAGGAGCGACAGATGGAGTATAGGCGGAAGGTCGCGGAGAAGAAAAGGAAGCAGAAAGAGATATGAATGAGTGGACCTATCTTTTCTGTTTTTCTTGTTTCAGACTCTCTTTCTTCTATTTCTGTTAGATCTAACCCTTCCCCATGTTGTATTTTCTAATGCAAATGTACAGTACTTTATTTGTTGAAATGGCGTGGGAGTGGATTACGTATTATCTGTTTTCCTATACTTTTTCCATAGTTTTGGTTCAGCTCTAATTGCTCGACTGATTACTCAAACTGATACTTCATTCCTTGTCGTATCCTACATTCGTCACATTTACATCCCTTTTGTATCCTCATCTCTCATGTTTCTCTCGTTTCGTTAATCACTAATAAGCTCTTCTCCCACTGCTGGTCAGCGCTGAGGCCATCTCCCTTGCTCTCTTAGCATATTTATACACGTCTAATCAAAAAGGCATCCTTTAAATGCTCGCTGGATAGCACATCACGGATGAGGATATAAATGAAATGGAAGTAAGTATTGCTGAGACAGCACAGTGGAAACGCAGAAATTGTAAAGGGAAAATGTCATAACCCGTCAATACCTATGAGGTTTCTATTCGCCCACTTACATTCAATTGATACTCGTGCCCCTTTTTTATTCATTTAGGGATGATATACACTTTCTATGGCAATTATATCTTCATTGCATGCTGGTGGGGTATTTGCAACAAGACGATGGACGGAATAGGTAACCTAGGAAGCTAAACAGGCCCTTAAGCCATGCTTGAAAATACATAGATGCACCGAAACCTCACAAAGAACACCACGACAGGATGAGAAGATAGTGCAGTGGCATGACGAGAAAATCAGTGAGAATCATTCTATATGAACCAGTCGATGAATGATAAAAACATATTATTGCCATTCAAATGAAAAGAAGTCCTGGTTCTCACCCATTGTCCTTCCATCCATATATTCCATGCAATTGCATTAAAATTGATATCAAAACCAAACCGAACTGAGCCGCGAGACATCCCAGTCCAGTCCAATCCAGCCCCTTGGATCCATTGAACCCTAGTATATCCCCCACCCCCCCCACCAAAAGAAAAAATAATAAAATTAAAACCCTTCAAAAATAAGCACGGCTTCCACGACCTTCTCAACCCCTCCCATTCCATATACCATCCCCCTCAAATCTACCGAAACAACCTCCTCCCTCCCACCCCGCGAATGCCACACGAAAATGATCCTTTAACACCCATGCCACCCATGCTCAACCCACCAAAGCCTACCCCACCACCTTCGCCATCGCGCTTATACCGTCTAAGCGCCTCGCGCAGGTGAGAAGGGAGGAGTTGTCCGCGATGAGGATTTGGGGGTGGTTTGAAGGGTGGTCTTTGTTTGCGCTTTAGCTCTGCCTGTGTCTGTGGTTGTGATTGCGGCTGGGTTGATGGGGAGGGTGGGGTAGTGGTTGACTTGAGAATGTCATTGGCAGTGGTGCTGCTGCTGGAAGAGGACAATTCTGTTTTCACAACAGCTATGCCATTCCCTGTTAAATCTGTTTTGCTAGAAGGCATATCAGTGGCTGCTGTGCTGCTACTCAATTGGATTGTCCGTGTCGGACTGTCCATGATGGTGTTTGTAGCAGTGGTGGTAGTTAGTTGCGTGGATTGCGTAGATGCCGTAGTAACTGCTTGTTCGCGGGAACGAGCAGGGGCCTCTTCCTCCTCTTTTTCCTCCTCCCTCGCTAGCTCAGCTTCATACTCAGCGTACGCAGCCCTATCCGCCGCCTCAGCCCACTCTTCCTGCACGGTCCGTGCCTTCTCCACCAACTCCCCGACAAACACCTTCGTATATCCGCTGATAGTCGTAATGACATTGGGTGGCACCGATTGAGACAGTGTCTGATTCACAATCTTGCGCACCATAGGTTTATTCAATTTAGCCCGTTTGAAGAAATCATATCTCGTCGACTGGGCGGGTGTAAAGGCATCGATGAGGATCCTGTTATCTCGTTAAACTCGTTAATAACCGCGCGAAGCATACCACTAAATATTCATTCCGATTCAAAAGAAAAAAACGGAAAGAGTAAAAGAATAAGGAAAGGAAGACTCACGCAAGATTCTTCCTCTCCGCCTCCGCCTCCCTCGCCGTCCCAGGACCATCCCCGTCTTCCCCCTCCCCCTCTACCTCCTCCATGTCCCCCTCATCTCCATCCCCATCTTCTTCCACCTCCTCACCACCACCATCCACCTCTACACCTCCATCAACAGTAGTTCCCCTTACGCTCGCCGTCCCATCTCTCTCCGTCTCCGTCTCCTTCTCCTTTCTGCCCCCGGCACCCCCCTTCTTCCTCTTCTTCCCCCTAGCATTCCCAGACCCATCTACACTCCCCGCAAACAACCCCGTAACGCTCCCCGTAGCGCTCCCGCCGTCCGCTTCAGATTTCACACTGGCAGCTCTGGCGCTGTAGACACGCGGATCGGAGTCCTGAGAGGAAGGGAAGGACGTCTGGCGGAGTGGGTGCATTCGCGCTTTCTTATGGGAGATGTGAACGGCAGAGGGCATGCTTAGCGGTCGCTTTTTGGGGTTTTGATTTGAGGGTGGGAGGGAGAGGGGCGTTTGTGGCGATGGTGGTAGTGGTGGGGAGAGAGACATTTGTGTTCTGTAACGTGGGAGAGGTTGGAGAATTGGGGGTTTGACTGTAAGCTGCGGAAGCTCAGCTCCAGGAGAAGTGAATGGAGTGGTAATGCACGGTTAGACTGACAGAGATGTTATTGTATCTGAATAGAATGATATGTTTCTATATTGGTTGTTAGGTGACGGTTTCCTAGGCGTGTAGCAACCTATGGGTGGTGATTAAAACACGTGACTCCTCCAGTTGATGTTACAAAGGACTCGGTCAATAATAAAAGATATGACCGATTCAAGAAAATAACTCTTGTCAGGGTCAATAAGAGACTATTCCACTGTTAGTATTCATGGAGTATTCATTTGCGCGCAGCTTACGAGTTCCGTCTAAACGTCGTAGGATATCACCACAAAAAGATTCGCATTTTTTATTCCCTACGTCATTTTCGCAACACCCTACTTCAACGCAGGGGGAAAAGGTAGTGGAGGAAAAACTATGTCCCTGTTGTAAATTGAAAGGAGATTGATTAAATACTATTCAGACTTGCAGGCTAAACGCATGAGTAAAGCAAATCAAAACAGCATTAGGCCGTTGACATCAACATATCTCCTACAGCTGCACAACAGCAAACATAATTTATTAGGAAATGAAATCCCGAAAATGAGAAAAGCGAAAAAACAGCTGGGAGGAACAAAGTAAACAGTACGGAGATTCCGAGGGGGAGAGAGAAGAACCTCTCTACCGGTAAAATGAAAACATGGAGGGGGACAAGGGAGAGAAACGTGAGGGGGACATGTTTTTGAGACGCATAAAACAGAGCAATCAAAGACAGAGAACAAAGAAAGCTAAGAAATAAATACTAAAGATAAATATCAAGCCATATAAAATAGCCCAATATAGCTAAAATTTGCTTATGTTAAACCGAAAAAAAAAGAGCGCGTGTTTAAAAAGCACGCTCCCCGATCCGCGGCGCCCCACCCCTCCAATCATTGCGTTCGTAATAGCGGAAGACAAGATCATACCCATCCAGCTCATGAACAATGCGATCGACACGACGGTAGCCGGGGATCCGCTCCATTTTGGCATTGCGTGCTGCCGCCGTGAGATTCATATGCTCATCTTCATCGACAAGGATATCTGCCACAGCTTTAACTCCATCGGTAGTCGCAGTCGCAGCGGAAGTAGCATGGTGGTTCTTATAGACGGGCTTCTTAGCTTCAAACAACGTCACGCTGAATCGACCCGGTTTAAAAATATCAACGACATGGTCGACGATTTCGGACGTTTCGCGCCCACTCTGGAGTTGGGGTACGTTCGTCTCGAAGGACGCATAGGAGCAGTGTGGTTCTGGCGTGACGTGGACGGTGAAGTAGTGGGAGCCTGAGCTGCCGTTGGGTGCCGGAACGACGCCATTAGCGGAGAAGCCGCACGGTGTGAATAGGTAGGCGTCGACGCGAGCACCGGGGTATTGGCTGGTTGGGTAGATGTCGGAGAGACCACAAGATTCGGAGACTATGGTTCCGAGGCCATGGCCTTCGGTTGTTAATTCGGAGGGTAGGGATTGATCCATGTCCGAACCCAGGTCGCTGGTGTCGGAGTTGTTGAAGACGTCTAGATGTTCATCGTCGTGGGCTTCCTTCTCTTTTCGTTGCAGGCGATGACGACCTTCTGCGACCGCACTCGCATGGTCGAGGTAGAATTGTTTTGCATTCTCCTCGTCTAGGTCTGTCATGAGTATTTCGAGAGTTTCGTCGTTTTCCTCGTCTTCCTTTGTTGAGCGAGCTGCCATTTTTGAATGCTCGGGGAATTCAAGAACCTTCACGGGGGTCTCGTTGCCTGGCGTAGACGGGGGAGTCAAGATGGTGTAAGGCTCAGTCAGATAGAGATACCAATGCTCGCCATTCATCTTGCCAATCATGTACGCGCTACCTCCCAGGAATAGCTGGTCCATTGTCTTGACCTCATCTCTCCAGCTGCGATGGGGCCCACGCTGGCGGTCAGGGAAGAGGAAATTCTTTCTGCTATAGAAGACACGGTACGGAGCAGCTGCAGTGGCAATTCCACAGGACGCTGGAGTAGTATTCTTGGGGAAACCCGCGTAGAGGGCTGCGATCTCGAGGATACGAGGTAATCCGGACAGCAAGGTAGTGGTCCCACAGGTCTTGAGAATGAGCTTGTGTGGGAACACAAACATGCTGGATTCTGAGAGTAGGTACGCATCCACGTCGTCCGATTCGATGATTGACAGCACCTTGCAACTGACAAGATCAAGCATATCCTTCCATATCTCTGCTGGAACCGCCTTGAGTCCCGTCGGTTCTGTCGATCCAAGAAGGTTCTTGGGGGATGAGCCAAACCAGACCTCTAGAAGTTTTTCGGGACCTAAATTTTTATAGTCGAGATGGTTAGTTGCTAGTAACCCAAATGAGATCAGTTATAACGGGCATAACTGGGTAAGCGAACCTTCGAAGGCATTGCTCGAATCGAGATCCAAGGTAGCCTCATGATTAATTGTCAACGACGATGTCCCCACGAATGACGAAGGGGATGCCGTGTAATTCTTCGGAATGTCGATGTTGACCATATCCGTGACCGTCAAACAGATTCGGTTCTAGAAAGGGGGAGTCGTGGACAAGAAAAGAGGAAAACCAGGCTTTTGGTTGCTGCGTAAAACCTTGGATTGAGCAAGACAATTATTATGAAAGCACTATCTTCCACCCAGACGAACAATGCGGTGTCCGCCTGAGACAGAGAAGGCCCGAGGATTGGGAGCGTGCGACTGCTGGCTCCTTTGCCAGCAAAATGAAAACCAATATGTAATGGTATCTGCCTTTTAGAGGCGTTATGGGGGTCTGGCGGAGAGGGGGAGGAAGAAAGCTCTGGGATGAGGAATTGTGGCTAGCCAATGGTACCTCGCACTGGCAAGATACCGATACTCTGCAAAAGTATCGGGTCTAGCAGACGAGGATTATCTGCTTAATAGAGATACACACAGAATAAAAAGGAGAAAGTTAGTATTTCGAGGATTTTCGAAAACGACGTTATCGTGGTCTGTTTATTTAAATGCGATGCGTGTCAGTTAACTTGTTTGCGCATGAAATGTTTGTGGCAAGAAGAATGCCATTTGGACCCCGCCATAATCACAGACAAGACGACGACAAATTGTGTAACGTAACCAAGTTGGCATCAGGGAATAAAGTGAATCTATATTGTGGAGACAAAACCACGCAGGGGAGAGACTACCTGGTGGTGGGAGTGAATTGATGGGCGGGACTCACTTCCGGGGCTTTGAGAGAAATCGTAGGAGATCTTTCTGGGTCATGGAGAGAAAAGGATACTTCTCTTCAGTGGGTCGAATGTGACTTGCTCATCTGTACTTTTAGAACATCGACAACGGCTCAGAATCTCCACTGTTTCCTCGCGATAAGTAAATAATTGAATTGCGTCCTAATGCTTTGGGAGTTGAAGGGAGATTAGTTGTGTGACGTTTCGGAGGCGAATAATCAGCGGTTCAAATGATGTATGAAACTGTGAGAGGGGTTCTGACAACGCACCATGAGTGTGCGTAAGGCAATAACAAAACAGCAGAGGAAGATAAGGATGATATACGAGAGATCGTTGGGTGACTGGTATTTGTATGACAGATAGCAGTGGGCGGGATATGGGGGAAGAGACAAACCCAAGTTTGGAGAGAGAGCAGGATAACTGGTAGCTAAATGAAGCAGATATATGATCGAATTTGTTTAAGAGGGACAGGAAACGAACCCTGCCAAAAGAATTGAGATATACACACACGTGGAGAGAGCAGCAGATATAAATAGGCTGCCGGTTGGGTTACTGAACAACAGCAGGTTGAGGGAACAGAGTTGTTGAAGTGGGATGCGATGGAATTGGGGGAGGTCCTTTTGTAAGACAGCTGAACGACAGCACCAAACCGCTTTGGGAATATGTCCGTTTAGCCTGAGAGCAAGGCCCCGATTATTCGGAAAATCGAGAACCTTTGTTACCGTAATTTGACTCTGTTTATGTGTCGGTGAATCGGTGAATCCCGTGAATCCGTGGGCACAAACCGAAAAAAAGAGGTTTGAGGAGATAAAAAAGCGACAACCAACAACGATGATGCGTGCGGAGTGTGGGTTCGGAATAATGTTGTTCCTTCAACTTTCAGCGACTGTTGACGAAAGCAAAGTCAACCAAGTTAGTTGCTTCATTTCCATCCATGGACGGACGGACTTTGGAATGTCCTCTGCTCTGTTAGGGACATTATCAGCTATGAGATGGAGCACCTTGATCACGCCGCTCCTCTTCATGTTCGCAGGGGTCGGGATGAGATAGAACAAAAAATATGCAAGATAAAAATATGCATGTTGAAAACAAAACCTGCCAATGGGGACGGACCGTCCATCACTTCCGATACCCAGTGTCAGTGCAACCCTCAAAGCTGGTGGTTACGGGCCACTCCCTGGATAACTCTTTGCCCAACCCCGCCTGGAAGAAGGCTTGGTGGGTAGTTACATACTGCCTAGGTACGACCTGGTTCGGCCTCAGATAACTACTGCAGGAAACAATTTTGGTGCTTGCATAAATATATCTGGCCCATGCCTCAAAAAAGGGCTAGAAAAGGCGTTAACAAAAAAAATCAAAAAGGAAGGAAATAAAAATTATGGAGAGCTGAGGAAGATCTGTTCCCGTGGAGCCCAATATCGCCTGAACTTTTCACGCAATTCTTCTCCGGAGCTATGCAACTGCAAGACGAAGGCACACCGTCGTTCGCAACACAACCAGCCACCACCACCACCACCACCGTCTTCGAACTGGCGAACAGCGACAGTTTTGACCGTTGCTTTTACGGAGAACTTCCCGGGTACTTTTCTCGTGTTGGGTCGGACTAGGATTCCGATACTTCCCCATTCTCAATAATTTTCTGTCAAGCTCAACTTACAGCAGTAAGTCTACGGCTGACAAGAAAAGAAGCAGCAAAAAATATAAAATATAAAATAAAATAAAATAAAAATTAAAAAAAAGATATGGACAGCAAGTAAAAGAAAAGGCACAGCTCAGATCTAACCCCGGTTGTGCTGCCGTTGGGATTTCCGATATCGGAACTATACTCCGTAGTGGAAATTCTGCTTCACTGGTATGTACGGAGCCCAGGAAGCAGGAGGACATGCCCATTTCTAGGGCAGAAGAACTAAGCTAGGCAATTGAATTAAGTCACTGTTTGATGGAGAGCAATTTAGGGGGTCGAGAGGCAATGAACTATGATGAATCAATAACAGCTGAATCTCCAGCGACAATACTTTGCTAACGATCAAATGGGTGGACGAATGGGTAGAAACATAGCTAGGAGGAGGGCCTGTAGCCAGAGTAAATAATACAAGAGTGTGCTCTGGGAATAAATGTGGTAGTTAGTATAACGTGATGAGAAACAAAAAGGGAAAAATAGGTGTCAAAACGCCCGGCCATCCCCAGCTCCCAGAGCCCCAGGAAAACACACGGGAGAAAAACCATAATACTCCAGCCCAAATCTTTTTTTTCCTTTCTTTTTTTCCTTTTTCTTTTTTGGGAATATTACACCCAACCTCCCCAGCGCAGAGCAGAAATCAGAAAATCCTTCCACCCAGATCCCCAGTGCCGTAGAGGAAAAACTCAACAAAATTACCCATCTCAACGAATCCCCAATATCACATTCGCCAACCCCATCTGACCCCCCTCCAGTATCCTCCCCGCAACGACCTCCCCAACCTTCTCCGCCAACCTCCCTTGAGTCTCCGCCTTCCTCTCCTCCGAAACCCCATTCGCCAACAATCCCGCACCAACCTCGGCACCCTCAATCCCCAGCCGCCGCCGCTGCTCCTCTTCCTCCACCAACGTCCCCAAAACCGCCAAAATAACTCCTAAAACCTTCTCAGCCTCCATCCTCCTCACCCCACCCCCAACCCCGCCCTCATCCCCCATCGCATCCTTCAACACAACCTCATACGTCCTCAGATTCGGCAGGACAAGTTCGCGCACCACATCCACGCCACCAATGGATTGCAGGCCGATGATGGCGCCGTAGTGTGTGCCGAGCGGCTTGCCTGGGTCTAGGAAGTTTTTCAGAAAAGTACGCGCGAGGCGGGGGCGGAGGGTGTGGGAGGAGTGGGAGTATTTGCGGGCTATCATGTTTATGAGGGAGGCGGAGAGGTCACGGAGGGCGAAGTGTTCGAGGGGATCGGCAGTGCTGGAGCCTAGTTGGCGGCCGATTAGGCAGGTTAGGACTGGGGGGATGAGGGAGGGGACCTGTCGGGTGTTATTGTTAGTGATAGGAAAGGAGAGGTATGGGTAAGGGAATTGGGAAGAATGTTCTTTCTGTAGTGACTCACATATGGATCTACGTAAAGTGATTTATTCTGAATAAGCGCCTCAGTCATATGCATTATCTGCGTCAGCACGAATAGATCCTTGAGACTATGCGTGACCTTCTCGGATATGAACTGGACGAAATACGGCACAAGCTGATGCAGACCAGGGTCTTCCTTCAGACTTGAGAAGGCGGATAGTCTGTATTCCTCATTCAATTCGTCCAGGAAGGCATTGCACACTTTCTCGAAGTAGAGCTGTAGCTCCTTGGAGAGGATGTGCTTGACCAACGGCTTGACGGAGACGTTATCATTTCCGCTCATCGCGGCCAGATTGGCATTCGCATTGGGACCCTTGGACACAAGTTCTAGATTCCGTGAATCGGCCGATGTGGGATTCTGCGGTATCGTTGGCTGTACTCCCTCGACAGCCAGCCAGTGTGCTATATCAAGACATCAAGAACAAGTTAGCGATATTCACATACGAAAAGGTAAACATAAAGTAGAAGAAGGAAGAAAAAAGAAAGAAAAACCACACACCAGTAAACGTAATCTCCCTCGGCACCCTAGGTAACGGCGCATTAATCAACTTCTCAAAATCAACCTCATCATCTTCAACGTAGAAAAGCGGCTGACCGGGACCGAGCGTCGCTTCTCCGAACCTCAATGGCCTCGTCGACTCGTAGCCGTAAAGCGGTTCAATGTCCAAGACGCGCAGGGCATTTGAGACATCCTGCGTCGTCAGCACGGTGCGTTTGGCATGACGCATGAACTTGAGAGCTTCTTCGAGGACCTGGGAGATGCGGTATTCGACGTCGCGGGCGAGGTTGTCGACGACTTCGTCGTTTAGGGTGCCGATGCCGACGGATTCGGCGACGTCGCGGATGTTTTCGGGGTTCCAGACAGACATGATTGCTTCTCCTTCTTCTTTGGCTAAGGGGAGGAGGGGTGGTTTTGTTTTATTGGAGGCCTGGTGTATGTGGGTTGGTTGTATGAGCTTTGACTGCTTCGATTGGAGCCGATGATCAGCTTCGAACGGAGCGTATCTAGGTGTGGAAATGGAAAAGGTTATAATTGCGATGGAGTTATATACGGTCTTATCGTGGTATCAGCTAGCTGCAGAAAACATCTCTTCTCGAATACTGGCGTGAGTCGAGTTGATCATAGGTGTGTAATAAATGGGTAGCGCTGGGAAGTCGAGGAAGTAGTGGGGGTTATGAACAATAGCGAGTGACCAGCTTGCGCATCCTGTGATTGTAGTAATAATGGTCGCAGTGAATAAATATCCCTCTCAATGGACTTTGTATTGGACAGCCCAGCTCACGTAGCTGCAGCTTTTCAACTCGAGGGGTGAGTGGGGTAGAGTGATCGCGCTCATCGCTGTTGATGAAGGAAAATTGTTCCCTCTGCGGAGTTTTGCGGCTGGAGATGGCGGAGTGCGTTTGTGGCAGAAACAGGCTGCCGTAGAGTACATGGAAAATGGAACTTGGAGCTAAAATGCGGAAAACAGTCTTTGATACCTCTCTTCCTACGAACGAAATCTTACGCCTGTCTACCATAGGAACTTCACGATGATAACTAACAAACACAGGGAGCAAAACTGGCATTGCATTATCGGAGCAACAAAAAAAAAAAAATAAAATAAAATAAAACCGTCAAAAAGCACTCGAGAGTAAGGGATAAAAGAGCTTGTTGATTGGTATCATTGGCCCCGGCAGCAACGCAAACAGAGGGGGAAAAACAGCAGAAGAAACAGAGAATCCCATCCACTCAGACTCAACCCAGTTAATAGGAAGAGAGGAGAGAGAACTCGAGGTATCTAAACGAATTGAAAACAAAATAAAATAAAATGGTAATAAAAAAAGGAAGATAATCAAGTACTAAAAACCGCCGCCGCCACCACCACCACCACCATCATCCTTAACCATCATCACCTGCCCTTTTCCATGGTTTTGCAATGGCACAAGCTCCAGACATCCCTTCCAAGCGAAGGATACGTCATGAATATTATTATCCCTGTGGGCACACGGGGTTGGTCAGAACAAACAAACACAATAAAAAAATACAAAGATACAAAATAGGTATTGAGAACTGATTTACCTAGCGACCATATAACAAATAAAATTACAAAATCAAAAAGAGGACTAGCATGAGCAAAGGGAACCGAGTGTAAGGGGAGTTTTTGAGCAATCACCAAGATCAGTTAAGCCGTAGGAGTCGCCGCTGTTGTGAGAGCAGGTGCGGCAGGTTTCTCAGCTACAGCGGGAGCAGCAGCTTCAACCGGGGCAGGCGCTGGCGCTGGTGCAGGTGCGGACGCAGCAGCCGTTTCAGCCGGTTTTGCATCTTCCGGAGGCTTAGCAGTCTCCACCTTCGCGTTCTGTGTCGCATCCTTTGCAGCAGCTCCGTTGGTTTCCGCAGCTGGAGCCGCTAGGGTAGGTGCGGGAGTATCCTCTTTCAGCGTCACAGTTCTCGCACTCTCCCGCAACTCGGCAGCCTTACCACCATAAGACTTCGGAAGCTCATCAGCGAAAGTGAATTCACGAGCCAGATTCGCGCCATTGGTGATGGGGTGGAATTTTCTGATGGTATTCTTGCTCAAGAACACCTTGAGAGCGGTGAAGATCCACCCCATGACGGCGGGAACGTTGACGAAGAATTTCTCCTTGAGGAGTTCTGGGTATGCGGTGCTGAAGACTTCGATGGTCTGCTTTGTGGAGTTTCTGATGGTGGGGTTTAGGCGGAGGAAGCTGACGTGTTGGTAGTCGTGGACTTGGATCATTTGAAAGTTGTCTTCGCCGTTGTAGTCGATTACGGATGTGGCTTCGCTGAGCTTCAGGTCTCGAACGGCCAGTTCCATCAATGCGACTCTCCATTTGATGAATCTATTAAAGGCACGGAGGAGGAAGGTGTTAGTGAGCAGAACAAAAGCTCTAGTTCAATCGTGAAAAGTGTCTTCAAGAAGGATTGCGAAAACGGATTAGGAAGGCCTACTCATCGACATCACCAAAAGTGTTATTAACATCTTTAACAGCACCATATACATTCCAAGTAAAAACGACATTTCCCCCTTTCGGATCTTTATAATTGGCAACATAGCCCAGGCCCTGGAACTTGCTTGCGCTGTACGTAGCCTTCTCGGCCAGTGCCAGGGGATCCATTTTCTTGCGCCATTCCAAAGCCTTGGTCAACTGCTCTTCAGCCAGCTTGACATTACCCTCGTTTGCGCGGAGGAACTTAATCAAAACATTGACAGTGGGCACGTCATCGGAATCCTTGAGGGTGACACCCCACATCTCGTTGTGGCCGGTTTTCTTGAGAATGGACGCGAGCTTTTCAAAGAATTGGCTCAGGGCCGGGTTCTTTGACAGGTACTCTGGTCGGTTGTCAACAGGAGCTTCGGGGGTCTTAGTTTCCGGTGCGGGTGTGGGTGCAGGAGCAGGCTCATCTTTCTTTTGGGCCTCAATGGCATCTGCATCTGATGACTGGGCAGGAGCCGCAGCGGTAGGGGTGACAGAAGGAGCAACAGCAGCTGGCGTTTGGGTAGAAGGAGTTTCTGACTTCTCAGCCGGTTCGTTCTGGGAGGGTTTGTCATCCGCAGGTTGATGTTCATGTGGCTTCTCTGGAATCGCCTCAGCAGCGACGGGGGCATCAGCAGCCGCAGCAGCTGGCTGGGTAGGCTTCTCAGCTTCCGACATTGTGCCAGAGGGGGGGATGTGATTGAAGCTCTGTATATATGCGAGAGTGTGGTAGGGTTGCCTGATCAACAGAGGTTAGCCAACGCGTTTCTATGAGCAGTAGCCGGGGAAGAACAATTTATATAACATAAATATGTCAAATCAATAGCCTTTTCGTCCCAAATGCGGACATCTCACGATACGTACCTTCAGCTGATTTGTTTGAGAGACGACTTGAACGCGCTTGTCAGGCGGGCAAAAGTAGTGGGAATATAGATTCAGAGCGTAGACCTGTGGTAGCTGCTCTGTGTGTGTAGCTATATGTTTCTGTATGGGGTGTGTTGCGCTGTGTGTGTTGCGCTGGGTGTGGTGTGCGGTGTGTGGTGTGCGGTGTGTGGTGTGCGGTGTGTGGTGTGTGGTGTGTGGTGTGTGGTATGTGTGTGGGAGACGTGAAGTCGAGGTGACGGGGGAATCAAACCAGGGAGCGAGCTGTCGCAAAATAAAAATAATAACTAATACGGATAGTTAATAATAGTAAGTTGGCAGATTGGGGGTCGGGCGGTGGAGCAGGCACAGTCAGCATCGGCTTAGTTAGTTTCAGGCTGTGTGAGGCAAGGGGCTCCAGAAGGGACAAACAAGGGACAGGAGGGAGCCTTGCCGCTTCGGGACTAGCTCGCGCTGTCTTTCGTTGGTTGGAAGCTTCCTCCGCGCTAAAACAGGGAGCAGCTGCCCCAGCTTGCAGGTCACGTGGACCCAGCCCCCCCCCGCCCCCACCACCCCCCTCCTCCTCCTTTATCCTTGGCTTGGATCAGAATTAACTATGTACCCTGCACTTAAGACGACTCCTCAACAACATCCCTCCCTCCATTTAATATATGCCTAGCACTGCGGTCCGGGATGCAGTGGGATGCCTCGATACGTCTTGTTGCTCTAGTTGGCTCTTGAGTCAGCTTTGGCTTCTCCTATCTCTGTACACCCTAAAGCAAGTGTTGCTCCCAAGGTTCTGTGGTGCCAGCATAGAGTTCCTGCAGACATGATCTAGATGGTGGTCTACGGAGTATGGCTTGCCCGGCTGCATCAATCAGTCTGACAGTCCTGAGAGGAGAGCTGTACCCCTTTTTCTTTGTGGCTTTAGCTAACCATATCACACCAGGTGGCAAAATATTGCTATCCCGTCAACAGCGAACTCAACGACGGGTGACAGGACAGCTCAAGGATTCGAAACATGCATTTTGAGCCCTGCAAAACCAACCCTTCATAAATTCATCCCGTGTGCAGATCCCTCTCTTCTTGGCGGAGAAGACCATATGTTCTTTAGTTGTGTGCATTTTCCCGCCAAGCATGTTTCAAATCTCCGGCTCCACCTGCGAAACAATCCGTAGATTCATCCTGGCTCCTGTCCCCAGTGTGAACTCTGAGCAGATGGACCAGGGTCCATCTGCTGTGGTAGTTTGCAGAAACCAAAGGAAAATGAAACACACACCTAACTAGCTGGCTGCTCTCTTACCCACCCCACGCATCCTCCTATTAACTAAGTTAGCTGAATTAACTTTTAATCATCCTATATTGCACCCCAAAGCCGCTGGTTCAAACTTCAAGCTATTATATCTAAACCATAGATCGCCATGCCTTACCTGCTCGAAACTTCCCCTAAATCCAGGCACCTCAACTTTAAAATCGGCCTGCCCTTCCTGCCACCACTGTTCACTGTGGTAGTGAGTTGTGCTGGGCCCGGGTACTGCATAGATCAGCAAGACTTTTTTAATCCGGTCAAACGGCGTCGGGGAATTCGGAGTGTCTTTGTTTTTGAGTCGGTGGGCAACTTGGATGGTGGCGAACGGTTTCCATCTACCAGTTACTCCCTGCAGAGCATCTCCGTTTAAAACTCGTATTTCTACGAGCTCTACAAGATTGGTGGATTGGAAATATTTCTCATGACACTTCCGTATATCGATACACCGCCGTCATCCGTCGTTATCCAAATACCACCAGCTGTTTTCAAATCCATCTGCGTTCATTCGTGCCAAGTACCATTCACATCCGTTCCGCTATTTTTAATTGTGCGATGTTTTCCCTGGAGTCTTAATTATATCTATCATCCTCCTCCACACATCTTCTCTACCCCGTAGATTGGCTTCAGGATGGCTTGAAAGGGTTGATGAATCTGGGAATATTCCCGGGCTATTTGGTTTTTGAGGGACAAATATGTATGTAGTAGATACATATTGTTCCTGTCTTCAGCACGTGACTGAGATAAATTATTTCAACCCAGATCTCTTAGCCGTTGAGCAAAGGTCTATTCTCTTCTGGCATATGATGATTAAGGCCTTTTTCAACATTTTCACTGCTGTCTATAAGTTATATATCCTATGAGGTTGTTGGTTTTCCCTCAGATTGAATAAATCTGGAAGCGAATTGAATGAATGAATAACCTGATCTTCATATTCTAGAGCCTTTCTCTAAACTTTTATCTCGATGATGTTTTGCAGAAATATTGTACTTATTAGTCTTTATTTCTTTCTATATAATGTGTGCATTTATTTCTTACTCTGTTATTGCTGTGATGAATGACATTCTGTTGTTGATACCCTGTCTTATCTCTCCCATCTAGATCATTATATCAAACCTAGAGCAACACATCTGGCAGACATGATCATCATCATCCTGATACACAACACATTCTCTACTTGAAAAACAGAAATCTAGCACGCCTCACATCATTTATTGACACCATCTGCTTTGTAATGGTTCTCACAACTCTCAGTCCCTGTCTTTTCCCTGTCAATGAACACCATTGTCCACCCAAAATCGGCCACAATTTCTTCAATGCAAGTGACAACACAGCAGACGGCGCAACTTCAAGAGCTGACTCATTTTGCGTTGAGCATTCGATATCCCCTCTAACCTTCTACAAAGTCTTGTGGGCTTTGCTCCTGAGAAAATTTACCAATTCGAATGAAGTCTTCTTTGGCGTGGTGGAGGTTGGCGCTGTGGCAGACAGCGTGGGCATCGCGTTTGATCCCACTGGTGACAAGCAGAAATACCCTTCGCTCCAATCTTGGTGTCATGTCTGTCTTGCGGAAACAGACAGCATTCTTGACACCATGAAGCAACTGGAATCAGACCCCCGGAAGGGATCTCCTCCACCCGAGTTAGAACTTTCTCCTGGACGTTTTAACACGGAGTTGCATTTGGTGACAGAGGATAATACCAATTATGTCACTGACAAGAGCAATCTAATTGTAAGCAAAAACTCAAACTGTTACTATCCGCGTACTTTCATCTAAATCGCTGAAATGATATACCCAGTGTCCCTACATGATAGACCTGCAACTATGCGTGTCGTCCGAAACGATCGTTTTCCGCTTCCGCGCTTCTTCAATGACAGGCGCTGTAGCTCAAGGCTTACGTGAAACCTTGAAAAGGGCCATCAAGAGCATCCTAGACAACCCAAGACAAACTGTGAGAAAGCTAGACATGCTTTCAAATTATGACAGGACGCGAATAGAGCGCTGGAACAAAACAGATCCATGGCAACAGGTCATATGTATGTGCGTTCAGGACCCGATACATCTCCAGGCGCTTTCTCAACCAAAGGGCCTTGCATATGACGGTTGGGATGGGCCCTTGACATTCCGCGAGCTGTGGGAATACTCTACTCGCTTCTCATATTATATTTATGATCTCAGAGTCAGAAACAGACAGCTGGTGTTTCTCAACATGGACATGTCCAAATGGGCTATCATTGCTATGCTATCTGTTCTTCGTGCTGGCGCCGTTTGTATACCAATCGATATTCTCAACCAGACACATTGCTTCTCATCTATACAGAATGTAAGACTTGCCTTAACTGACCCGTCCATGTCGGACCTGTTTGCTGGCCACGTCCGCTTTGTAATGACAGAGCTCCCCAAACTTATATCTGAGCTCCCTCCAGCCCCCGAAAGTTACGACCCCCATGTTGACCCTAGTTGGCCTGCCATGATCATGTTCACATCCGGTGTCACTTCGCCGCCAAAACCCGTCGTTCTCGATCATGGCTCTATCAGCACCAACATCGTTAATCTTGGAGAAACGTTGGAAATTAACGACCAATCGCGAATCTTTCAGTGCTCCTCTCTCAGCTCTCATGTAAGCATAGCTGATATCCTCTGCACCCTGGTCAATGGTGGGTGTATTTGTTGTCCTACAGAATGTAATACGGAAGTTGATCTTTCTCATGCAGTCTCTACTGCTAGAGCTACTCACATCTTCCCCACCCCTACCATTTTACGCGAACTAACCGCGGAAGTGGTGCCTACACTTAAGGTTATCTCTGTCATCAAGGACGGTCTCACGATCAGTGATGTAGAGAAGTGGCAGGACCATGTCAGTTTATTCTATCTCTACGGCAGCACGGAGTCTACCCTGTGCTGCACCCTCACAGACGCGAGCCACCAGGAGCGATTGAAATACCTCGGCAGGTTAAATATCGGGCGCGCGTTGACTTGCAGGACGTGGATTGCTGAGCCGGGAAATGCGTGTGGTGCGCTTGTTCCTATTGGTAGTATTGGTGAGCTAGTGGTTGAAGGGGGCACTCTTGGTCGGTATTATGTACCGGAGGAGAATCCAGAGCCGATGGAGGAGTATCAGAGGAATTGGGAGAAAGACGTTACGGAGAACACCAATGAGCATGAGAAATGAGGACGAGACTGAGAATAAGGAAGAGAATGAAAGAGAAGAAAGAGCGGGGCGGGAAGGGGGAAAGAGAAGGAGAAGGGAGGACGGGGGATAATACTAAGAAAGAGCGGGAAAATGAGGAGATAGGGGATACGGAGAATAGGAATGAGCAAAAGAAGGGGAATGTGACTGTGAAGGAGGATGAGGGGAAGGAGGATGAGGGGAAGGAGGAGAAGGGGATTAATGAGAACCAGAGTGAGAAGGAGAAGGATAAAGAAGTGGGAGAGAACCCGTTTTTCGCTGACCCCGAATGGCTTGCGAAATTTCCCAAGCTACGACCTACTCAACAGCCGGTCGGAATGTTCAGAACGGGGGATCTGGTGAGGTATGAGCATGATGGGTCCATAAAGTTTGTTGGGCGGATGAAGGTCTAAGTTTCCTGTCCTCTGGTCTCGACTGAGGCCTGGATGTTACGTATTAAGGCGGAGCGTGTACTGCATGTTTCGTGTCGAATATTGTACGTGGATGATGACGACATATAGTGTCATCAACACGGGCAGTGGTTAACATCGTGGAGTATTTAGGGGCGGTGAATGTGCTAGGTTGTTGGGTGGTTGCTGGAGCGGATTTTGTAAAATATATGAAGAAACGATCGGTGAAACAAAGTTATTAAGATAATCAATGGGCCATTTGCAAATTCATACAGTAATTTGTGTTAAAAGGAAACTACAGGGAGAACTTTCCCTGGATATTGAAAGGTTGGATATTAATTAATTGAAGCAGTTGGATACAATAAATCAAAAGCAGAAAAGGTATGATATAGCAGGTAGATGAGGAGCTGGTGGATATGCACAGAACAGGCATATAGGGGGATGGGTGGTCGACAAGTAAAACAAATCGCCAAACTGACATGAAAAATCCAGCCAACCAGAAGGGACCGAAAGCGCATTGTTTTGTCGTCAGAACCAGCTCGTTGAATAAATTGTGAAGTTTGGTTGCGGTTCGTTACGGAGAACAGGGGGATAGGGGTAAATAAATGATCCAGGAAAAAGATATCTCCAACGCGCGAAGGAGACAATATCAAATAAGATCAAATAAAAAATGGTAGTTCATTTTAATTACTCGGAAATGCCTTTGGTGGCGATTCGAAGTTCTTCTTATGTGTACGTTATTAATAATCAGATCCATATCCAAAGTGGAAGAAGCAAAATAAAACTCGACGAGGAGGAGTGTAGGAGGAGTCAGGGGGATTCAGTTTTGATTCGCCTAATATCGTCAGGAAGATGCCAAAAAAACAAGAAGATGAAAAGAAAAATTGAAATCATCAAACATGCAGCAAGGTATGCACAAGGACAAGGGATCAAGAGATGCTAGCTACAAGAACCGATGCGGGAAGAAAGCAAAAGGAAAATAATAAACTAATGCAAACATTGCTTGTAGATTGAAATAAACAAGGCACGAGGAAATCCAGGAGATGGGCGATGTCTGGGTGGACAAAGTACTTGAACTATTCCGATGACTACCAAGCATGATCCAGCCAATCCATTCGAGGCAGGGAAAGATGTACCGTACTCTAAGGGGAACGTGAATGGAGATTTGACGTCATTTAGGAGTACAAAACAGAGTGGTTATGACGAAAAGCCGCTAGCACAGCTAAATCATTGCTGCGTATTTGTATCCGGCATGGGAGGCGGATGTTGTACGCCATTGCTTTGCTTGTCTTCTCTAGCATCATCATTTCCAGCTGCATCATCATCGTCATCTCCCGCAAGAGCGTCGATGTCTTCTGGGTGACTGCCAATTTTATATGTCGTGTCAGAAGAAACAATTTTAAGCAACGTGCCGTAGCAAAAACGGATCAGGAAAAGTGCAAAGATATAGATATGACGTACCCGAGCAACCCTTTCACCATGCTCATCTCATAATGCTTCTTACGTTTTTCCTCGAAATCATGATGCTTCCGACTTGCCTCCGAGCTATAGTCCCTAGCGGCACGATCGTCCGCGCTCCCATCCTCTCCTACAACGACATGTTTCTCCGACCGTCCCGCACTCCCACTGCTCATCCTACGGCTGCTCTCAGAAATTCTCCCGGAACCACTTAGCTGGCCATCCTCCCACCCAGACTCCTCAGGCTCCCCGAGCTCCAAGCCAGGAATATCCTCATCACGAACACGATGTTGCCGCGCCTTATACATATCCAGCTCATCAACAGCCAAATCATCCGCACCGATACCCATGTCAACGTCGTCATCGTCGTCTTCATCGGGATTATATCGAGGGACGTAGGGTGTTTTCGGTTCGTCGATTTTCATGGTTGACGATTTCTCCTGTTCCGTGAGGTACAAGTTTACTTCGTCCCACTTCAGGCGGGGTGAGTTATCATCGTCATGTATGAGTTTGCCGTTGGGACCGGAGGCATTGGATTGGCGGCGGGATAATGAATGTCGGGTGTCAGCGGGAGAACGGCCAGCATTTTGCAGTGTGTTTTGGAGGGTGAGTTCTTTATTATCAAATGGGTATTGTTGGCTTGTGGTAGTGTCCAAGGAGAAGGTCGAAGACGTTAGTCTAGTGGAGCCATGGGGAGACCTGGAATTGGAGAACGAGCTGTTCTTCAGGATGCCTGGATCCAGAGTAAATTGATTAGGTGATTAAAGGCAAAATATCTTTTGTAAACCATGTTTACAAGGTTGCAGTAGAGTTTACAGGAATATCTTCTCACCTTTTGGTCGTGCCGGTACGCTCTCGCCACTGGGCAGCCTGGGATGCGGTTGATCTCTCATGACGCCTCTGCACAGATCAATCATGTTAGTTGGGGTTCAAGAAAATGAACACTCTTACATCGACAGAAAGGAAAAGAAAAGAAAAAAAAGAAAAAAAGAAAAAAGAAAAAGAAATTTGCTATGCGATTACACGGAGTTTGAAAAATCTAAGAAACTCGTCGTTGGGCAAAGGGCGAGTAGTTTGGGACGCACCAGTTCAGCTTATCCAGTAGCGGGGTATAATAATTCAGACTTGGTGAATAAGAATCGAAGAAGGTCAAGATCAAGATCGATTGAGCATCAAATTGAAATCACTAAAGCTTCGGAAACAAAACACAGATAAGTAGAAATAGATGGATGCGCCGACGTAGATGAGGTTCCGGCCAGCTGATTCCTGGTTTACAGGTTTCGCTTGTTGCTCAGAGACAAGTTGAACACCAACCAACGGGCAGGGGAAGTGGGGTAAGTCAACATCCACTCAAAGTGAGATCTTTCTATTGTGCAAAATCTTATAAAGTATTCTTCACCAAATGCAAAGCAGTGGATTTGGTAGTAGCCCTGACTGTCATCATCCAGATACGACAGACAACGGCAACAAGAATGAGAAAGGGGTTGGAATGAATGTTGTTGAACAGAAGAAGAAGGGGAAAAAAACCTTGGATAAGCTCGGTTTTGGGTTGCAACTGGTGTTGAGGAACCGATGACCGGTGACGTAACAGTGGTCACGTGGATCACCGCTTAGGTCAGCGGTTATCAGATCCTCGAATAGGGGTAAATCATAAATATTTACCCCTTTTCATGATCTCATATCCCCCACGCAGTATATCCACCCAGCTTCTACTCCGTACAGATTATACATATCAAGAGTTTTATCTTAGTTAGTGCTTTAGGCAAGATCCTAACGAGAAGTTACACGGACGAAATTCCTCCCTTTCCACGGCTGCTGAACCAATCTGCATTTCCTCAAAAACGAAATTCAACCCAATCAATACTTGCAGATATACAAATTCGATTTCCTTGACCCAAGGAGCTGATATCCTTGATAGCCTCAAACTCCTTCAACAGTATCTCAAACCGCGACTTTGCCAAGTTCGAACAGGTCAAGCCTAGGAGAAAGCGGAGCGGATCACATTCCCCACGGCTTTCGATGTGAAAGAGAGTCTCAACTAATTACTATGAACGGGACCATGCCAACACCGGCCCTATATTACTTGTCAAGCTCCCAGGCTGGCATGTCATCACCTGGCTAGGCTAGGTGTGGCTGGATCATGGCCTTGCTTATGCCCTTCGAAGTTCGTTTTGACGCCACTTGGCTCCACTAGATGGATGCTGACTGGTAATTGCATTAAACAATAGAGGAATTGGGAGGGTTATTATTAACAAACGATGGAATTGAAGGACTGGCAAAGGAATCTTTTTAAATGTGAATTGCAGATTGCAATAATGTATACACTCACTGCTCCAATCCGGGTGCAGCTACCTCCACTGCAATTGTCCCCGCATGATAATAAGTATGGCCAGGAAACACACACAAGCCCGCTATACTGGAGATATTAAAAATCAACCCTAACTGTCTACGGCCATCATCACCATCTATTTTATTCCGCATTAATTCAATTGTCCTCGTTTTCACGCGGGCTGTTCCAAAGAACAGTGTCTCAATCTCCGCATGGCTCTCTTTCTCCATGGCTGCTTCTGTATCCCCTCACAGAGAGCGAGTAGCCAGCACAATTGAAGGTGCTGCTTTTGTCGTCACCGCTGCCAAAATGCTTTGCAGCCGCAGCAAAGGCTTCTTTTACGGAACCAGGAGATGAAACGTCCAGAACAAACTTGGGAATGTTAACATTGTCCTCAGGGAGATATGAGAGGGTGGATGGGTTGCAAACACTAACTATTAGGCGTTGGCCCGGCCTAGTCGCGACTAAAGTGTTAACCACGCGACCGATGCCGGACGAACAGCCGATGACTGTTTAAAACGGGAGGTTTAGTTTCCGTGTTGATTTGATACAAGTTGGGCTCACTTTTTATTTATTTATTTATTTATATTTTATTTTACTTTATTATTTTTTACAAGGGTTTAAGGTATTTGGCTCTCATATAACCAGAGTGCGTCTGGTGAAAGTTTGTTTGGTTGCATGTTGACTGGATTCATGACTTATAGAAGGACTTGTTCCTTATTCTGCAGAATGTGTCGTCTGGTACATATTGGATGTCGATTTAAATACTGCCAATTACTCCCAACAATCACAGATATCTATATTTGTGATTTCATGGTTCCACTATCGCACTTCATGCGGATCAATCATCGGCTTACTCTTCAATTTTAGAACCCTTAATTCCTTTCTCTAGCCATGGAGATCGTTCCCATATCACATTGTGGGGTATTCAAAGGAACAGGGCTGCTCTTATATTATCGACTCGAGTCAATATTGCCAATAACTGTTGAGAACTTGGTGGCGTTAGAAACTAATTTGCAGAGAATCTACATTATAGAGTTACCGACTTGATAATGAACGTTCCCAAGCGAAAGAACTGAATAAGATGATGAATAGGAAGGGTTAAAGTCAATCAAATACTATATATATATATATTTATATTATACTCTTAAATGATTGTATCCTCCAGCTAAAAAACAATAACAAAACATCTAAAATCAAAAAAGGAGCGGAAAATAACACAAAAGCAAATGGTTGAATGTATAGATATACCAACAAATAGATATAGAAGTCAAGATAAATCAACGAAATAGAAGCTATATAGTATAAAGGAAGAAGCAGAGCAGCAAGAGACACAGTTCATGGCAAAACAGTACAAGGGAGTGAGAAGATAAGCATTGAAAGATGTTCTCAACAGCAAAAGCAACAGCAATAGTAACAGTCCCAAATGCAAAGCACGAAAACAGAGCATTGAAAACGACACAGATTGCCTCCCATAATTGTTGTACTTTAAGCAAGCTCCAGCCAGAAAATGAATGTCATTGCAGAACGAATCAAAACTAAGATAGGAAATATAGATGAATACATGGAACAACAGCACGGTGTAGACGCAAGAGACAAGAGGCAGAAACAGCGAAAAGGAATGCGACGCAGATATGAAATCTTCAAAACAGCAGCGGAGCTGCAAAATCCAGACATCCTTCCATAAACAAACTTAAAAGGAAAATAAAGAGACAGATTAGAGGACAAAAGAACGATGGAGTTTTAGAAGCGGGGAAGAATAAAAGAATAAAAAATGAATAAACCAGACTGCCAGCAACGTGTAAAATAAATCAGAACACTATTATCCAATTCCATAAACGTAAACGTTAGGAAAAGACACAGACATAGAAATAAAAACACCATGACTCGGTATCCAGAAGAGTAGCACAGCGACTTAAAAGAACAATGACCGGTTAAATAAGCAAGATCATTTAAAACACATGCTAGAAAACTGCAAGAAGAACATGAAGGAGAGAATAGGACCACCACGGAACCAGTGCGTTAAAGGTTCAAATGAAAAAATAAAAATAAAAATAAGATAAAATAAGATAAAGGCTGGAAGAGAACAAGGAATTTCAGATCAATGAGAAACCAAACCAACACACAACGACAAAATAACTAGCCCTAAGCAATCAAATCAAACTCTTCCCTCTCTCTCAACCTATTTCTAGCCAACTCATCCCCCCCAGAAGCCGACAACTGCATCCAATGAAGTGCAAGACACATACTCTGCGGATCGGACTTGGAATCCCCATCACGCCGATACATCATTTCCGCCTTGAACGTGTCGCGTGGCATTGTAAGTGGAAGCGTTACACGTGGAAGAATCTCCGGGTGCGTCAGGTAGAGGATCGCCAGCTCTCGCTGGGCAACTGGGTTTCCTTCGCGCGCTGTATTGATCCACATCCACTTCGCGTCCTCGAGAGCGGGAGTGGAGGCATCGAAGTTGCTGACAGCGAAGTGGGACATTTCAGTGTGATAGTGTTGGTGATTATGATGATGGTGCCGCTGCTGCCGCTTGCTGAGTTCCTGCGAGACAATACTATCCGCGATCTCGACCATGCTGTTGCACACGTCGTCTTTCAAGGCGAATGCGGCCAGGCCGAATTGGAGGAATGCAGTCCCACTTGCAGATTTGTTAAGAATTTCGGATGGGATAAAGGCAGAGATGAATTGGAGGTCGCGGAAGAGGGTTTTTGGTTGCATGCTTTGGATTAGGTCGCGCATTGCGACTATAATTTCTGATTCAGAGGGTGTGTAGGTTGCAAATGAGGAATGAGATGATGTCATGGATCCCCACATGGGGAAGTAAGGGATTTGGTTTCGGGTGTCGACCTGTGGAAAAGGTGGCTGTGATAGTTGAAATCTCGATCCTTCTGACAAGCTATTGTGCTGAAAGCAGTTGGATCCTGATTGAGCAGATGAGGTTCCGTTCGACGCACCAAAACCCACTCCAGCCTGGTCGTCATATGTGGAGATCAATGATGAGATCACTAGTGACCTAAGGTCCTGCAGTGCTTTAAGCTTGGTGTAAGGATTGGATTGTCGAGAAAACCTGTCCATCAACTGGCGAAAAACAGACTCATAGGCAAAATCAAACGCGTCATCCGGCGTTTCCTTCAGATATAAAGACTGCGTCGGGGTTGGTGTACGGAGATCTGTTTCCGTGTGCGCGTTAACAACCCTAAGCAGAATCGCGTCTGCAGATTTGCTTCGTCTGAGTCGATGGGAGATGGAAGAACTCTTCCCATCACTCTCATCAGTGCCAGACGCACATTCCTCTAAAAATCTTTCCAGGCGTGCCCTTCTCTCCATCTGTCGTTGGATACGTGGCTGGTTCAAATAAATCGAAAACCAAGCATCGGTTTCACTTCCACAGCTCCAAACAGGAGAGCCAAGATCACTCAACAACAAACTCGTTAGGGTTTGCCTAAGTTCGTCCAAAAATGCAACTTTGCCATGAACATTCCGCTCGGTCCGTCTGGATGTCAAGACATCATTAAACATTGAGGGGGGCTGGGAGTGGAAACTCGAGGCGCTCGTTGTCGACTGTGCTTGTGTGTGCATTGGGGACCAGAACGTGGAGTCACTTGCGGATGTCGATATAGCTCTACCAGGTGAGTCACCGATAGAAGAAGTATCACCGCAAGCGGCATCCCGGCCCGATCTCCATCTCTCCGACGCAAGGCTTTGGAAAGATGATTTGCTCACTATCGATGGCGCTTCGTTTAAAGAGAGGAAATGGTGGTCAAACGGCCGAGAGCTCATGCCCGCACCCATGCTTGACGGTGGCTGATACAGCGACTCTTCACTGGTGATGCTTGAGGGTCGAATGTTCGACGCACCAAGCCCTGTGACAGTTCTTGTACCAGATGCATCGTATTTAGAGCGTTCCTTCTGATAGAGCTCACTAGACCACAAAACCGGTGTTTCATACATAGTGTCCCCAACCAGTTTCCCGACTGCGGTTTTAATCTCCAAGCAAAACCGATGGATCCGTTCCTCACCCTTGCAGAAGTTATCAATCCCAGAACGCTGCAACCACTTCCTCGTCATATCAACCTGTTCGTCAGACAATTTGGATCGACCACCCTGACTTCCCGGTGCCTTCATCGCATTCATAGTCTGAATCTCCGGTTTCTGAAGGAATGATGCGCCAAGAGTTCGTGATCCGTACCGTGATTGTTTCGGCTCGGGAATCGGCGATACCGACTGCGGTCCAGCCATTGTCTGTAGTGCGAGAGCGACGCTTTTCGCCTCTTCATATCTCAACGAGTTTTTGACATCAGTCATATACCACATCTTGTTTCTCAGCTTCGCTAAACCTGTCATCATGTTCTTGGTCATAGACCGAAGTCGACTCATTGCCGGCTTTAGATCCACTATCCTGCTTTCACAACTTTCAATGACGGTACTTGACCTCTCGATAGATTTTTTCAACGATAAAAACATGGGGTGCAAAAGTTTAGAGTGATTTCGGGTGGCCCAGAACATTGGGTAAGATTTCTGGAGAAGTCGAGAGGCATTCCACCAGTAATGAGCGCCAACAAAGTCAGCATGGGAATGACAGTGGTTCATAGCATGGGCAAATATCAGCTTAAGGGATGGTTCAGTTGTCCCTGTTGTAGGGGAAGAAATTGGATCATACGGAAAGAAGCCATCGAGGGATTCAAAGTCATCAATCAGCTTGACAATGGCATCCTGTAACATCTCCTGATCGTCATCTGCCTTGGGTAGTCTAGAACGGCTCCCCGAATCATCATTGAAAAATGTCTCTCTAGTCTCCAGTTCCTGATCGAGAGATGGCATTAACTCCAGAGTGTTCCCGCCGTTTGAAATAGAGATCAAAGCCCAGTCCTCGCTCGATGGATGGCCCATAGTGGGGCGATCTTCCGACTCGTTAATCTCAGATAGCTCATAGCGAATGCGGTCTGCGATTCGAGCAAGGGAGTTTTGAGTAGATACTGGGCTAACCGAGTTACTGCTTGGTACCGTGTAGGTCCTTGTGGCATCCTGGAAACTCATCTCGGTAGTGAACACAGTTTTGGCGGTTGAAGAAAAAGTATCGATTCTGCCTTGGAAAAGGTTTGGCCCAAATACTCGATTAGGTCGGTCGTTTCGTGAGGAAGATGAACTAGTAGGAGAAGACGGGATTGATTGATGATGGAATGGTTCAGGTGAGTGGAAGAAAGCCGGTGGGGCCTTGGGGAAAAGGACATCCAAAATAGTCATGATATCCGTTGGACAGAGTAGAAGGAATCGTTCAGGAAGATTTCCTTCTATAACTGAGCTGGCCGCGGGAGGATTGAGGTTCACCTGTGATGTGGGAATCGGATTGCAAAGATGAGAGATCATATTATCAACATGGATCCTAATACCGGCATTGGCGATTGAAAATTGTGGGCTATATAGGAGAAGAAAAAAAAAAAATTAGAGTTTAACGATTCACCATATCGAAGGAGACCAGGTGGGGGACTGGGAACTCACAGGGAATGTAGCACCCGTAATACTTGGGACTGCGCACGGAGCGAAATCTGCCCAAGCAGCCTCTCCCGTGCATCCTTTGAAATATGGAAATCGAGTAACAAACCGTTGGACTATACAGAGAATATAGGAGTAAGCCGACAACGCACAGCCAAAAACTAAAAGTAAAAAAGTAAAGAAAATAAAAACGAACCTCCGGGAATAAAAGGGCATTATGCAGAAATTTACAAAAGAACCACTGGAAAAAGATATACTCCAAAGCACGCGTGCGGCTCTCAGTCATCCCAAGCTTGGCCAGTATGGCATTTCCAAACTCCAGCGCACCAAACGGGAAGCCTCCGTCAGAGCCATCTAGCACCTTAAATAGATGGCAAACGGCAGAGTGGAAAAATTCCTCAGCAACACCAGTTCGCAGAGGATCAGGGAGTTCGCTACCGTCACGAGCACCACCACCACCACCACTAGTAGCAAGCCTGCGGTGATTCTCCGGATATTCCAAGAGAAACGCGCCCTTCTGGAGAACATCCATCAAATAAATCTCAAATTTGGGCTTAACCTTCCATTCTGTGGATGTTGACCAGGCAGAAAGCAGATGGCCAACAAAGGAATAATGACTGCTTCCACCATAGGAAACCAATTTTGCGCAGGTGGAAGACCAAACGTCCAAACGTAACCGGGCCTCATGGGAGTCGAAGCACCCCGCAGAATCAAAACAATTAAAAATCAAAGAGGAGAGAGGGTCTGTTCTCTCGAAACCCAAAGCATGCTCTTTGAAAGCAGTGGGATGTGCAGCAGCAGTAGGGCGCTTGTTGGAGAACAGAGGTTGAGTTGCTGCTGTTCTTCCGCGGGAAGTCAGAGGCAAAACAGAATCGCTGACTTCAAGTGAGTAGACAGCTGGGACAAGGGAGGAGAGCTGAGCGGGGAGCAAGTTACCAATGCGCTCAAAGAGGAATTGGGGATCCGTGCGGACCAGGGTTAAAATCTCCAATAGGTTCTCTCTGGAGGTTGGGGTGAGTTGGTGCACAAAACTATAGGGGCGGCGGATTTCCGAATCGAAGGTGGAAATACCAGTGAGTCTAAAGAGGGAATCACGTCCTAGGATTGAGTTGGCGGTGCGTGACGATGAGGAAGAGAATGAGGTGGCAGTGGCAGAAGTGGAGGAGGGGTCACACGCCTCACGGATATCATGGATGGTATTGTAAATCGAAATAAAACTAGACTTTTCACCATGTTTAAAACTTTCAACCAAACCTTTGTGAGAGATTGCTCCAAGCCTGAGCAATCGAGAGGAAAGGCAAATCGAAATGTGAGAGTTGCGAAGCCGTTGCAATAGACTGCGTTTCTGGGCTTCCTGGTGCTGTTTAAGACGGAACTGGGCAGCAAACTGGGGAAGGGATACACCAAATTCAACTCCAGAGGTCTCATCAAATGTCACTGGCGCCTTTGCAGTAGTAGTAGGTTTCTCCTGGGAGACATCCTTTGGGATATCCGCTGGAACATCCTGTTGTATACGCCATGGGGATGGAGGTTTAGAGTTTGGCAGTTGCGAATTAAGTTCAGGAAACCCAGGTTTCCCAGACGGCAACGGAACCGTGGTATGGGTGCCAGCAAATACATGGCTCAGGGGTATAGATACTACTGATGAGACGGAAGGGGAGGGTTTGAGTGGAGCGGGGTCCGCTTTGCACGGAGACGGAGAATTGCATCTAGACGGAGGCTCCACCGGAGAAGGGGGTAAAGCTAAACACAAGAGCCCACACAAACAATGATAGTGAGCAACAGGTCAGTGTCTAGCTTCCTCGATATAAATTATGGGGATAGAGTAAGTAAATTGACATGGAGAAAAGCCACATACTTGTGGCTGTCGCGTAGGCCAGAACCGATGGAAGACAGGCATGTTGGATACTGATCATCTTTCCATGGGCGGTCTGGTGGCATCGATCTCGAGACGGGAACTACCTCGAGAATCTAAAATGCCAGGTGCTAAACGGACGAGTGATATGAAAAAAAAGGATTTGGATTTATCGCATGGTTTTCCTTCTTCTCCTGGTCATAAAGAATTGGTCGTGGTGGGGCGTTAGGAGCGTTGAAAGGAATGTGGGTGGGGAGAGAATGATAATACAAGTTAAGTCAATGAGGTGATGATTGATAGCTAGTAGAATTGGATCAACCGTGGAAGTGGGTGACAGAGTAATGGGGGTTATAGGGGGTAGTAATATTAGTGATGGAGAGGGCACTATCAATATGGGATGAAATAACGTGGGGTAGAGTTTGAGGTGAGTGAGGCGATGGTTATTTAAATAGCAGGGGTTGGAAGAAGAGGTGGAACAGGCTACGGACAGGCAAACTGGCGCACAAGGCGCCTAGGGAGAGACGAGGAACAAACTCGCCTGCGTCAGGGACGAGAGTAAAGAAGGGTTAGAAATAGAAGATGGAGGAGAAAATAAAAGAGGATGACGACGACGACGATGTTGATGATGTTGAAGATGAAGAGGAAGAGGAAGAGAAGAGGAGGAAGAGGTTGAGAGGGAGGTTTGTGGATGATGATGAGTTGTCAGAGTAGGAAAGAGAGGAATGACTTGGCACTACACAGCAGATATTTATTCACATACAACAGCAGCACTGACAGAAGAAACATTACCCACCACACCACGCTGATTTGTATTCTATTGCTTAAATAGATCTTTGTGTGTATTTACCTACTTATGTATTTACTTGCTTTCTCTATTCTGTAGTTATTACAGCTACTTCTTCGAGACCCAAAAACAAGCAGTTGCAAGTAGGTATCAGAATTGTCTACTCCGTGCCTCCAGTAGCTATGCGCTGTTAACGTATTTAGAATCTGACATCGCACTACTAAACCAACTTAAAAGTGATCGAAGAGCCAGCAAGTGGACAACTAAAAATTCGGAGGAGGCAACTGGAGAACTGTGCGGAAGCTAGAATGCATTAACACTCGACCAGCAAAGACCACAGGCCCACCCCTTGTCCCCGCGTATCCACTAGATATTTTATCTCTACGGAGGGGTCTATTCTTGCCCTTGACGCTGTAAAACTGCCCTTTTCGCTATCTCTTCTCATTTCCTCATCAATCAAATGCTTCGCTCCATTCCGCCAACTGGCCAACTTGCTTCTTCCCGCCTGCTACATACTCAACCAGAAGTGGGTCAGATAGGCGGAGGGTGGGGAAGAAGAAGGCAAATTCGAAAACCAATAGTAAAAGTAATATAAATTGACAACAACAGCAACAGCAACAGCAACAGGGGAACAACGTGGTTGTGCCGTGTATTACAGAATTGCCATCTGTATCGGCGTCCGAGACCTCAGTAATCCAACTTGTTTCGTTAACCAACTGAGATGGCGTTTTATTTTATTTGCCTCCCTGTCATCGATTCACCGCCCTACACCTATGGAAGGGGGCATAGGAACTGTCGAGTCTGCGTGGAAAATTTCATGGAAGTTTGCGGTCTACTGGCTCACTAAAATGCAGCTCGGAAAAAGGGGTGTTATACGGGAAGGGTCATGAGTGCGTCATACCGAACATGTTAACCAACCATATTTATTATGCGCCGTGGCCAGCTGAGGAAAGGCAAAGAAGAAAACCGACCATTCGGGGAGGAATTGGAGGGAGGAGAAGGCAAAATTTTGAATCTCATCAAATCCTACCTTCGATATATTAAGATCTCTCTGAGGTTAGATGCTCTGACTGATATAAAATTGCTCATTTGTCAGAGATTCAAAGATGGGTTAATGCAAAGAAAAATGTGCTAAAGGGATAAATCAGAGAACAGAAACGTTAAAATATTGGACTGGGGCTTATTATTTATTTATTTATTTATTTATTTTGTTTACGCATTGCAAAAATACTTCTTGCCAACATCCTATCTCTTACAAAGTATATCACCACCAAAAACCTTATGTCTGTCTCTTCATCTCTCCCTCCCTCTCTCTATCTCTCTGTGCATGCTTGATCTCCCTTACCGGTTCTGTTTATGTCGTCCTGCAGGACTCGGGTGAATGAAAGAGGGTTTAGTCGAGACTCGAGACGGCCAAGGGATGTGTGATGTTCAACTGCAGATCCAAAACTCTGCCACGTCGTTGGTCCAGTGCTATTATGGAGTTTGCAAAGAGTGAACTCAGTTACCTTAGGGCAGATATGCTAAGACAGGAAAGGGAAAGGCAAGGCAAGGCCAAATATGATATTAAGACGGATACCCTCTCCCTCTTATCGGGGGGGTCCGACTCGTTACGAATAGGTAACCGGGGGTAGTTAGGGTAGAAAGTATTTAGGTTGACAATTATGCTTGTTCAGGAAAGTAATTAATTATCTGAATGAATTGAGGTGGGAGGGTTCGTCAGATGTTGGTTAGTAGAAAATAATATTTCTAGACCATTTCTAAATAAATATCCGATGAGACGTGTATTATTTTAGTTTTCTCCCCCTTTCTCGTCTCTTTCCTCTCCAAACCGACCAGCTAAAAGGAAGGGAAAAAAAAAAAAAAAAAAAAAAATGAGAGAGCGAGAGAGAGAGAGAGAGAATAAACGCAGAAATACATTCTGCAAGCCGCAAAATAAAAGCAGAAAGTCCGACTCGAAGAGGAATGGAGGGGTCAGAAATGGCTGGATGGTTATGAAATGCAGGTCTGCCGTCGAATCACAGACGAGCACGGCGGTGCACTAGGTTGCTTGCTTCGACTCTGATGAGCTGGCACTGCATGCATTTAATGCATTTGCTGGACACCCTTGCATCATTTGCATGTGGTTTCTCTGTCCGCCCATTGGGCTCCCGACCCAATCCATTCGGTTTAATAAAAGTTGGGTTAAGTTCTGACGGAGGATTGATGAGTTTTCTCTCCCGGGCTGCTGGGCTGTCGGACTGGGGTGTTAGGCTGGCGGATAAGGGAGGATATAGTTGGTAGATTTTAATGCCTAACGACATCTTTTATATTTAATTCTGCTCTTGCAATAAGGAGTGTGACGAGGGATGTCCTTTCGAAGGACGGAATAAGTTGAATATTCGCAACAGCAGCGAATGAAAATTCGATAAAAGAAGATTATTTTTTTTAATCCAAGAAAATGATGGATGCATCATCCATTCATGCCAGCTGGATACTTACGGTCTCTCTGCTCTCCAACACTAACGGGAGCCCGCAAACCTCAGCTGGGTCGAGTCTGTCGACGAAACATCGCCCAGATCTAACGCCCTACCAGTGAGCGGAGTGGGACAGACAGAAACAGAAGCAGAGGCAGAACAACAGCCACAGACGAAGCACAACACATCCACCAAGCAGCCAGCTCAAACACGGAACAAGGGCAGTGAGTCAGCCAGCTCGAATGGTCATGTTTATCGCCTTCAGACTATCTTTCTCGCCCCATTCTCACGTGTCATCCGCACTCTCAACAGCCGTATTGGTTGGAGAGTGGCCGATGAGATATTAGCATCTCCACTATAACTATCCATCGCAGCTGAACTCAGCAGGACTGGGTATTGTTATTGAGGAGTTTTTATTTCATGCTGCTGTTGGTGCTGCTGTTGTCCTCCCCTCCTCATTGCTGCTCGATCTAATCAACCCCATCTTTCGCTGTGTTTTGGTCGGTGAAAGGGGATCCCAGTTCCCAGTTCCAGTTGCAGCTTGCCCGCTCTCCTGCATCGCTGGCTTCTTGTTTTCTCTCAATATTTCTTGATTATCTTCGGTGTTGTTTGAGGAACCTGACTTGTGGCAATTAAGGCAAATGAAGATAGCTGCATGGCATGGTAACATACAGAATTGGCTTGCTGGTCTGATCTCGTGGCTCTTTTGATTTTCCGTTGGAAAATCATTTATCAGGATTTCTTTATGTTTTTATCTATCCAATATATTAGCCAGAGACTGGGGAACATGTGGCAAAAGGATGGACAGTTTGGGTGTTCTACGGACACCGTTGATGATTTTCAATTCATGAGTGCTCATATCTCTTCCGGATTTCTCTGCTGGCTGCAGATTGCATATATCAGCATTGGTAACAAGGCTGGCAATGATACGTCTTTCAACTCGAAGACATGTACGCTAGTTAACTCATTCAAAGAGGCTTTCTACAGACCTAACAACCCAGTTAACCGGCTATGTAGCTGCTATATTTGCCCCTAGTCTATTCCCAGTACGGAGTAATTAGGAACAGAATTCACCAAGCATCACGATCTGATATTCAGCCCTATACCTTCATATGAGTACCATCTACAGTCTCTTCCGAATTTTTCATAGTTTATGACTATGACATGCCGCTTCTCTTTCTTTCTCTTCCTCCTCGATCGCGGCCAGCTTCTTTCTCCCCCAGCTGGCAACCGTTACAGGAAGAAGCTACACACACAAACACCGCGTCTCCTTGTTCTTTCCAACGACCCAGTTTGTTTGCTGTCTTTATGCGCAGTATGCATCATTCTTCCTATTCGCAGCAGAGAGATCACGGACGCAAGAAGAGCTGTATATTCGCTGTTCGAATATCCGCCATCCTCTAATAACTAGGGTGGCTTTGATTCGGCGCCTCATGTTCGAGCGCTGATATCAAGACAGCCACTGTGCACAATGCAAACAGATTCGTTTATTTCCCCCCTTGCTTCTTGTTTCTCAGTTACTGGGTGTGAGCTTGTCCTCTACAGATATCCAGAAGAGGGCTACCAAACAAAAACAATAATGTCAACCATACCCGGTTCTGCACATCCCCTTTTCTCCACCACCTCCAATGCCCTCCTAAAAACTGATGTGATCCTCAAAAGAATCTTATTGATTTTTCGAATGAATTCACCAATCAGCAGTTTCTTCCCGTGTCTCCTTGTTTGCAAGAAGTGGTATTCATTGGCCATAACGCTGTTGCATACCATTGTGGTACTGAGGAATCGCAGCCTTTCTCTGTTCCTAAGTAACTCAAGGCTACCAATGAGCTTAAAGAAATCATGCGATATACAGTCTTTGACCTTGCTGCTGAATATAACGTCAGTTGACCCGCTCTCCACTGCTCGCGGCTGCCAGGGCCTGGATTGTTTATTGAGAAATCTATCCAAAATCATCCCCGGAAATATGCAGATGCTTCACACATTTTCTCTGCGGATCAATCATGAGCCACTGGCATTGATCAACCCTGAGAATTCTGATGTTAATGACGATACAGCTATTGATAGAATTAGAGCTGAACCTGGTTTCTCCGCTTCTGTTCTAATATCACTCTTAGCATCTCTGCCAGAAACATGCACCAATCTCGAAATTGACACCTCAGGCTTTGAAGTTTACAATAGTAGCGAACACATATGTCCACATATAGCAAAGCTGCTGCCAAACCTCACCCACCTGCGCTTACGCATCCGCCAATTGTGTTCTGGGCTCATAAACCTGTCATCCCAAAGCTCCTGTCCCCAATATCCAGGAGTGCTGCAGCCCGCTCTATGCCCAAAACTTCGCTCATTGATTATTAATATGGAGCTCTCCAGCGTTCTCCAAGGGGGAATATTACGCTGTCCCCTTCCACCAGCGCCATCCCTATCACGTTCAACCGGAAAGGAAATCCACACTGAAACGGACCTGCAAACAGATCTGTCCCACCATTTACTTGTCTGTCTCAAGAGAAAAAATTACTTCCCGGTCTGTGAGAGGATAGAAACCCACAACCCTATCTACTTGGGTGTCCCACCGTGGCACCACATTCGCCAAACAGACATCAAGAATTGTAAGACGAACATTTCATCTTTCATCCCGCTCCCTAGCTACATTGAAGGTGTCTGGAAACGTGGAACACACCGCTGCTTTCAGCCCGCATTAGGAACGACAAGGGCAAAAACAGGAGCAGCAGATAGCATAATTATATCACCATGGTCCTCCCATACCCGCGAACACACGGATAATGCTTGGGTGTCTACATCTGAGGGAGCAAGTTTTCCCAACACTACAGATCACCACATGCTCACCGTGTTCGATGCGAACGACTACCACATGCTCCGCGTGGATGAAGAGGATCGGAAGAAGTATCCCTACCACTGCTCGCTTGCAGCGTATACCAAGGAGATGACAACGCGGTGGAAAAATGAGACCAGAAGAACGGCAGAGTCTCATCCTATATACCGGGAACTCTGTGAAGTAGATGTATCGGATCTCATGGCGCAGACATATCACACTCTTCGTCTAATTCCGTGTGAACGGTTTCCGTTTCCGGAGCCATTACCAGAACAGTGGTATAATGAGAAGACGCGGTTCTCGTTTGGATATTAGGACCTTGGGGTGCGGGGTTGGAGGTGTTTTTGAATTAAATGGGATGAAGTGGTATCTTTTCTATGTGTTTTGTAAAGATATATGGGATAGATATAGTCATTGAAATATATATAATACTGTATGTAGTGTTTGTTATTGAAGTGAGAAGGGGTCTCTGTATTTGTTTTGGAATGCCCAAATCCAGGGGAGGTTGGATAAGGAGAGGGTTGATGGAATATTAACTATTTTTACTGTAACTACACCTGGTTAACTATGGATAATTCCTGTATAGAATACACACATTTCAGATAATAAAGCTTGCTGTCCATATGTCCTTATCCATCTATATATGTCATTTGGAGCGTGGGGGAGTTTGGTGCCGAAGTAAAGAAGAATCTGTGCGGGAAACGCTTCAAGTAGGTAGGTAGCCTCATGGCTGAATATGATGCCATGTGTGAAGGAGGATGAAGAGACGAGTAAGTGGATGATGAATGTAGTGAAAAGAAACGGTACTGTCCATGTACCTACATACAAGAGAAAGCCATGCTCTATGTATTTATGTGCAAGAAATGAAGGACGGGTTATAATAACAAAACAATCTTCGTATAAATACGACGAACATAAGCATCCATTTCATCATCTTTATTTTCATTCCACTTCATCTCAACCAGAAAAAGGGGGTGGTTGTGTTTCCCCGCTCATATCAAAACCCACTTCTTATCAGCCTCCTTTTCGCCGAGTCTCTTTGCCGTGGAGCTAAGCGTGTCTTTGATGATGTCTTTGGAAACTTTGGGGAATCTGAGTTATGTCGTTAGTTCAAAGGGTGCTTCCAAGACAGAACAGACTGATCGCAGGTGAAACATACCTTTTCTTCAACACCTCGACTAATCCCGCTTTCGTTAAATTGCTACCTGCAATGACTTCCCTGAATTCCGCTACCTGATCCGGTGGAAAAGGACGTCGTGGTCTATGCGATGGTGGTGCGCCAGGGAGAGTGGATTGGCCTGGAGGAAATGCTGTTGCTGGTGTCGTTGAGGAGGCTGAGGCTGAAGAAGGGATAATAGAAGGTCCCTGGAGAAATCCGGAGGATTGGGAGATTTCTTTTTGAGAAGAGCTTGCACTGACACCAGCTCGTTCAATGGATTTATTGGAGAGGTGTGTTAGGTGCTTCAATGGGGAGCGGGATGGTGGTGCAGGTTTACTCCAATACTCGGAAGAAAATGGGTCGATGGGGAAATTTAAAGTGTCTATTTCAGTTAGATAGAAAAAAAAAAAAAAAGAAAAAAGAAAAAAAAACCCAGTTGTCAATTTAAACTCTGGAGAGCGTGTGGGAATCGTTGAAAGCTTACCTGATAGAATCTCCATTCGACATGATTTCAATATCTGGTCAACTTCCCCATCGTCCTCCCAGCATATCCCGGTGCACACCGGCTCTAAATCTCCGATAATAACCCGTCGTTTCGCATTCGCAGCATCATCATCACCATCGTCTAAGAAATCCTCCATATCTCCGTCGCCATCATCACTAACTTCCTCTTCCCCTTCTGAGTCCAAGTCCTCACCTTCCTCAGGTTCCTCCCATTCAGCTTCCGAATCATAGTCATAATTAAAATCCGGAACAACTCGTCCAAATGGATTCCGACACAGCCTCTTAGCCTCCTGTTCAGATAGTTGTTTCGTAAAAGTGCCTTGATATGGAGGCCTCACATCTTCTCCGAACTTCAAAATTTTCATTGGAATTTTCTTCAACAAATCCGCCGGGTTTCGAGATTTCCCATCTCCTGTTAAGTCAACGGTATTCAAAGCAGAATCTTGCATTTTAATAAGTATTTCACGCACGGGAGGGTAGTTTTGCCTGCCTTGTCGTCGTTTATAGGGTATCATGTTGAAAATTTCTGAGGGGCAATATTTAAGGGCTGGTGTCTCTTCTTCTTCAGACAATCCATTCTTCTTAAATGCAGCATCGATAGTCTCACACGCGTGTTTCAGGGAATCGTAGTCTCGGTCGAAGCGATGTGATGGAGCCAAATTCACATGAGACTGCAAGAAAAACGGAGGGAATTCCTGTTCATAGTCTGAAAGGGGTTTCTTTTCCGCCTTCGCCGTCTCCGGACCGCAGGCTGGATTTTGAACGTTGTAATTTCCCATAGTCTTTCCGCAAGAGGTATTTCCGGCCGTTGCAGAGCTGGGTATCGCAGGCTTCACAAAAAAGGCATTCAAACGCATTTGCGACTTAAACCAGAGCGTCAGCAAGTAAATGGAAAAGCGAGAAAAGAAGAAAGCCCTTAGCTTAACCAAAAGGGGATTTCGGAAAACAAGTAACAAAAACTCACCCTTTCCTTCTTCATCTTCTCCTCATCCTTCTTCCTCTTCTCCTCCTCCCTGGCTAACCGCTCTTCATCCTTCGATTTTTTCTTTTCCTCCTTTTTCTTCCGCTCCTCCTCCTTTTCCTCCTCCTTCTTCTTCCGTTCTTCCTCCCGCTTCTTCTTCTCTTCCTCCTTCTTTGCCTTCTCCTCTGCCCTCTGCCGTTCCTTGGCCTCCTTCTCCTGTGCCTTTGCCAGCTTGGTGGCAGGGGACAGCTTTCGTTTTTTATTATTCGGAACAGACGGAGATGGAACGGGTGGTGAGCTTTGGTTATGTTTATAGTTGTTAGGTGGGGCAATTGGCGACAGTATAACAGGATCGGTAGACCAATTGGTACTTGTGGGAGGTTGGAGGTCGGAAGTGTTGGAAGACGAAGTACTGGTGGCTGTAGGAACGGTAGGTAGGGGGATGTCTGGATTTTCCACGGAGGGAAGTATGTCCTCAGATTTGACATCCGTAGCAGTAGTAGTCAACAGTTGAACACTACCATTTGGTACCACCACGTGTGATTCGAGTCTTCCATTGTTTGTACGAACAGTCTGCACATCACCATCCACCTCATTGAATGACCTCTTTCGTGATAATGTTGATTGGTTGGCAGAGCCTAGCTGTGATTTCACTTCCATGGTTATATTCAGCAAATAGAGTATGATTTTCACGCTCTCTAGACTTATATGAGTGGATGGCGGCAAAGGTGAGGGAGTGTTGTAATCAAATTATAACCTGGGAGATGATGAATGACAGAAAAGACTGAGCTGCTCCTCAAGTTTCAAGAAACACCCAAGTTCAAACCCGATCAAGAAAATCAAGAAAGCTGCAGCAATGAGAGACTTTACATTCTCTGCTGTTCATGAATACAACCCTGGTTGGTTTGCTGCAGTAAGGCTTGTGGTTCAGTAAATTGAGGAGATTAGATGATGATAATAAGAAGTTGACGGTGTTGAGGCTGAAATTAGAGTCGCGGTCTCTTTATCCCGATAACTAAATGAACCCGTCTTTTTCGCGTCAAATTGGCGGCAGTCACGTGATCACGTGATATCAGTACTTAAAGTTATCTCCAACTCCAGAGTCGGTTTCTAAACTACTAATTAATATGGAACGCGGGAACGGGGGACAGGAGGGACAGGAGGGACAGGAGGGACAGAAGAGATAGATGGACTTTGATACGTATTCACCATTGCTTAGAATTACTGGACCGATATCTTTATCGGCTGAGGGCGCTAGAACTACCTCTTTACGCAGAGCAAGGAAACGCAACAACTGCACCCAAGAAGAAAATGTGCAAATTAATCTATTTCAAGACACCCATATCCTTGGATAAAAGCAGATAATGATACTCGCAAAAAGCGCTCCATAGTCCAGGAAAGGTTGAATATCAGGCTTTCAGTGTCGGGGATACAGAAAAGGAGAATAGAAGATGTTGTTTTTTCATCCTGCAACGTTTCTGGGTATATGTATATATTGGGACAGTGCTATATTTTGAAGAAGGGGGAGGGGAGGAAAATGGGGAACAGGGGATAATTAAGGGTAAGAAATATCTGTTCACAAAGCGAAAGGAGTCTCCTTCTTAATACTGGAAAAGGTGGTAGCTTTGCGCTATAGCTGCTTGTTAATGGGGGATATAGAAGAATTGAGAAGATGTTGGCAAGGAACAAAAGAAAAGAAAGAAAAAGAAAAAAGAAAATAAGGCCACCGCTAAGGGATAAAACGTGAATTCCTTACCCCATCTCTTTTTCTGGACCGCATTGTTTCTAGGAAGTCATGGGCATATATGCAACATATGCATAACCGCATAACCCTATTCCACGGGATTTGGGGTTTAAAAATGGAGGTATAGTGTATAGTCTGACTTGGTCAAGTAAAAAGGATAGTAACTAACTCCCAGCTCCTCATTACAACTCCAATTACATATTCGTAGCTTAAAACACAAAAGAGGAAAGGAAAAAGAAAGAAAGAACAAATTTAAACACAGAAAATTGAAAGAGTTTCTGGATCCCAACCATGGCCCGGGCCCCCAATCCATCACTCAGTCACTCAAGTCCGGATTGGCAACAAAAAGCCTGACACTACTCATACTGGTAGATCGATCATCCACGCTACCCCTACGCCTAAGGTCGTCTGTCTTCTTCACTCGGTTCGCAGCATGAACTGCTCCGCTCGGTGCTGCCATCTCCGTAACTGTGCCGAAGTCTTCCTCTTCGCTGCCGTAGCTCTGTAGAGTACCGGGATGGTCGAATTTGTTGGTGGTGGTGTCTGAATTCGCCGTTTCCGGATCTGAAGCAATCGTTGTCATCGTCGGGGTACCATTCACATTGTTGGCGTTAACGTTGGCATTAGCATTAACGTCGTTGGTGGCGGCCGTCATCATAGCAAAGTAATCCTTCTCACCCTCTGGGTTCAAAGGCGCAGGAGTTTCCACAAGTTCAGGAATATCAGTCTGTCGATCTGCAACATCCGAATTAGGCGGCGTGTTACCATTGCTACTGGTACTGAACCGACCCTGCTGCGGCCGCTGATACCCACTGGGGAAAAAGCGATTGCTCCCCGTGGAACTGCGCCCGCTGTCTGTTCTACGGTGGAAAGTAGGCCTGTCGTTTTCCATGTCATCCTCCCCGTCGCCAATCTCATTCGCACTCAATCGGAGAGGTACACCAGCGCCAACCAGAGTTGCCGTGTTGTAACCCATCGTACGCGAGGATGTATTGTGCCTTATCTTCCCAGTGCTTCCAAGGGTAGCGCTCCGACCGCCCCCTCCATGAACTTCCAGTGCTGCCCTTTGCTTTGCGGCTCGTCTCTGGGCGACTACGCGAGGGTCTTGTGTTTGCGCACGGTCGCACCATACAGTGGCTTTCTGCTTGCGCATGAGCGCAACGTAACCTAGCGGGGTGTTGGCGGAGCGTGATGAGGAGCTTCGTCGGATATCGACCTGGGTGCCAGGGTGTCCGTGAGGCTGATGTCCCTTGCCTCCGGTCGACGTTGTAGAACTTGTCGCAGTCGAGGACCGTCGCATGGGGAGAGAAGGATTCATGCGTTGCTGGTGTTGCTGCTGATACTGCTGATGTTGGGGAAGTTGTTGCTGTTGCCGATGTTGGGGAAGTTGAGGAGGGTAAGGGGGGGCCATCTGCTTTTGCGGGCTCATAGGGTTTGGAGGATATGAGGAAACGACTTGGGCCCGATTTTGAGGTGCTTGCGGTCTCACTGCCTGCTGGGGAGGATGCTGTGGGGCCGGAGAGCCTGAGGAATGAAATTGTAGGCCGGCATTGCCGGAAGGGAGCACTTTGCGATGCGGATTCTGCAGCGTCGGAGAACGGTAGTCGGCCATTTTATTTATAGATAAAATTTTTCTCTTTTTGCTTCAGACGTTATTTGACCCAATCAATTCCACATGTAGTTTCCAGTGGGGATTGTTTTGTAGTGATGATAAGGGAATCAGAGAAGCAGTGACAAAATCTGCACATTGCACAGAGTGTGAGTTCTCTGCAATACTCCTGGTATGGTTGACGGTGGAATGCAGGGGAGGTGTTGAAGTTGATACTTGTGCTGGTGGCAAAAACATAAACACTATTTGAGTGATTGTTTTGTTCTGCTTTGTTGCAACCAGAACAAAACACAATGATGCAATCATTAAACGCACAACACGGGGGAAATCCCAGTATATTTCAATACACACCTAAAATCAAGCAACTCACAACTCGTTTTGCACTCTCTTGACAGCACTCTCAGCGTGTTACTGGCAGGTAGATAGTTGGGGAGTTGTTGGTGCAGAGACGGACAGATAAAGGGCCACAGAAAAGACTCCGCCAGCCTGCCTGGCAGTGAGCCAAATGCGACCAAGGAGCAGAGAACTTGGCGAGCGAAAAAAGAAAACTAAAATCCATATATTTATTCAAACTGCTTCTAGAATGTATGATATCTTTTATACATTTCTTATATACCTAACTGGTTAGTTAACTGGGTAGTTATATATAAATCTCAGTCACATGCTAACGCTCCAGCTCAACAATTTCAAATTTGCCTTCTACAGAAGGGGAATCTCCTAGTTCAATGAATTTTCTTTATGGAATAATGTGACTTTACTGTAGCTGTCGCTGAATTGATTAAATAAATGTCGCTGCAGGACAAGTTGAGGGTCTCAGTTGTAATTAATTGGCCGAAGGATCAACAATGGGGGAAAGTCTTGATGTTGAACAGGGATTGCATCAAAATCAGGTATTTCCCACGCTGATTTTGCTGGGGAGTGACCTGTGAGTGGACCGATCGCAAAGAGTAATATTTCTCCTAATTGCTGGCAACTGAGAACTATCTTGATGTCACACAACACAAGGGTTCATAAGTTAATTCAATACATGATTATTCTTATTAACTAAAATAAGATTCTCGATCGACGCCCGTGGAAGACACCCAGTGCATTATTTATCCCCAACGATGCATACGTAACAACATAAATATACATAAAACCTAAATTCTGTGCCTCCTCGCTCCCTCGAGCCTGATCGAGCAAGGCCTGGAATCAGCCCGTGAACAAGCCATGAGAAAAGCTCCAATTGAAACTCCATGCATGTATCCTATCTTCGCATGCAAGAATCCATTTGTGAGTGGTCGGAGCTGATAGCTGCTTATGATGCCATGACGCTCCCTGCACCCATTAGCCCTACAACCACTCGGACATTGTTTTGATAGCCGCAAGACAGATTTGACCTCCGCGTATGGGAGGGAAGATTAGAATCGAGCCCGAGCACGGGACCATCGACATGACAGCTGGTGGGGGTATCCTTTGATCAACTTCATGTCATATCGGTGGGCAATGAACTAGGCTGCAAAATGGCGAGCGGCTTGGCCGGTGACGACCCCACGCCGGGAAAGGAAAAGATAACCAATTGAGAACGGCAAAGAACTGGAGGTGGGCTTCTCTGGCCCTGTTTGAAAACTCTCAATAGGACGTGGAATGCTTGCTTCCATGTGCAAGAAAAGTCCCAATGGTCATATAAAGGTGCGATCTTGTTTTTGGGCAACTTGGTTCGTCATTTAAAACTAAACCCCCCCAGCTTTATCGATAGTTATCATCGGCAAGGGGGAGATCTGTGCCTTTCGTTGGGTTCGAGACGAGGTATATTTGCCTATACGGCACTAACTGGCTAGCTGCCAACTCACATAAATAACATGCTTGGAAAGCTGAGGAGACAAAATCTTCTTCTCCTTTACGGCTAAGCCTGCTTGCATCACAGGTTCCCATCAAGGATTTTCCCGGGATATTTAATTTTTTTTTTTTTTTTTTTTTTTTTTTTTTTGGTGTAAATTGCGTGAACTAGCGGCCTGCGCCCGATGACGCCTCGTACGTTTCTTTTACACCCAGGTCGGACAACCAAGGGGTTAAAACGTAACGGCTAAGACAAATGCCCAATACCAACCCGTTTGCGGAGTACGGCTGCTGGGGATATATTCATTCCCCTGTCCTTGTAACCTTAATGGCGCTCTGCAATTTACCTATAACCTTTCCTGAAGAACCTTTTTGTATCTTTTATTTATTTATTTATTTATTAATTTTTTTGAAACAACTGCGAATGAGAAACATGAGAATAGCAAGCTTAATCTGAAGTTTAAAAATGTCTCGCGGTTGAGGCTTTTCACCCACCCCGCAAACTTAATTTAAATGGCAGCAAGGGGTCAGGGGTCAGTAATGTGGCAAAAGGAGAAAAGGACACTCAGTTATCAACAACCCTATCTAGCTGAACGGTAAATCAGTGGTGTAACTTGTCAAGTCGCCCCATCGCAAGAGTCGATATGCGATTGCTGGGGAGTTTGATCCCCTTTCTAAACAGAAGAATATACCTTGAATTTGATCAGACTAGATGAAATATGCACAAGTGTAAATTCAACCAATATCTGCTGCATCAGCAACCAATATCACAAGCATCCAATTTTGACAAATTACATGAGCTGTGATGGAAACAATTCGGACTCTTATCTAATCCCGGGTAAAGGATAATGTAAAGGACACAATTTCTGCTTCGACTCGGAAAGAGTACGGGGTAAGGGGTAATAGGGATTCAATATCAGAAGAATATCAAATCACCGACATCAAAGCTGGGATATATACAAATGCAATGAAGATTCCCAAATAAATAAAATTTGGCATTCTTCCAACAGAATATATCCGGTATTTCGAAGAGTTCTTTATAACAACCATTGAATAAATAAAAATCCCTACAACTTCGCACCCCCAATCTTCACCAATGCCCCATCCTTAACATCAAACTCCTTCCCCCTAGCCCACCCCAACCAACTCGCCAAAGTCTCTTCCCCACCTTGACTCGGCCTCAGTCCCTCACTCGACCAACCCCCCTCCTCACTCCTATACGATATGCCCGGCGTCTCTGACAATCCCACCGCCAACCTTTGCTCATACCCGCCCTCCTCCAGCTCCCAATTCTCCAGCACGGGCGTAGCACACGCATCTGTCTCATCAAAGATATCCTCCCACTCCTTGCGTGTCTTCTCCTTGAATCTCTGCGTAAACACCCCGCGCATACAAGGCCACGTTCTAGGATCCTCGCGACTCCCACTAGAGCCTGCAGACATGATATCCTGCTTGCTCAAACCCAAACCCTTCAACAGGGCATCAAAGAACTGTGGCTCCAAGGCGCCAACGGCAAAGTACTTGCCTGCATCCTTCGTCTCATAGGTGCCGTAGTAAGGGCATCCGCCATCAAGCACATTGCAACCACGCGGGCCCGCCCATATGGGCTTCTTCTGCGACAATCTCGGCATAGTAGCCAGGTATGCAGAGCCATCAACCATATTCGCCTGGACAACCTGTCCCTTGCCCGTACGTTCGCGCGCCAGCAACGCAAGTAGAATACCAAGGAAGCACATAGCTCCTCCGCCGCCAAAGTCACCAATGATATTACCGGGGGCGTAGGGTGGTTCGCCCGCACGACCCAGCATGCCCAACACGCCCGAAACGGCGATATAGTTGATGTCATGACCGGCCATGTCTTTGTATTTGCCATCGCGGCGGAAGCCGGTCATGCGGGCAACGATGAGGCGGGGGTTTTTCTTGAGGAGAACATCAGTGGGGGAGAGGCCTAGTTTCTCGAGAACGCCGGGGCGGAATGGGTCAATGAGAACGTCTGCGTGTGGGAGAAGGGAGAGGAGAACGGCGCTAGAGGCGGGGGATTTGAGATCGAGGCTTATGGAGGTTTTGTGGCGGGTTAGGGTATCGGAGGTTTGAGGGGGGAGGGTGCTGGAAGTGGAATGTGCTTGTGGGTGTGGGCGGTCGATGCGAAGGACGGAGGCGCCGTAATCAGCTAGAAGGAGACCGGCAAAGGGGCCTGTTCGGGATGTTATATGAGTTTGACCACGATCATAGATAATGGGATGGGGGATGAGATTGGGAATTGCTTAATTTCCCAATTGGGCTTCAGCGGATCGAATTTGTTACTATAGCATTTCCTATCTTACCTGGAGCTAGACCAGCGAGTTCAAGGACTCGGATACCTTTGAGAGGTGGTGATGCGCTTGATGACATTTTCTTGTGGTGGGCTTATCAGAAGAAACCAATTCTTGGGTATAGTGAAAGAGGATGTCAACAGGGACTATTCAACGATTCAGACAATAGGTTAATATACGCAGTGGCTCCAGTTCGATATACATGGGCCTTTGCAAAAAGCTCGGTCCAACGCTTTGGGTAAAGCGTAGCCGAGGTGAGGACGGGCTGAAGGAGTGGAGACATCACATGATGTCTGCGGACGGCGTGAGCAACCCTGGAGGGAGAGAAGGTGGAAGATAGTTAAAAAAGCTCTATCCATCCTCTCTTGCGAACTGATCCACCGCACCGCCGACTGAGATGCATCTTTTTTCCAGTGGAAATCGGGAATAGCTTCAAACTTACCCGATTTGGGAAGCTCGGGAAGTTCGGCTATCCATCTGATTACCTAACCCTGACAGGTCAAAATAAGCTAGGTATTGCTAACTATATATGGTTAGTGTAGACAGTTAGAGTTATGTGTCGTCTTTCTTGGCAAACTATAAATCAACATGCTAGACCAAATTAAGTTAGCACTTGGAGGCTCCCATCCGAACTATGAAGTTCTAGCTTATTCTCGTTTTGTTTATATCCTCCGAACGAATAAGGGCTAACATCTTTACTTTTCCTCTCTTTCATCATTTCTATCTTGCATCCACCTCTTATTGTTCAGTCAGAAAGTTTTATTGTCGTTGACAATGACATGTAATTTCCTGCTCCGAGATTCCTAGTTGTAGAGCCCATACGTAAGCACGAGGAAATCAAGCGACATGGACAGCTTATCCATGCATGCACTACCTGGTACATCTGAGAAGGTATAGAACAGCGAAAGAACAAAATTCATAGTGTTATTCGATCCAGCACCATCGACCCGTCCAGTTAGATCAAGGCAAACACCCCGCCCTAAATATATGCAGCCAACTTCAAACCATTCTCCCTGAAGAAAGCAGACCAAAACGCCATCTCACCCAGATATCAAGATCTAATCGCATGCACTCCCAAAGCAAAACATGTCAAGGAGAACAATTCAAATCAAAAGAAGAATGACAAACGTTTAGTCAACAAGAATCAAAACAGAAATTCCTATTCCAATCATACATTCTACTGCCTACTCATCCCGATTCCTCCCCCCTTTCCTCTCTACATATTTATACCTGTAGCCCTGCGGTGGCTTATTCTCCTTCCCCGGTCCCGCCACCTTACCATCGTCACCGGCACCATCATTACTTGCACCCCCAACCTCCTTCTCCCCCCAAGTCCACATCAAAACCTTTCCCATGCGCTCCCGATCTTTCAATAACTTGTCCACACGTCGCTCCCACTCCTCCTCTCTCTTCTTCAGCACACTGGCAAACTTCCTATCAATAGCCAGGGCAGCGGACTCCTTCGCCTCGACGACAGATTCCAATCTCTCACGCTCACACTGTAGTTCTGCAACGCGCTGCTCCAAGGAGGCTGAAGATGCGCGCAACTTACTGAGCTCGGAGTCAAGTTTTGTCTCGCGCGCTTGAGAGGCTGTGATAACGTTTTGGAACGTGCGAACTGTCTCCGCGTGCGAGTTGCGGAGTGTAGAGAAGGCTGTGGCATGAGCGGAGTGGACGCTATTTAATTCTGCTTTGTGAGATTTTAGGAGGGCGTCGTGGTTGATGTGACAGGAACAGGTAGCAGCTCCTGATGGTCCTGGTGCAGGCGACAATGGTGGGCTGGGTTGTTGTGGGGCCATATTTTGTTCTTTGCGAAGGTTTTCAAGGTCCAGGATAGCTCTGTCACGTTCTTGTGTGGTTTTGTGTAGAGTATCTTGCAATTTTGTCTGTTCGGATACGATCCCTTCTATCTTAGCGGAGAGACGGGATATTTCACGCTGTAGTACTGTATTGAGTGCTCGTGATTCAGAAAGCTCCTGCCGCGTGCCCTCCAGCTGCAGAGTTTGCATGCGGTCTGAAGGTAAAGAGTTTCGTAGATGTAATCGTGCTTCGCTAAGCTCTTTTTCCAATGCTCGAGCCCGCTCGGAGCTTTTGGTCGCCTCATTGACGGATGTGGTTCTTCTTGAATGATACACCGCCTTGAGCGCATCAACAATTTGACTGAAGGATGTATCATTGGTGCGGATATCAGCGGACACTTCGCTTGCAAGTATTTTGATCGCCCTAAATTGAGAATCAAGTGCTAGGTTTGCCACGTCCAATTCAGCCTGGATGGCATTGTTTTTTATTTCGGATTGGCGAACTGCTTTAAGGAGGCTCTCGGTTTTTTCTTCGAGGGCTTCACATTCACGACTTACTGTCTCAAGTTCAGAATCCAACTTATCCATCTCGAGATACTGAGCGTCCTGATTAGCTCTCAGTTGGTCGATCTCAGCAGCATGTTTCTGAATTTGAGCATCTTTGTTCGAAATGGCCAGGCTCATTTTTAGAACGGTTTCGTTGTTTCCCTGCTGATCTTGTGTGGGATCTCCTTCACTTGTATTTGGTAGAGTACGACCCTGGATATCCTTGTCTCGCAATCGCTTCGATTCTTCCTGGAGAGATTTCAACTGCAAAGCATCAGTCTCAATTTTCTTCAGCTGGTCGTCTTTCTGTTGAGGTTGTGTTCGAAGGTTCTCTACTTCCTCATCGTGCGAGGATAGGGTTGATAAATGCGCATCCCTCTCCTTTAAGGCTGCATATTCCTTCTGGAGCTCTGACTGAAGGTGTTGTATTTGTTGAGCTGCTGATGCTGCCTCCAGGACCCTCCTTTTATTTGTGTCTATAATTTCGTCCTTCTTACGCAGCTGCTGCCGAAGCTGCTCTATTTCTTCATGCAGTCGATGCTCTTCAAAGGACTCAGCGACTTGCTGGGAAAGCTCTCGATCCGGTTGCGGTGATTTATTGGGTGGAGATTGAATCGAGGGCTCATCGATTTTATCCAGTGGCGCGCTATTTCTCGAAATCACGTTTCGTCGCGAAAGAATACGTGCCGGTGTCGACATATCAAGTGGCGCGCCCATCTCGCTATACTCGTTTATCGTGTGCTCTGCAACGACGGTATTGCTGCGCAATTCCTCCGCGTCTTTCATCGGCCCCGGCTTTGACGCGTTATCTTCATTATTGGCTGGGAGGGAGTCTGTCCCTCTCACTAACTCCACCATGTTCAGAGTAAAATCCCGCGGACCTCGAAGCTCACGAAACGCAGCTGGTTTCTTCTTTGGAGAAGATTTTTCATTCTCCTTACTTTCACCATTATTATTATCACGATCAGATCCATAATCCGATAGTCTGCTCAGATCAAATGTATAATCCGAGAAATTGGCTTCCGAATCACTTCCGTCACTGGAATGAGGGGAACCTGAGGCTTTTGCATAACGGACTTTTCGTCGACGCGCAGCATTTGCAGAATTTGCAGCAGAAGCACGAGCTGAACTGGGCTTTTTAGTATGTAGAATCAAATCCTGACTCGAATCCATTAGTCTGGGAGGTGATGAGGGTATGAAGACAGGAGTGTTGAGAAGTGAAGCTCCAAGGGTGTCGTGGGATGTAGGGAACGGCGAGGTGAAGCCGTTGGAGGCCATTTTTGAGTGTCGGGTATCGTCGCGTGAATTATATCAATTGGTAAAGGGATGCCCTATATCATGGTTCCAAGGTGATTCTCGCAATTCTACCTAATAAAAAATATTAATATGCGTAAAGTTCGTACCAACGCGATGGGGAAGTGTTGCATTCCAGGATTGTTGACAAAAACCCACTTTCGGCTTAGCTTTAGCCGAGAACAGATGACTAGATACGGCCCAACGTTAATCCGCCATAGCCGTGATGTCACTCCTCATAAATTATGTGAACTTGGACGTGGAAATTGTTTTGCGGGGACATTTTTCTTTAGCTAAAAAGATTCCTACCTCAAAGCAAGAAATTTATGCAGATTGGATCTCGGGGAACCCTCCTTATTTTGGTTAAATCATGGAGGGACGTAGGGACGTAGAAGCTTAACAAAACGCCAATTTTGGAGTGAATCTGCGACTTTTAGGTTGGGGTCAACACGCACTCTCAGGATTATTATGCTCAGGATTACCTTAAGATAATCTACTGAACAAACCCGGACTATGCTGGTAGAATTTATAAATTTAATGCATGACACCCCTTTCGAATATTCTGTAACCACTAAAGATCCCTGTAGGCACATAGGGACTATTAACGGTTGCAAATGGATGGGTCCCGCTGGGGTATTATATTGCTTCTCTACGTTTCTTGGTTTCGATATGATGCATAATACAATGTCCAACAATAAAGAAAACAACAAACACGATCACCAGAGGGTGTATCTGAACTTTAGCCTCAAGCATATAATTTATGTCGTCACCGGGGCCGTCGAGGGCTTGGGTTATGCATGGCCGAAGCAATGACGGAAGCAGGTGCAGAAGGGTTGGTTCACCACGATATGCTCTCCTCGAAATTCAAACTTCGTTGATGAGGCGCTAACCTGTTGTTTGCCGGGGTGCATTGTCTTGACAGATTTGCGGAACCCGATCCTGAATTGTTAAATCACAAAAGCTGGCGGCTAATTCTCATGTTGGCTCACTTCATTACCACCATGTCGATGTGCGAAAGGCGAATTTCCTCAACGAAACGATTGCAAATATCGCAGAAAGACACCAGAGGATGGACGGTCTCGTGGCGGCCGCAGGTGTTCAACAAAATCAGGCCCGCAATCGACTACACTGCCGAGGAAATCACACGGATAATGGACGTAAACTATACGGGGACTTTTATGGCAGCGCAGGCCGTAGCCAAGCAAATGCTTGCATATAAAAACCATGGCTCCATCATTCTGATCGCAAGCATGAGCGGACTCATCGCGAACCGGGGCTTGATTTCACCCGCATACAATGCTTCGAAAGCGGCGCTTATCTAGCTTGCAAGAAGAAGCCTTGCAATGGAATGCGGCCCAAAAAGGGATTCGTGTTAATTCGCTCTCTCCTGGACACATCGTCACCCCAATGGTGGGAAAAGAACTTTGAGGAAGCGCCTGGACTCGACAAGGTATGAGAGCAGGAAAACATGCTGGGACGGCTGTCGCGCCCGGAAGAGTTCACCGAAGCGACCAATTTCATGTTGAGCGATGCCAGCTCGTTCATGACGGGGGCGAAGATAGTCATCGATGGAGGTCATACAGCTTGGTGAATAATCATGACATGACTTCCCATGTAAACACTGTCATGTAATGAACTTTTTTATGTACCTAGTTAACTGTTATATCATAGCGCTTGATTAAAAACAATTTGTCCTGTTAAATACAATCGAGCGGAGGATGAGCCCTGGACAGATGTCTCCAAGGGGATTAACTAAATAGTTATACATAGCTTCGTATGGTTTGTTTCAAGGTTTTCGTCCGTGTTCCTCTCTGCCAAGGTGAGGAGCCGCTGAGCGACCCGAGGTTATTTCGCGCTTGCTGGCTGGTTTGGGTTTCCGCGTTATTTAAATATTCGATCAGAGACGTTCTAAACAAATGTCAACACCAATCCGTGACAACGCCCCACGTCCCTCACCAAAAGCCCACATTCTCCTATAGAAACGGGATCTACCCTCATTCAGATAAATCTAATCCGAAATACCAATTATGGAGTCACTACTTCCTACAATCAATCTCCCCTTACCTATTCTCCTCCATGCCCTCGGCCTCACCTCCCTGGGCGTGTACTTGACATTTAGCGGAGCACGTCCGACACTTGGCATCGCATCTGCTGGCCTGGGACTCGCATACCTGTCCACGTCCTATATGCCGATTGAACTAAACCAATTCCTCCATGCCAGTGTACCGGTGCGCATGATATTGGCGGGATTAGCGGCTTTAAGGCTTCCGACTGCAAGAACCCAAGACCGTATGGCCCTGATCACGGTGACTCTGTATGATGCCCTGGGTGGATTGATCTTGGGATATACTCTGGGTAGGTGGGATGGCAAGGTACCGGGGTATTGATTAATGTAATATGCGGGGAAGAATAAGTCTTGGATTAGGTTAAGGTTTATCAGCAGTCAACGTGTTGTGGGTTGTTGTCTTAGTATATACCATCTCTGGCGAGGGCAGTTCATGTTCACCACCAGAATATGAAAGCATCATTAATCTAACAGGCTCTATACTCGAAAAAATAGATGCGGTTCACAATATTATCCGAAATATCAACAGCTGGTAGTACAGTATCGTCTCGGTGATAATAATCACGTGATAACAGTTTGTCCTCCACTCCGCTCACTATTTCGTCCCTCCATGCCTCATCTACACGCGAAATTTTTAAGGCAAAGCAGAGAAAATTCCGTGCATGTGCTGTTCTAAAGGAGAGTATCTTATCGCCCAGCTGATGGTGGATGCGTGAAAAGAAGATAGGTAGCTATTTTCCAACTACGGTCTTGCCATCATAACGGCGAGCCAGGGAGAGAAGATTGCCCACGACCACACCTGAATGCACATTATCACACGAACAATTGGTTATAGTGCGCGTGAATCAGTCGCACTATCAAGATTTTTGATTTCAATATTCAATATATTTTAAGAAAGACGTCCATTCCTCATCGTGGAGTTGACTCATGCCTCCAATTCTCCGAAACAGCGCATCTGCACTACCTCGTGTTGTCTGCTATTACCAGACATATTACCCAAATAATGGCAATGAATACGTCTCAATGCTACCTCTGGTAGCGAACAGCTCTGGTATAACACATGCTATCCTTGCTGCGATCCACATCAATGCCAACCCAGGGAACATCACCCTCAATGATGATTCCCCGTATCATCCCCGCTATACAGCTCTGTGGGCAGAAACAAAGATTTTGCAAACCCGAGGGATCAAAGTCATGGGGATGTTAGGTGGAGCCTCACGAGGAAGCTTTGAGCGCCTTGATCAAAACCCCTATTCCTTTGAGCGATATTATACTCCTCTTCGAGATATGATCCGACATCACGCGCTTGATGGATTAGACCTAGACGTGGAGGAGGATATGTCTCTTGAAGGTATTATCCGACTGATTGACCGTCTCAAGTCCGATTTTGGGGAACAATTCATTATCACGCTGGCTCCCGTTGCGACCGCCCTGATTGAGGGACTCCCCCACTTGTCGGGATTTAACTACAGAGAACTGGAGGCCGCACGAGGTTCGAAGATCGCATGGTATAATACCCAGTTTTACAATGGCTGGGGCGGCATCGAGAGTACGGAGGTATATGACCAGATAATGGCTGAGGGATGGGCAGCAGCAAAAGTGGTGGTAGGGATTTTGACAAACCCTGGAAATGGGTCCCAGGGTTATGTGTCAATAGATAAGATGAGCTTTATTATAGGGATGTTGATGCTGAAATACCCAGGTTTTGGGGGAATTATGGGCTGGGAATATTTCAATGCGTTGCCTGGAGGTGTGCAACGACCATGGCAATGGGCGGCTTGTATGTCTTTAACGATGGGGATGGGGACACTTTACTCGATGGTGGTGGAAGCCCAGTTTCTTCAGTAGCAACACGTAAATTTAATTTTCAAAATATTATTTTGTTTGATTTTTCTTTTACTCCAGCCTAATTGTTTTGCTGCCGATTATTTAGAACAATGTGATATGTTTAGTTCCCGCCTCTCGACTTGCTTCCCCTATGCCGTAATATTTAGTCTACCACCAAATCACAAAAAAGACACTGCACGGAACTCGGAGTGACATCAACTCCGCCGCTATTAAGAAGTACATAACCAGCAACCGGCGATTGATGCGGGAAACTGTGCAGATAAAAGAATTTTATCCCATGCGGACTCTCACTGTGGAACTATGGCTTCTTTACGGACATCCGTGGCTGCGACGAGCTCTGCTGTGACCAAGTTAATAGGTTATATATTTCTGCGATGGGTAACTACAGATACAAGCAATTTGATGTCTTTTTCGCGTTGGGAGTTCTGTTGACTGATAAATATATAAAATAGATTCCAGGTCACCATGGCCCGCCGCTAATCTTCACCTCCTTGCTAGTATACTTGACTTCAGTTTTTGTGATAGTCACAAACCCAACATTTAAACGACAGCAGAAGGAAAATAGTACCGTGAGGAATGCGCGGAAGCGGGACAAAACAACAAAAGGAAATCGACATTCAAGTGAAAAAGATGGCAAGAATAAAACAACGAGAGGACAGTCGCCGTTGTCCGTGGTTTTGACCGGTATACCCTCCGCGAATGCTAGATACGCGAACGTGGCGACTATTGGGGTCAATATACTTGTGGGACTCTTCTCTCTCGATGTCCTTCTCCGGGGCCAATATCTGAATGCTGGTGCTGACCTGACCTTTTCACGGGTTGGATATGTATCGCCAACAACTGCCAAAATTCTCCTGCGCGAACCCGATGTAGAAAAGCTTCCTATCAACATCGCCTACCAAGAAATGCAAGGCGGGCGGGTGGGCAAATTGATTGAAGCGGGAACAATAGATACTATATTAGAAGAGACGGATTACACCTATCCTGTGTCTTTGACCGGCCTTCAACCCTCGACAAAGTATCGATATTTGTTCTCAAATAACCAGTCCGGGGAGTTTACCACAGCACCAGCCCCAGGCTCTGAAGCTGCAAACAGAGTCACCTTCTTGACCTCGAGTTGCATGAAGCCGAACTTTCCGTACAATCCCCTAAATCACCCACTCCAGATCACAGGCCTTGAATATCTTTCCAAGATCGTATCAAAGCTCCCTGCCCTTCCCTCATTCATGCTCTTCCTAGGGGATTTCATCTACATCGACGTCCCATACCGATATGGCTCTTCCGTCTCCGACTACCGAAGCGAATACCGCAAAGTCTACGCTTCTCCTTCATGGCATGTGCAGCCGGAGCCGCCAATCAACATCCCCTGGCTCCACACCCTCGACGATCATGAAATCGATAACAACTGGCACAAGGGGAACATCACACCCCCATACCCAGCAGCATTCGACCCATACCGCCACTACCACATGAGCGTCAACCCTCCGATCCCTGAACACCCCTTTGCTATCCCTTCTAACACTACCTACTTCTCCTTCACTCACGGCCCCGCCGCCATCTTTATGGTGGATACTCGCACATACCGCTCGGAACCGCAACAAGAAAACTCCACGATGCTTGGTTCGGCACAGCTTGCCTCTCTGCTTGCCTTCATTTCCCGCCCAGAGCCTGCAGGTGTGAGATGGAAAATAATCACGAGTGGCGTGCCGTTTACAAAAAATTGGCGCATTGGGACGGAAGATACTTGGGGAGGTTTCTTGGTTGAACGGCGCAAAATCTTTGAAGCTATCTGGCGGACCGAGAGGGAACAGGGGATCCGCGTAGTGCTCCTGAGTGGCGACAGACATGAATTTGGCGCGACAAGGTTTCCTGACCCAACTCTGGCAAAAGCGGCAGCAGATAGCAATGATTCACATGGTCATGACAGCAACATGGGTATCCATGAGTTCTGCACGGGTCCGCTTAGCATGTTCTATGTTCCCGTAGACTCCTACGTGCAGACGGACGATGAGGATGTTATGATCAAGTACTATCCCGCTGGCAACAACAAGCTGGGCGTAATCAATATTGACATGGATAATGCAGGCAATTCGGTGCTGAGGTATAGTTTGTATGTCGGTGAAGACCTTTTGTGGGGATATAAACTGGTTAGTCCACTGGTCTTGGGAGGTGAACAGAATGGCATGTTGCCAGCTGAAGAAGTTTTTCTGGACAGGACGAGAAGAAAAGTTGTGCCGCAATTGATTAAGAAGGTATCTGGGGAAGTTATGGGGTGGGCGAGGCCTTGGTTGAAGAGGAGTTTGGATTTTGTTACTGGTAAGGTGTTTGGGTTGTTGCAGGGGGAGGTTGCGACGGAGATGCAGTCGGAGTTAAGGTAATGAAACGGAATCATGGCGCAATTTCATGTGTTTTTCCTTTTTTTATTCTCAAATATGTTTTGTTGCGGTTATCTGAGCATTTGCTGCTCATTTTACGAAAGGGAAAGGGTAGGGAGGGAACCCCCCATTAGAGTACAGCGCTAAAGAAATGGATATAAGAATTATATATCTCTGTTCAATTCACATAAAAGGTAACGGGCTGCAATGTCCCATCCTTGGGATGTAATGTCACATATATAGAAGGAATTGAAAATATCAATCACAATGCAAAAGGTTATGCCCAAGTGACATAACAAAACACGCCAAAACTTCTAGTTTGGAAAAATCAAAACAATCGCTACCTTAACGCCATTCTCTATGTCACGTACCATGCCATACAACAAGGACAAGAGCTGGGTAAAATCGTAGGGAGAAAAGAAGAAGCAAGGATATTCATCTTCCCCTTCCCCTCCCACCTCCTCCCATCAACCCACTCATCTGGCTCATCATACTTTTCAAATCCATTCCTCCCAGTCCAGGCATCCCTCCACCGCCTGCACCGCCAGGGCCCCCGCCACCCTGCAACATCTGCATCATCTTCGCCATATCACCCATACCTCCCATCCCAGGCATACCACCCGCACCACCCATAGCGGCGATACGCTTCTGCATAGCAGCCATCTGCTGCTCTTTATTGCCACCCTTAAGCATATTCTGTGCACGCTGCATCTGTTTCTTCTGTCCGCCAACCTTCTTCGCCATTCCCGCCATCATCTTGTGTTGGGAGAGGAGGTCCTCAACTTCCCGGACAGTGGTGCCGCTGCCACATGCAACACGGACGATGCGGGAAGGTTGGTCGATGAATACCTTGCCGTCGCCATCGAGTTCGGCGGCGGTCATGCTGTCGAAGATGTAGATCATGCGGCGGAGTTTGAGGGAGCCGTCTTCGTCGTCCAAACCAGAGGTGATGTTTGAAAGGCCGGGAATCATGCTTGAGATCTTTGATAAAGGTCCCATTTTCATTATGGAGGTGATATTTTCGCGAAAGTCGCGGAGGGTGAAGATACCAGCTGTGATGTGTTTGTAAGTTTCTTTGGCAGTTGCGGAGTCCTTTGTCACAGCTTGAACATGTTCGACTAAACCAGCCATGTCGCCCATCCCCAGGAGTTTTTGGATGAAAGGTTTTGGAGCAAATCGTTCGAGGTCTAGCATGTGCTCTCCCGTTCCTAGGAAAATGATGGGTGTATGGGTTGCGGCGACGGCGGAAATGGCACCTCCACCGGCTGCGGCACCGTCCGTTTTGGTGATGATTATAGCGCCAAAGTCTGCCGTAGCTTTGAATGCAGATGACTGGATCTCAGCAGCCTGTCCGATAGTGCCATCCAAAACCAAGATGGTTTGATCTGGTTTTATCGCCGTCTGGATTTGGGTCATTTCTGCGAACAGATCCGCTTCCTGCTTATGCCTACCACTCGTATCGACAATGATGATATCGAAACGCTCCTTTTTAAACTTGGCCACTCCCTCTGCAGCAACGACAACGGGATCTGTCTGCGTTAAGCTGCCGTAGTAGGGAATCTTTGCCTTGGTTGCATTCTGCTTAAGTTGATCGAAAGCGCCGGCACGGAAAGTATCTGCGCAAACAAGAGCCGCTCTGAAACCGCGAGTTTGGTAATGTCTAGCCAGCTTCGTACACGTTGTCGTTTTACCCGCACCCTGTAGACCAACGAACATAACAACATTTGATCTTCCCTTCTTCGGCTTGAAAGGCTCACAGTGCGGGTCCACCAGAGCCACCAGTTGGTCGAAAACAGTTTTTTGTATTAGGCGCTTCTTATTTACGGCGGGCGGGAGGGAGGAGAATTGCACGGAGGATTTGATGGATTTGCGGAGAGACTGAACGAGGCGAACGTTGACGTCGGCGGAGAGGAGGGCGGCACATATCTCTTTGATCATAGCATCAAAGGCCTTGTCGCAGAGTTAGAATAGAACTTATATACAACATACATGGGATACGCAAAAGAGGATATACCTGTTCATCGATATTGCTTGACCTTGTCAGGTCGTTGACGGCGGCGTTTATACGCCGCCCGAGATCTTGAAGGACCATCGCGTGGAAGCTAGATTTGCGGGAAGAGGGAGGCGGAGTTGTTCAGAGGGCGTACGAAAAGAGGGGGATATTCACTTGCGGGCAGTATCACAATAAATATATATACTACCCCTAATAAACTAAAGATGTGAAGTTGTTTTATTTAAGTAGTTGTTGCGGTTGAGTTGTTGGAAATTCGAGGAAGGGTAATCACGTGAGGTATCTTTGGCGGTGACTTTCTTTTGCAGGGCACAAAGAACAGCACTCAACACAAGCCATGGATATGTAGTTAATTGACATATTGACGATATTAAATATTTTTCCACCTCAAATCCCACAACTATTACGGGCATACAGGTATCCTGATGGCTCCTCCATTGCTTAAGAAGCGCAAAGTCGAGAATGGCATGAACGGCAGAACGTCGCGGCCAAAGAAGAAAATCAAGCTGCAGCGGGAATACCACAGCAGCTCAGAGGACGATAATAACAATGAATCGTTCACCGCAGTCAACCTTCAAGATTCAGAGAGCAATAATGAAGCACGATTGGCCAAGAAAGCTCAGAGGCAAAAAGTTGCAGAAAAATCAGATCTGGACGGTTCAGATGCAGATGCAGATTCAAATTCAGACTCCTACACAGCAGCATCCTACGCTGCCTCGGACTCCGATATAGACTCAGACGCCTCCATATCCGGCAGCGATCAAACAAAACCCACGCAGCGCAAGAAATTCTCCAAACGCAATGATCCCACTGCCTTTTCCACATCTATATCCAAAATCCTCTCGACAAAACTACCCAGAGCAGCCCGTGCAGACCCGCTCCTGTCGCGAAGCAGAGCGACCTTACAAACCACCTCCGATCTCGCAAATGAGAAGCTCGAGAGCCGTGCGCGCGCTAAACTGCGGGCTGAGAAGAAGGAGGAGCTGGAGCGTGGGCGCATACGAGATGTGTTGGGCGTCGAGACGGGAGATGCTGGTGAGATGGCGGAGCAGGAGAAGCGGTTGCGGAAGATTGCGCAGAGGGGTGTGGTTAAGCTGTTCAATGCGGTGAGGGAAGCGCAGGTGCGGGGGGAGGAGTTGGCGAGGGAAGAGAGGAGGAAGAGGGGTATTGTTGGGATGGCGGAGAGGGAGAAGGCGGTTAATGAGGTTTGCAAGCAGGGGTTTCTGGATTTGATTAATGGGAAAGGAGGGAAGAGTTTGAATATTGAAGAGGCATGATATGATATATATTATCCCTACACTCCTTTTTTCTTTTTCTTTTTCTTTTTCTTTTTTTTCCTTTTTTTTTTTTATTTTTTTTTTTATTTGGTATGGGTTTTCGAATCTTGACTTGTGAGAGGCATGTATAATGGGCGTTTCCTGTGGGTTATGTGAAAAATAGAGATGGTTTTCGTTGACATGTCTATGGGAGAATATATAATACAAATAGTCGCAGATAACGAGTAATATATGTCTGCGATGATCAATCATACAGCTCAAGAAGAAAAAACGACCCCTTCTTTTGAACTAGTTTCTTTCTCTCTCGCTTTCCGAGGAGATGGATAAGGTTGCCAATAGCGAGAATCATTATGAAAAAAGATGAAAAAAATGATATGTAAAAGACAAACCCTCAGATATCTCAATTATTTCTGCTCAAAATCACTTGCTTGCAAATTCCTCGTCATACTGGGTAGTCGTACAACCAGCCCATCCAGCTCTGGGGACATCTTCACCTGGCACCCCAGCCGTGAAGTCTCAGTAAGGCCAAAGGCAAGGTCGAGCATGTCATTCTCGTCGTCGTCTGGCTCTTCCATCTTATCATACATATCGGCATCTTCCACGATGACATGGCAGGTTGAGCATGCGCAGGAACCACCGCAAGCACCTATGGCAAGATGAGTGCATGTTTAGCTTAGAACTAGTTTTATTATACAAAACATGAACCGGAGTATTCTAAGGGTAGGAATCATTCCGCCAGGGGGGAGGAGCCATATATTTTACCTTCCATCTCAAGATCATTTGCCTGAGCGATATCAAGCAGGTTGTCGCCTTTGGCTACTTGGAAATGGTGTTTCTCTCCGTCCTTGTCAATGAAGGTCACATTGAGCCTGGGCGACACATATCAGTTAGTTACTGTAACCTCGCTTGAAACATCCATCGCATCTATAGGGGATAACCACGGGCGCACTCACTGTTCTCCTGGTTTAGGAGGTTCAATATGCCCATGCGATGCGACCACGGTGGCTGAAAATCTCCTCCTTGCCCGAGTAATATATTGCGGACATTGCACATTCACTCCGCTCCTTGTTAGGCTTGTTGGTCTGACGCAGGCTGAGTACTCTCGGATGCCGCTATTGGGCATCCTCGATCCTGAGGTTATAGAAATGTTCCGACATTTGGTTTGATGAGCCAGAGGTCTGCAGTTGCTGAGAAAATGCGAGGCGGAGATGCGCAGTTGGCAGGCTATCCCGTTGCATATCGACATGTTCCAGGAGATGACTGAGGAGATACCGTGAAATATTGACTCCGTATGGTATTCAGCTTTCCAATTAATACTGTAGCAATATCCGGAATATGGAACATAGGAGTGGCAGAGGGTATTATTATATTTTTTGATCGCTGGTCCAAGGCAGTGTTTTTGCGGGGGAATATTTCTTGTTGATTCGATCGAAAAATAAATCGAGGATCGCGGGTTTTGACGAATTAAAAAAATCATTTAAAACTTGCAGAACAACCATCCACAATTCACCACCACTAGCATCAACAAAACCGACGACGACGACGATGAACAGCTACTCTTAGGAATGATTATCTCATTATATTCCCACAAACAACATCCAGTCCAGTTCATATATATAATACTCTGGAGAGAGTGTTTGCGTAATCTCCCCTTTCGCCACAATGGGCTCGTCGTCTGAAGGACCAAATCCGTTTCGTCCCTATTACATTCCGCCCTCCATCGGCCTGACAAAATCCTCAGCACCGCCAGCATCCAGCCCCCTTGTGAGCAAGGCGAGTATTAGAAATTCCACGCGTGATATTTTCTCTGACTTCGACTACTCGGAATACCTGGGCGAGACGTCGCCGACGATATCTCACTCTGTGAAAGAGCTTGTTGAAAAGGCGTTATGGAGGTACACCAGCGTGTTGATGGCGCAGCCATTCGAGGTTGCAAAGACCATTCTGCAGGTGTACGTTGAGCAGGATATGCAAGCGGAGCTGGCGGGGAGAGATGAGAGGCCGAGGAGGGATCAAGGATATCGAGACAATTACTATGAGGATGTATGTGTTGCAGCATCGACTATGATTTTGACGGCGGGCCCTATGTCATCTCTATATATTCCATGCCAGTACTAACACTTGGTATCTGATATAGGACTCCGCACCATCAACAGATGATGAAAGCAGCTATTTTACATCAGATACCCCTCTAACCCCTCCCACCGGAGCCTCCCGAAACCGCCGTTCTCGGCCTCGCATTACGGACCGGCGTGGATATATCCCTTCCACCTTTGCTTCCGCTAGTAAAAGTACACTGAAGATCAAGGATTCTTCTTCTCTGTTTGACGTATTGGGCCAGCTCTGGGGTACAAGCGGTCCAACTTCGCTGTGGGAAAGCGTCGAATTCATCATTCGTCTATTCCCTCCTTCTTCCAACCTTCAATACCTTCATCCGAAGTCTGCTATCTGCTATCCTAGCTTTTCCAGACGAAGGCTTGTCCTCCCTTGCTGAGCCTGATATTCTCATTTCCTCATCGCCAGTCTCCTCTTTACTGCTCACCTGCATTTCGTCATCACTCTCCGCCATCCTCCTCTCTCCCATCGATACCACACGTACATACCTGATCCTAACCCCGCTATCCAAAGGCCCGCGATCACTCCTCCGCGCCATCCGCCTCCTCCCAACCCCCAACTTCCTAATTCCACCACACCTCCTTCCAATCACAATTCTATCATCAACACTCCCAAATTTCATAACAAGCGCCACTCCACTCTTCCTCAAATCCTACCTCTCCCTCGATCCGGTTCTCAACCCCTCCTCATGGAACGCTTTCAACTTCCTCGCATCAGGCCTGGAACTGGCCGTCCGCTTCCCTCTGGAAACTGTCCTCCGCCGTGCCCAAATCGCAACATTCACATCCCCTGCTCTGCATCAGCAGTCCGGCCTCCAGTCCGGCCTCCTGCCCAGCACAGCCCAAAGCTCATCCTCAACCTCAGCAACATCCCCTTTCCCCGGAACCCTAAAATCATCCTCACAACCCCCAGTCATCGAAACAATTGTCCCAACCCCACAATCCTACCGCGGCATAGTCGGCACAATGTGGACAATCGTCTACGAAGAAGGCACAAACCCGCACGCCCTCGAGGTTGAGCAGGTCATCGCACAGCACAAGGGACATTCATCGTCCTCTGCTCGGGCATCGTCAGCGCAGGAGACCGCGGCAAGTCGTCGGGCCCAGAAACGCAGGCGGGGACAGGGCATGCAGGGGCTGTATCGTGGTTGGCGGCTGGGAATGTGGGCGCTTGTTGGGGTGTGGGGTTCTGGATTTTTGGGCATGGCATTGGATGCTGGAGATGATGAAATGGTAGAGAGTTCTGGAGGAGTTAGGATGGCGTTGGAACCTGCGAGTGGGAGGACGGGCAGCGCGGCTACTAGAGGCGCATTTTAATGCTCGTTTTAATAAGTACCCTTATTTGGTTTTACGGACGGGTGCACGTCTCTGATATCTTGAATGCAGCTAGATTGGAGAGAGGCTATGTCTCTCCTGGTCCCTCAAGGTTATGGCCTATTTCCATGGAAACTACTTCTCAATCATCGGGTTATGCTTTCCCCTCTCATCCCCACAGTACTGGACGTGGTCTTTAATACAGTATAATAGGAGTTTGTACGCTGGCGCGCAAGATTTACCATTCTATTCCGTCTTTGAATGTTCTTTTGCCCCCCTTTTCATTCCTCCCACCAGCTCCCAAAACAACCTCGACCTTAGACTTTTTTCGATATTGGGACCTTCTTGCAGAAACAAACGAAATTAGCTGATACTTAAAAAATAAATATTTCTCCTCCATCCCCTAGTTCTTCCCCCCTTTTCTTTATATATCTACCAGTACCTAGGTGCTTCTCATTGATGTTCTCCACTTCTGTACAAACACCGTAACTCGCAATTGAAAGGGCGAGGGTGCTTCTACGGCGAACCCTAATAAGGGAATTAAACCCTGTAACGCAGATATTTTGGACCAGGAGAAGGAAGTAAATTAAATGATTGCATCAATTCTAAACATCAAAAATTATTTACAATTAGACTGAACGGATTACAAGCATAGGCTGAAATGGCGAAATGGCAAGAATAGGTATAGATTTAGAATGGAGGGAGAAGAAGGGAGAAACGTGTCTGCCGTGGAAAGAGTGAAGAAGTTCGAAGTGCAGAATGGGAAAAAGAGGCAAATAAACGATAACGACACCATCTTCAAGAGACCTCATTGCGTCCCAGGCTTAGGACTTTTAGTTTGTATAATACATTCTGGCTCCGGGCAGGATGATTAATAAGGGCATAATATGAGACATTCTGGAATGATAAAAAATAAACGTAAAATAGGTAGCAGTTACCTGACGTGGAGTTGTGTATGCTGTATGATGAATACGATCAATATCCATACACCATAAGCGTCTCCAAAGCAATATCAACAGAGAGAATGTAAAACTTGGGGAGCCCAGAGCCCGTCTATCCACCCACTGTACGCGAATAGCGATTCCACGCCCCCAAGCCCCTCACTCCTAGACCTAGTCAGCAAACCGCCTATCGAAATACTTCAATACGCCCATAACGCTAGCCGCCTCGACTTCCATCGCCGGACGACCGTTATAGTTCTGAAGCGAAAATCCCTGAGGATTAGGTAAGGTGTGTAGATGTGGCAGCCAGTTATTCAAGTCATCAGTGGCACGGGAGAAGTTTGGATGGCGGGAGAGGGCGGTGTAGGTATCCGCGCAGGAGAGGGTTATGGGCTGTTGCTGCTGTTGGGTTGACGGTGAGCAAGTGATGTCGTCATTTCTCTGACTTTCGTTTCGGTTTCGACCTGCGTTTCGGGTTAAAGGGCGGGACTGGCAGCATCCGCCTTCTGAGCCGCGACCACCACAGCAACCTGCGCTTGAGCCTGAGCCGGTGGCAGTAGCGATGTTGGCGCGTGAGGCGGCTAGACTCTTGCAGAAAAGTGTGCTTTTGGGATCAGCCTGGCATTGCGCGCAGGTTCCTGGACCGTTGATACATGGATTGGCATTTATGCTGTTGTTGGATATGATGTTATTGCTTCCTGAAGGAAGGGGTTCGGATCGTACATCTCCATCTGACGGGGGCGGTGTGAACTGGGATAGGCTTTGGATGGCTAGTCTGTTGTTCGTATCGGATGATGTATTGATTTGTGGATTGTTTTCTGCTTCAGCTGCCATTTCTGCACACATGCATGGAGTACCATCCTGACAGAAGCCACAGGGGTCGATCATTCTGGAAGGGGAAGCGGACGTTTCGATTCGAACTTTGCGTTCACGGTTTGTCGAAAACAGGGAAGTGAAATCTGTTTCTAACTCATCTGATTCCATCTTGACTCTGATGTCCGATCTTTGGCGCTTCGAGGCATCGGCCTGATGGGGAGAGCGTGGTCTTTTCGGCAACTCATCATTCTGGGCTGCGGGACTGGTCGAGAATCCAAAAGCTTCCTCAATACACTGGCATCGTGTGGAGGAACAGTTTTCACACGGGACTCCACTGTCCAGGGTGATGTGGGCTTGCTCCGCTGCCTGAACTCTTTTCATTAATTCTTCGTTGGCTTGTTTCTCCTGTTCTACCGTATTCTCCAACGTCTGGCATCGTTTTTTCCACCACACTATCTCAAACTTGCATTGTTCGAGCTGACCAGAAATAGTTTCGATGTGTTGTTTCAAAGCAGCCTCCCGTTTGTCACTTTCTTCTTCTATTTGCTTGATTTGCTCTTCAAGTTCGCCTACTCTTGCAGCCCTTCTTTCACGAAAGGCTCTCTGAGCAGCACGATTTTGAGCCTTTCGTTTTGTTGGAGGGGTGTCAGTAGCAGGCTTGCGACCAGGCTTTGGGAGGGGAGGGATGACCCATTCTTTTGTGGTGATAGATGCGGGTCTGGGAGGAACTGGGCTTGGGGTAGCCGCAGCGGCGAGCAGCTTAACAGATGGTACTGCGGGAGCCAGAGGGGCGGGAAGACTTGCCGGACTCGAACACGTCGACAAAGTGGATTTCGTTGACATTGCTATTGAGAGTGTTCTTAGGGTGATTTCTGCATACAGTAGGATAGCTCTATGAGAGATAGCTGATCGCTGAGTATAGACCTATCTTGGTAGCCCCGGTTTACATGTTCAATTTCGAAAACCGAATCGACAGAAAAGGAGGCCCAAGAAAGTGTTCTTGAATCAATGAGAGGAACAGCGATTAGTTGATAGACATATGCACTGCGATAGCAATAGGAATGCGCTGAAACTAGGAATGTGTCATCTCGCTATAAATTGAGATTGAGATTGAAAAGGCAACGTATAGAAAAGAAGTCAAGAACTGGGAGGCGGAGGGGTTCGGAAGATCAGATTAGATTATCGTGCGTTCAATTACGTGCGGCTCCACAGTAGTTTCTCGCAAGTTTATCTGATTGCCAAGCCTCGTTATCTGATGCATCCACGGAATTTCTTTCCATTTTCAGCCTTACCACCTCTATATTACGTTATCAATAACGACATCAATAACGTAATTCCACATAGAAGCGGATCACACCACCACAATCGAAACCACTTCAACGCGTGAGAATGCCTCCAACTCTAAAAATTCAGCATATTTTAGAGAAGAGGAAATAGAACACATGATATTTGCTATTCAAAAAAAAAAAAAAAAAAAAAAAAAAAAAGAAAAAAAATTTCAATTTGCCAAGCTTCAATAATGTTTCTTATACGGAGTCCGTACTACACTATTCTATTGACTCAAAGGATGAATTTTACATGAAAATTCGCATAAACTGACTCAAGTAAAAGAGAATAAACTAGTTCAAGGAGTTCTACATTTTGCTTAATGAGAGATATCTTTCCGGCCAGCATTTGTTGAGAATATGAATCATCTTCTCTCGCTATGAAATTTTACAAGGTCTTCTTTACAGATTAACAAGGACTGAATTTCAAGACTAGTCGCTATTTCAGACGCTATTTATAACCAGGCTAAATATAAGTTATACACAATTAGTTTTCAAAGTTTAAAGAATAATAACAATGTATAAAACTCAACAAAAAAGTTAAATACAACTTTAATGGACTAAATTTATTAAATGCTTTGTATAAATATTAACATAATTACTAGCTAAATACTATGAATAAATAAACCTTTTTATGGTCTAAGGATTAAAATTAAGTAATTGTTATTAAGTTAGTGAATGCAACTAGGGTCTAAATTTATTTATACTTTATATTTAAAAGACTGAATAATTTCTTAGACGGGTGCGGCGGACTGCAGGCCTCTCTGAGAAGTTCTCTTCTATGATTGTCCATAGAATATATGCCGACAACTGATGATCTGATGGTATTGTAAAATGAGATCTCGCTGCAGGTGAGATTGCAGACCACATATGGTTATAGAGCCATACATTCCTTTCAGTCCAAAAACGTTGCATATCCATACTGGCACCATCCTCAGGGGCAGATTGCTTCTGGTTGAGGATATCATCGGTTTCAGATTGCTTAGCAGCCAGTAGGATCTCTTCCCTCCACATTGGATAGTTCGCGGAACCAGTCAGAATGACAGATTTCTTGATGTGCTTCACTTGGTCCCTAAATTCAGCCAAGATTTTCATTATGGCAGTAGTCCTGCCTCTTCTCTGTAGATAGTTCACAAGATCTTCACTCATTTCATTGCCACTAGCATTGGTAGTGAGTGCCTCCCTGCTAGCTCTTATCATTTCAACTTCTCGCTGAAGTTCTGCAATCTCTAATCTCATCAGGGTTTCTTCACTAACTCCTGACACCTGGCCACTAGGGTCAACTGTATTCTCTGACATTTCGTCAACCAGGTCTTCGTATGCGTTGTTAGACTCGTTTGATTCCTCCAGAATCGTCTTGTCTATCTCAAACACTCCAGGGGCACTCCTACAGACTGTAATAGGTGTAGGCAGTGAACCTGCGGGCTCTGGAGTCCTATTCTCCGGGGTCCTATCCTCAGATCCTCGGTTTTGTCTCCTTTTTGGCACGTATTCTTCTGTCAAACCTGGCGTTCCACCCGAACGTAGATTGACCATTGATGTCGTCCAATTCTGGGGTTATAAGTTTTGTTCACAGTTCGATTGCAGCTTGTTCGCAGCTTGTTCACAGCTCATTTGCAGCTCGTTCGCAGCTTGTTCGCAGCTGGAGACCTCTAATTCAAGGGTCTCATAACCTCTTAGAGGACCGATTACTACCTTGTTTCATTGTGGGACTCTAAGCGAGCTAGCTACAACTAATAAATATATAGGTGCACGTGACCTCGGGTAGCCGGGGAATCCTCCAACATAATTTGTAGCGGCGCCCGCCTGGGTGGCGGTGGCGTTGCCCTAACGACCGCCCCGCCCACACGTGATCGCTTGTATGTAATATAGCAATAACCTAGCTAGCTCCTCCGAATAGAAGGTTCAACCATCCCACAGGTTATAGCCCAGATAGCTGGTTTTTTTTTAAAAAAAAATCGCGTTAAGAATGGCTGTGTACATGTCTGGATGAGTTCACCCTCTGATCTAATGACTGAACTACCTATTCCTTTAACAGAGAGAAAGCAATCTTTACAATCACATTCTAGAGCTGTTGGAGTGTTCCCATCACTAGATGAGAATGAAGAATTAGAAGGCCTGGAGCAGGAACCAAGTTCAAACCACATCATGAATTCATCAAGTCATGAGTCTGATGAAATGTCTGCTCCTGAGTCTATACATGAATTCACAGCAGCTAGTAAAGGAACCCCAAGCCCCCAGCCTCAAATGCCTACTCCTAATGCAAGTGGCATGATTACAATGAGTGTAGCAGATTTGTTGATCTTTTATCAACAAATGACACATCAGAACACTTCAAATATCAACAATGATACACCTGCAGATGATTTCAAATCTCAGATCTGTAAATATCAAAAGAATGTCCAAAGAGCTATGGATACTAAGGTAGTAACTATATTTAATGATATTAATTACTAAATCTGATGTATGAGAATTCTTGTGAATACTGAAGTCATTGATGAAACTGACATTCTAATCAAGAATCAACATGTCTATCTAGATGATATTAGCTAAAACATGTTGAATGCTGAAAAATGAAATATTTGAATCAAAGCACTCTATCAATGTATGTTGCAATTCTTGTTGAAGTCTGTATGTACAATCATTGAAGTCTTGGAAACTGACAACACTGTCATGTTATGAAAAAAGATTGATGTTGAATATGTGATGTCTTTGATGGAAGAACATCTCAATGTCATGAAGGAGCTGACTACTCTACATATCAACAATGATTACTTAGCATTTCAAAGAAGATTTTGCTATTTAGTTGCATATCATAAGAAACTAATAAATGACTTAGAGAACTTCTATCATGATCTTTTTCTTATTGATTTGAAAGAACATCAAAAGTCTTTTGTCAAGACATATTTGAATGATTTCTACATGACTGGTCAGAACTCTATTGAAAATATTGACATTGACAATCTCATGAAGCAGTTAACAAATTGTACAAGCAAGTTCAATGAATGCTTCAAATCTCTATGAGTCAACATGACTATCTTCTCAATGTCAAACTCCAACTCATCTGACATCACAAATTTGAATAGTTTTAAATGTGAGATCTGCCACTCAAATCAGCATGTTAAGGACTATTGTTAATGATTATATTTTGAATTTATCACTGAAGAGTGAAGAGAGGCAAATAAGAATAAGATTGTCAAGTTCACAGAGAATAGCAACATCAGCAGTCACAATAAACAGAAGAGCAAAAAGAAGAATAAGAATAATAAAAAGAACAAATCTTCTGATCTTTTAATAACACAATCTGCTGCTGTTAATGCTGTGATTGCTCTGTCAGCAATTACTGACATTCTCTTCAAGTCTTAATTTCTCAACACATGTGCAAGTTTTCATATGATGAGAAAAAGTAGTCTATTATTCAATGAAAAACCTATGACAGTGATGTCAAGATTTATATAGCAGATAGTGAATATAATCATGTAAAAGAGATTAAAAATCTTATTCTAGAATCTGACAGAGAGAATATATCTATACATGATGTTCATTATGTTCTAAATCTTACTATCAACTTAGTGTCTTTTGCTAAGTTGAAGGATCAGAGTTTTCAATATGAACTTTCAAATTTGAATACTCTGTCCTACTTCATCATCAAGACTCTCAATAATGTTATTTTCACTATGATTCATACAGCTCAGAGTTCAATTTATAAAATAGTTGAAAGGATGTCAGAAGTTGATGCTCATCATGAGTCAAAAGCAATCTATTTCACAGCAAAATCACATATATATGATAATGATTATGCTAAGGCCTTGGTCATCACTAGTGACAACAATCCTGTCAATGCTCAACCTCAACCTCAAGAATCACCTACAGCCGTGAAAACACTTGCTAAGTGGCATGTTGACCTGAGGCATATACACATAGAAGTTATTGTAGCTTTGACAAGAAATTCACTATCTGATATCTGCATCAAGAGTCTTAAGACTAATTTCTTCTGCAACATCTGTGTCAAAGCAGGTATGATGTGTAAATACTCAATCACCCCCATGCCATGGGCTGTAAGATCAATGAAACAAATTCATATTGATCTGGTGAGTGATGGCTGCATGTTGAGTAATACAGACAATCATTCTATAGAATTTTACCAAGGCACAAAATATTTCATGTTAATCATAGATGATGTGACATGATTCAGATAGATTTATTTCCTATGTAGCAAAGACCAAGCATTTGATTATTATTCTCATTAAGTTAAGTTCATTAAGAACCTCAGTTTTTCAGCCCCTGCCTACATCAGGACAGATGTAGATGAGGTTTTTCAATCACAAAAGATGACAACATTAATGATTGCTGACAGCACAGTGTGAGAATCAACTACCTCTTAATCATCTCATCAAGATGGTATATCTGAACATGGCATCTGCACCATTATGACGCGAGCCAGAGCAATCATTATAGAAAAGGAAATTCTAAAGAAGTTCTGAGCAGATGTTCTAGAAATAGTTATTTTAATCATGAATAATATATCCACATTTACAATTCTATATAATGAGAAGTATTGGCCTGCAATCATAAATGATGACAGCAAGGAGCCCATCCATAGTCCTCATATAATTCCTTTTTCAGCATTGATGAACATGCCACCACAGATCACCCACTTCCACAAGCTTGAATCTGATGTTTTTGTCCATCTTCATAGATTGCAGAAGTCAGTGGATAAGCTGTCTGCTCAGACTAAATTATACAAACTTATTAAATTCCACAGCCAGTCAATCTATTGTGTGTGGAGTTCTACCTCTGATAAGATTTTTGATATGTCTAATGTGATTTTCTCTACAAAAGTGCAGGAAATACAAAAGGATTTCACCACTATCATAACAATCAAAGTTGAAAACACTCTGACCCCTATCATCTATTTGGTGGAGGATGATTCTGACATTTCTGATTTTTCAGAACCATACATTCCATGGATGAGGCCTGCAAAAGCCTTCATAATATACACACCTTCCTCAATTACAGATGGCTTGCTGAAAAGCTTCAAGAATGCAATTAATCTTTCACAGATGAGGCCATATTGAAGGAAATCTATGCAATATGAAATTGACAATTTTAAATATCAGAAGACTTGAATATTAATTTCACATTCTGATATCTCTCATGGTGAGTCAGTGGCACCTGGTCACTGAGTTTTTGTTGAAAAAAACTGCCCCAATGACCCTAATACTGATGAAGATGACATATTGCAGAAGTTCAAATGAGTAATTTATGATAATTGACTCAAAAAGAGAACACATCAAGAAACATATGCCCCTGTAGTTACAGATATCATGAATTGCATGATGTTTATGATCACTGCAAAACACAGTTGGACCCTACAGCAGGTAGATAAAGTGATGATATACTTACATGAAAGACTTGAAAAAACAGTCTATATAAGACAACCTACTGACTTTGAAGAAGGAGCTTTATGCATACTTGTTTGTGCAGTTGAAGAATCTCTATATGAGTTGAATTCAGCTGTCAAAATATGATATGATTACTTGACAGCTCTGCTATGAGAGAACAGCTTTATCTCAAGTTTTTATAATCTCACTCTTTGACAGCATTCAATCCAAAAACACCTATATATGATCATATATGTTGACAATCTTCATATTTTTGTGGACGCTCTGAAGGATGCTGATTGACTAGTTGATATTCTGCACCAGAAGCTTGAGATCAAAGATCTAAATGAACTCACAAAATATCTAGACATGGAAGTAAAATGTACAAATGATGGTATCAAATTGACCCTCTGACATTATATTGATTGATTAATAGAAGATTTCCACCTGAATAATGTAACTATTGTCTGAACACCCATGGATGAGAGTCTATGTTTGGATGACTCCCCTGTTCCTGAAAAAGAGGCCAGTTTTACAAAACAGCAATTCCAATACAGCATTGGCTGCTTGCAGTTTTTGACAGTTAAACTGCAGCCAGATGTTGCTCATGCAGCTTCCCTATTAGCACAGAAGAATGCTGTTCCTACCTCTAAGGCATGAAAGACTCTATTACATGTCATTCAATATTTAAAAGGCACATGTGAAATTAGCATATTTTACATAAAGGATGATGATGATGAAGGACCTGAGAATGGGTTCCCAAACATGGCATATATGCTGGTTAGATATATGAATTCTAACTGGGCCAACTCATTGAATGATGATTGAAAGTCTACATCCAGCTACATTTTTATGCTTGCTGGTACACTGATTTCATGATGATCAAGCAAGCAGTCATGCATCTCTTTGAGTTCCAATGAGACTAAATACATGGTATTGAGTGAGGCTGTATATGAAGCAATGTGATTAAGAAGCATGATGATAAATCTGAGCTTTATAGCAGATGACCTCCTGTCAATCAAGACAGATAATAAAGGCACAATTGATCTAGCCACTGTAGCTGTGATCACTGCTAGGAGCAAGCATATTGACATGTGATTCCATTACACCCATAGTCAATTGAACAATGGCATTATCTTGATTGAATACATC